ACTATACTAAGAGTTTACTAACTATTAAATTATCTTTAAAGAAGGCCTAACCTCTAGATATTACCTACTCTATAAGTAATTAGAAGAAGAGCTTTAGGCGGCTAAGGCCTATATTATAAAGAACTTTATATAAAGATTTATCGAAGAAAGTAAGGCCCTCTATACTTCCCTAATCCGAATAGTCTAGAAGCCTAGCGGAGAACTCTAATTTTACGTTAATTACTATAAGCTTAACTTAATTACGAAGAAAGATTATTATCTAATTCTATTAATTAATAAGATCTTCTAACGGCTAGATAAGGCTAGATATTTTATAAAGTTAGATATCTAGTAAGGATTTTATAGAATTTATATAGATCCTAACTTAGAAGATCTTACTACTTTCTATATATAATATAGGTCCTATAAGTATAAAGTAATATCTTTTAGAGTAATAAATAGACCTACTACGTTCTAGCGGTTTATTAATATAACTCTTAGTAAATATCTTAATAATTTTACTACTATCTTTATCGATAATATCCTAATCTATAGCGAAATAATAGAGGAATATATCGAATATATTAAGAAGGTACTTTAAAAGCTTCGAGAAACCGGACTATAGGTAAGCCTAAATAAATATAAGTTTTATACGTAGATAACCTAGTTCTTTAGTTTTATTATTAGTACTAATAGTATTAAGATTAATCCTAAAAAGATTATAGTGATCGTCGACTAGTAGTAGCCTACTATAGTTTACGGGGTATAATTTTTCCTAGGATTCTATAGGTTCTATCGATAATTCGTAAAGAATTATAGTCGGATTATAAAGCTACTAAATTACTTTACCGAGGATAAGACGCCGTTCGAGTAAAGTATATAGTATAAATAAGCCTTCTAAGAACTTAAGAAGATAATAATAACGGCTCTAGTATTAGCTTACTATAACGTATTAGCCCCTATAAAGATCGAGACCGATATATTAGATAGATATATCAGAAGAGTCCTCTTATAGCTCTAGCCTAATAGCTATTAGTATCCTATCTATTTCTATTTATTAAAACTAACTACTATAGAGTAGCGATAGGATATAATAACTATAAGATATTTATAATTATTAAGGCCCTTAATCTTTAGAGAGCGGAGCTAGAGGGACTATAATAGGACGACTAATTTAGTATCTTCTCTAACTATTAGTTACTTTAATATTTTATAACTATAAAGAAGCTAAACGCCTATTAGGCGTATTAGGGAGAATTCTTATCGAGATTTTACTTCCTAATACGCTATTTTATAGGAAAACGAAATATTATCGCTAATACCCTCTTACGAAAAGATCCTAGTACTTATAATAGGTAAAACTAAATCCTCCTCCCGTATAAGTACCTCGAATAAGGTATATACCCCGATAATAATAACCCTTAATCCCCTCTAGCTAGAATCGCTCTAGTAATAATAATAAACCCTAATAATAGATCCTAGACTATCTCCGATATAACTAGGGTAGTTATATACGTTCTTTATATTAATTAGACTTATCCCTTCCTCGACGTAAACTAAAACTAGATAAGAATAAGCGAGGATAGATAATAGAAGATAAGAGATAGTCTTTTACTCTACGAAGGAAGACTAGTAGTACTAGATAATAGAGATCTTAGGGTACGCCTACTTAATAAGATCTATCGTTAACTATATACTATATATTCTAGTAAGACTAAAATAAAGGCCTTTCTCTTAAGTTACTACTAGTAACCTAACTAGATAACCGACGTCGAATAATATATAGATAATTATCGAATTTATAAGCGGATAAAGATATAGAGAGACCGACCCCTAGGGTTATTATAACTACTCTTTACCCCCGATCGGCTATAGTAGTATATTATAATAGATTTCCGGATATTCCCTAAAGATAAGTATAGCTACGATATAGTATTTATAGTATACTATCGCCTTAGTAAGCGCTAGGCCTCTATTCCCTATTATAAGACGACTATAGCTAAAGAAATAACTTAATTATTTATTATATATCTCTTCCGATAGATAGGTATATCTAATTTAATTATATCGGACTATAGAGGATAGTTTATATCGGTATTCTAGACTAAGTTCTACCGAATTCTTTATATTAAGCGTAAGCTATCTACCGCTTACTACCTATAGATTAACGGCTAGACCGAGATAGCTAACTAATAGATAGCCTAATAACTAAGGGTAATAGTTAATAAGTACTAAGATAACTAGTCCGAATAGCTACCGATAATTAACTTCGCTACGTCCGTACTACGCTAAGACTCGACGAAAAGGTCCCTTTTCTTTATAGAAAGAGGATATAAGCCTAGAATATTATTCGATTAGGACCTACCTACCGACGCTTCTCTTTCGCCGTAATTAACTAGTAATATATAAAATTTTATAGAACGAATCGAACGAATCTAGAAAGAGACTACTAAAGTAATCGACTATATATAAAGGCTCTAATATATATAGGCGAATAAATACCGCTACGAGGTAGATTTCGACGTAGGAGATATAGTCTATATTACTATACGCTATTAGGGACTAGACTACCTAAGCCGGAAGCTATCGGACTAAGCTAGTAGGCTATATAAGATTATCGCTAAAGAAAGCTATATATTTAGGCTCGAGCTACCCCTATCTATTAAGGTATACCTAGTCTTCTCGCTAAATAAGCTACGCTATATATCGAAGACCGATCCCTTACTAGGTTAGATCGAAGATCCTCTACCGCTAGTCCTAGTTAATAATCAGTAAGAATAGGAAGTCGAAGAGATCCTATAGTTACACCTATATTACTAAAAGCTATAGTATAAGATTAAGTAGCTAGGCTATAATAAGGACGATACTTAGTATTACGTAGCCGACTTTAAAAATACGCCGCTAAAACTAATAGATTTCTACCGACGATACCCTAACTCCCCTAGACCCCTAAAGAACCTATAGATCTAGCTAGCTATAGTAAAAATCGACGAATTCGTTAGTAACTATATCGACGATAATATCCTAGAGTCTCGGGGCGAGCCTCTTTAAAAAGGAGGGCTATATAACGTATAATAGAACGATAGACGGAGATTACCTAATAGACGCAGAGTGATAGAAACACCCGACCGAGCTAACCTAATAAAGCCTATTTATATAAGCTCTCTACAAGATAGTTACTAGAGCCTCCGTAGTTTCTTCCTTCTTCACCTTCGTTGTTTCGTGAATGCACCTAGTTACTTTTCTAGTTAGCTCTTTCCATGATCGTAACAAAATATATAGTATTATCTATAAAAATAATAGAATACTAGCTTATAGAAGCTTTTTAATACTTACAACTCTCTAATAAGAAAGAGAAGGATAATATAATAGGCTAGTACCTATGTATAATTATAGCCTACTACCCTATTTCTACTAAATACTTATATAGCTATTCTATCCCTTTTATTTCCCTTTTCTTAAGATTATTATAGATAGTTTATAGCATAGTTAGATTAAATCAAACTAGCTATAGCCCTTTATAATAGCCCTTTATAGCTCCTATATCAATAGGCCTAATTAATTAAGTTAGGTTAGTTATTTCTATTAGTTATATACCTATTAGGTAATCCTGTAGTCTGGTATCTATGATGTGTCAGATTTCAAGATAATTAGAATTACTTAGGATTTATTAGGTTTAATTTAGGGTAGGATATTACTATAGGGTGAGATAGTTATAGCTTACTATCTATATCTATAGCTTAATAGCAATAGGAAAGCTAAAAAGCACTCTAGTTATATATTATAAGGGGGCTAGCTAGAAGAGCAAGGTATATTTAATAAAATAACTAAAATAAAGAAGGATAGAACTATGGAGGAGATTCTGCTATTATATAGAGAGGCTCCCATATAAATAGGCCGAACTAGGTTAGCCAGATTAGTTGCTTCTATTAGTCATGTGTCCCTTGTGTAACAGATCAAGCCTGAGTCACATGATTGTTCTCTTGAGCCAAAAAGACCACTATGTCAACCATCAAGGTTGACATGCTCAGGACCGACACATATAGTAGCGCACAGCTATAAACTTAATCCTTTACACCTTGGGTGATCTCTAAGTCCATCATCTTATCATGTGTCATAAGTAGGTCTAAATAGGAAGGTCTTAGTATTTTTATGTATTTTTATACATAATAATAGCTTTCATATCCCGAATCGATAGTCTTTAGGGCCAAGGTTTGCCTAAAATTGTGATTTTTGGCGCACTCTACTACTTTCTTTGGCCTGACTGGTAGTAAACTCACTATAGGCAGCTTTGTATGCATACTGGGCCGGTCAGACTCACCAGAAGGCACAAATCCCCGTATAGCACCTATTTACTAAGGAAGCCTCACTAGGAATACGATTATTGATTGATTAATAGCTAAGCGGGAGACCGTTAACGATCTATTTTGACTAATGGCGGGTGATGATTTTGGTTATGATTGACCGCCCACTGGAACCGGCGCGATCTACCCGTAGTGTCTGATTGGATGGGTGAATTCACACCGAGCCCCTCCTCCACTCCAGCTTCCCAGCACCCAACAACACTCTGGACCTTGGCGACCTCCGTGACCTCCGCGATCTTTGCAACCCTTGCGATCCATAGCAGCCGACTGTTCAGACTATTGGCGCAACGCGGTTAAGAACCCAAGCCTTTGATCCTGGCTCCAGTCCAACCCCAGCCTCACCTCCTCACCTCTTTACCCATTTCAAATCCATCCCCTCATCGTGCTTACCACTTTGCGGCTATCATATCAAGTTTATCAACTTCTCCATTGTTATACTCATCCAACCCCCACTGACTGGGCTAACCGCTCTCCTTTTACTCGACTGGAATCCATTTGATGCAAATTTGAAGAGAGAAACCCCCCCCTTTTCACTTCCAACGCCCCACGGCCGATGAATGGGCAGGACGCCGTCCAAACCATGCCACCTTCCACCAATCGATCTCGATACTAAGAGCATGGTGCTATTGGTACTGGTTTGCGAAGGGGTCGTTGAAAATGGGCCCTCAGCCTTCCGCAACAGAGTCCCAACCAGCCTGGCGGCCCTCGCCTGGCACGATCGAACCCAGCCATAGTCAAAATGTCAATACACCCCAATCCGAGAGTCGATCGGAGGGTGCTCGACAACAGAGAGTAGAAGCGACGACTACCAAGAGCGACGCTTCCCCTCAGCACCCACGAAGATTTCTGGCACAGCCAATAGAGACATCGTCGCGAAGCTCTCAGACACGACAGCTTTCCTCCCAGCTAGGAAGCCTTGGTAATGTGTCCGATGACCGCTCGGAGCGGAAATCCCAGCAGGCCGGAAACCACCCACGGCGGTTCCTGCCGGAACCCATCGAATCCAGCAGGGCCAGCAATCAGGGGTCCGTTGGCCCACGGCGGTTCAAGCCTGAGCTCCTCGAAACCGACCATCGCTCGGTCAAGGGGACCACAGCCGACCTTGCAGATCGACAACATATCCACACTCTACCAGCAAAATACGGTTCAGAATCCCGGATACATATGTCAGGAGCTACGCCGTCTCTGGATTTTCCCTTGGAGGCCTCGTTCGGCGTCCCCGAGTCTAAATTCTCTTATGCGAGTCTCCTTCGCCGGCAAGAGATGCGGAGGCATTCATTTCGAGTTCCTGATCTCCCGTCAATCCCATCGCACAGCAGTGAAGATTCCGATTCGGCTTCCGAGACACCGCCTTTGTCTTTATCCCCTGCGAGGCCATATCTGAAGCTAAATCAAACCCACCAGAAGGATCACTTGGTTCGAGAAGGAAACGACGATTTCTCACGGTATTTGTTGTCCCTGGCGGCTCGATCCGCACAGAAACAGCTGAGAGAGCAGGCGCTCGCCGCCTTTCCCAATGAGCAAGTCTATCAACCGGTTGACCACTTCGCCGTTGAGGAGGAAGACGGGGTATCGGAGGAAGATGAGGATCTTATATATCCCCGAACTCACCACATCAAGTCTCGGCGACAGTCCTCAGCGGACCTCTCCTGGGAGCTTGATTATATGCGTCAACATAAGGAGGAAGCAGAACAACGACTTAGACTGATGGTCGCCTCACAAAACCCGGGCCTCTCGTCTCCTGGCCCCAAACCAGCCTCCGAGAGCCATGGCCCAAGCCCACCAATGCTTGGTGCCGATCTCGTACTGCCTCAGAGTCTGTCTCCGGATGGCACTCTCTGTGAGGAACTCCCGGCCGAGAATAAAATCCAGGCAAAACAAGATCCCTGCACTGACTGTGGCGGCCTCTGGTGTGAGGGGACTCAGCCCGACGATGTGCGCGGAGCAGGTCTTTGGATGGGCACATGTCGCAAGGCCGAGGGCCTGGCACGGGGGTCACAGTTAATGACTGGGATTATGACCCCAATGATTCAGTGCGAAGAGTTCAACATAACGCCGAGCCCCCAACCGGATGCTCCTATGGAATCGGAAGAGTTACAAGGCCAAGCACGCCAAGGGACGAGTCCTGGCCTTTCAAGAAGGACACCTGTTGCTGAATTCCACGACGGCTTTGTTACGCAGATTTACAATTATCTGTCCTTAGGCTACCCATGCGTTGCTCGGTATTATGACCACGAGCTCAGCAAGATCTCGGGAATTGCTCTTCAAGATCTCCGGCGGGATGATCTGGGTGCAGATGCCCGAGGCTATGTGGTACCACCGGTTGATAACCTTGCAGTTGCTTGTGTTCGATGGAAGGCCCTTCGTCTTTATATTCATGAATGGGCCCGACAGCAGCCGAACATGGTGGAGGATGAAACAGGCCTCGAAGCTTGGGGGGTTCCTGAGCGAAGAGGAAGCTGGGCCATTTGAAAGAACTCTCTAAGAGCATCTTTGGTGTGGGTGGGGAGGGGGGCGGTTTCCTTTGTCCTTTCCCTTGTTTTCTTTTTACTTGTATTTATGGTCACTCGGCATATCGTTGTTAACCGTGTTATTTGCCAGGGAGATCACAATGTAGCGGAAGATCATGAGAAGGCCGGCTAGATTCGGCGATTTCTCTTCATTACAAGGTCATTTAGAGTAAGTAGTCTGTTCGCGTTGACGTGTAGGTAGGTCTCTCCATGCTGCGGATGTTTCAATTCTTCGTCTTTACGCCAACAAAAGTCGACCGCAAGGTGGCCTGTGGTTGAAAAAGGATTAATTGATTTCTATTCGCTGCGTCTAGACTAATTGGTTGACCTTTTGTATACTGCCCGAGGCCGTATGGTGGACTATTGTTGACCTATTAACAGAAAGCAGTCTCCGTGGCCTGAACCATATCATAACAGGGCGATGACTTCTACCTACGTACCTACGTCCCCACGCGGTAAGCGCCCACAAAAGGACACTCATATAGGGGCAAGGTAAAGCTCGCCGAGGCCGGCGGATTACTGTCACCTGAGCTCTTCACCCACCTCCTCGACGTTGTATTCTCCTTGAAAGAGCGAGTGCTTGATATGGGTGCATTGGAGGAGTTTTAGCGCATCCACACTCTTGCTGACACCGGCAGGAAGCAGACGGGCATAATTACTATGATGTAGCATTCTATTACTCACCCTCCTCCACGTCTCGGGTTCTTTATACGTCGCTGTCTCGGCGCCTAATTTTAGGCTAATGATCCTGACAAGATAGTAGTATAGCTACTAAAGCCAAGTCACTACTCGACATCGTACCACTAATTTTTGAGTTTAGCTACTATTTAGAGCCCGAGGGAGACCAAGCGGGTTTCAATACATATAAGCTTACAACATTGCCATCATACCCTAAAGCTCAACCGACCTGGCGCGGCAGTGATGTAGTGATGTACGAAATCGGGCTAGAGGCAAGGAAGTAAGCTAAAGAGCCTGCTCATCTCGTTGTGCATTTTGCCAATTTGGGCCAGGAGGGCACGGGCGCACTGAAGCTTTAACAGTAATCCACTGCCGCTCAGTCTCTTCACCAAGCAGCTAGGTCATGACACCTACAATCCCGCGCGAACCTCTGCTATTTTGAGGGTGCCAATGATAATTACAAGGCTTGCTATCAGATCGATCATCAAAAGAATAGTCTATTCAATGGGTTAACAAGTATATAACTCCAGCACATATCTCACTAGTCGCATTCAACTCGTTGAGATGGGAAGGCAGATGCACCTTGGACTTCAACCGGACACGGCAAAAAGACCACTAGGCACCATCGAGAGGCGCGTGGGCACGTTCAGCCGATCTATTGTCCTGTTTAAAAGCATCTTGTCAATGACTCCCATTGTCACAAGACAGCTGGGCGAGCATACTTCCTCTTCGAATCGTTTCATGAACGATGCCTGGGAAGATCTTCTGCTCCGGCAACCCGTCTGTGCTCCTGCCAGCGGTGTCGTTGCTGCTGGCGGATGTGACAATGTCGCTACCTGCAAGATGGGGGGACGGAATGTGCTGAATCGTCCGAGGGGTCGGCGTAACCTTGGCCATGAGTCGTGGGTCCGAATGTAATTGATCAATAGAGTCACCAGCTAACTGTGGGCTCAGTCCTTGATTGAAGGGCACAGATAGCTGTGGAGGGGTAGATTCAGAAGAGACTGCGCAAACCGGTTGAGATAAGTTGACAACCAGTGATTCAGCGACATTCAGTTTAGGACATACCGTGATTCCTGGGCGATAGATGTGGGGGCTTCACAGACGCTTGGTTGGCGGTATGAAGTAAACCAGGAGCCAAGACATTTCGATCGTCTGCGCCAGGGATTTCGGAATAGCGCTCGATCCTAGTATCACCAGGTTAGGTTTGGTTCACTGCCCACGGCCCTCTCATTATTTGTCCCCGGAGTTAGACTCACAGAGACAATTCCGCTAGTAGGGTGTCATGCCGGAACGCTTCGCGGATGTCGGGAACATTGCTCTTGGCCACATTGTTGCCAGCCACACCAGGGAGAACGCAGCTCGAACCCAGCCATCTTTGCTTCAAGGAAAGTTCAAATCCACTCTGATCGACAGAATGTTTGGCGAGCTCACACATGTCAACCGCACTGAACTTATATATCTGGGCAGCCACCGAATATTCCTCGATCAGAGGCTCTTTCGTGAAGGCAAATTGTAGAGGGTCATCGGTAGACAAGGAAACATTGAGTCCGCGCTTGAAAAAGCTGGCGCACGGGTTCTTGTCATACGTCAAAAACAACGCGTTGTTACTGAGCGGCGACATGGCGATACCGATCTGGTCCAAGTAGTAGAGATATTGTAACAGAGGCACCTTGCGCAACAGGATCCCATGGCTGATGCTGTGGCAGCACAGGAAGCCGACGGCCAAGTGATCCGGGTCACCTGCTTCACCGCAGTGCGGCCGAAGCACGAAGGTGTTAAATCCTCGGTGCTGCCGCCAGTTGTTAAGCGAGGCGATATTAGCGAACATGAAATAGATCCAATAACTGTAAGGCGGATTCTGCTTTGTGTCCCACTCACGAGGAATGGGGTACTTGCGGTAGAGCCGTCGCTCAGCCTTGCTCTCATCATCGACGCTGTCAAATCCCACCACCCGCTGTAAAAAGATATGAAGCTTGGGGTGGCTGGACGGGTCTTGGGTCACTTCAAACAGCGGCTGGAACACATTCGTGATGACCTGTTCAAAGTTTTCCATCATCCCACTTGACTTGTACACATCGTAAAGGCGGGGCACCTGGATCAGCCAGCGAACGTTGGGAGAGAACAGCTTGTTGTCTACCACCCACGCGGCGAGCTTATCCCATTCTTCGATAGATCGTCCATAGATGGAGATTCGCCACTCGACCATCTGGTACTTGCTAGATTCCAAGTCGGAAATCACCTCCTTAGTGATCTCCGCCAGATACCGACCCTTGATGTAGTTGTCGGTCTTCAGGAAAATCTCACGGAGTCGGGATTCTCCAACCGGGTTATATTTCAGGTTGAACTTGTCAAACCGGTGGAAGGAATCGGTGTGTGCCTATGAACGTGGATCAGTACGAGAAGAGACCTGGCACAGTCCTCACGTGGGGACGAAGTGTCTGGTGGAGTTCATTCTTACATGCATGTCTAGTGTATCAATGCTGAGGTCGTAGGCCGTCAGGTTGATACTTTCAAAGACCTCTCGCAACGTGAGATGCTTTCCGTCTCGAAAGAGGACCACTTCGTCGGGGGATTTCCGCATTTTGCTTTTGATGAAGCGAAGAAGATGTTTCTGGTTCATGCAGGCCGAATGATGGACGTGGGTGTCCACTTTGCGCACATTGTAGAAGTCTCGATGCGGTACTTTCTTGCTGTCGGCAATTTCCTGATATTCATTAAGCAATGTGTATAGTTGAAATTTGCCCTCCAGGTACGATAGACGCTTGAAGGCAAAGCTTTTGGTCGGCCCGTCGGTGGAGACGTCTACCACGGCATCCAGATCCATGTAGAAGTCACGCAGTGAAGGGAGTTGGACCACCGGCTCCTGACGATCTGCGGCGGCCTCGGATTCATATACTTGATAGACGCTGCTGCCATCCAGGCGGTATGTCCAAGAGGCCTGCCGGGGGAGGGGCAACAACTCGGTTATTTCAAAATCTTCCCCGATATCCTCTCCCATTTTTCTCTTCTTCCCCGTCAGATCGGACGGCCCTCCGACATTGCCTGGCTGGTACTCCTTGCCTTCGTCCCAGGCGGGCTCGGGGGGAGGAGGGTAGATCTCCCATTCGGGTTGATCCCTTGGGTCATCACCTGCTCTTTGGAGGGACAGCCCCATGTATCTGGACCGCCGATCGAGGAGGCCTTTGATCTTACTATATATGGCATTCAGCTCCGACGTCACGGCGTCGCCCCCAGGCGCAACCCCGTTCGCACCCTGAGACAACCCAAGTCCGAGACCCGCACCATGATATCCCTCCGCGATCGTTGTTGTGGACAGATATGATCCGGGGGGAGGGGCACCGCCCAGGGGCATGGCCTGGTTGCGTGCGGAGAGGTCGGCGGCCAAATGGCTGTTTTGCGCTTGGGCTACTCCGCCAGCCTCGTGCTGATACGGAGGCCCGAGATGCCAATCGGGCTCCTGCCCCATCGACGGCTCCCGTGTCGCCTGGCTCTGCTGCTGTGGGCTGGCGTCTGGGGCGACCATCGCTTTTGACTCATACGGATCGGCCACCGGGCGTCCCGCAGGCACGGGGCTCGCAGGCACCGTATTCTCCCCACCCTTTGATGCTGATGCCAGCTGGTGATGCTGATAGAACAGTTTCGCCTCGGCGTGGCTCATTGATTTCTCGTATGCATAATCGTATGTTGCTGTCTTCTGCTGAAGGTCTCGTGGCAGAATATCTGTGGCTGAACCCTGGGGGTCCTCAAGACCTTCATGAGATGGGAAGTCCGCGGGGTCCTCGACGGAGCCCTGGGATGAGGCAGACTCATCGTTGGAGGATATGCTGGCGTTCATAATCGGACTGGGCTTGTAAGACTCGGGCGGACCCATGACTTCGAGCAGTTTTGGCACGCGCTGGACAAGGAGCTTCGGCAAACGTGGACTCGGGAAATAGAAAGGCTGGAAGGGCAAGAGGGAGCATAGGATTTATGGGACCATAGTGAGAGACACAAGACCAGGGGGTGGTTAGTTAGGCTGCAGGCGATCTATAACATTTGATGTTGGATCATTTTTTCCAAGGGCGGAGAAGGGGGAAGCGACGCCTGTTGATCCACCGGTGAGGGCAGGCCAAAAGGGCGGTGGAGCCCGCGAACCGTTAAAGCTTGGTGGTTTATTTGGACAAGGCAGACAGTGCAGACGGGAATAGTAGGGTAGGGTATCATATTGAGTATATTATATCCGGTCGTCACATTCATCTCCTGCTATCTTGTTGCTAGGGAGGTCCTGTGTCCGTAGGGATCCGGGACATATATACTCTACCACTTATAATATGGTATATCCCATGACACTAGACAGACTGGCACAGTTGACCATCTACATCTTCACACTTCACATATCGAAGCTCTGGCCTCCCTCTATGACCAAAACCAAGATGCCCAGATCAGAAGAGAGTGACCCAGTGATCCGGTATCATACCGACAGTGTCGGTAGATATTATGATTCATAGAGAGTTATATAGTGTCTACCGCCCTATATACCTCCAAAAGGACACCTAGCAGCCCCCAAGTGGTCGTGCTATCTACTACTTCAATTGAGACGGCCCTCCAGGGCGATCTACCACTAACTAGTTCATTAGTATGTACCCCGAACACCTAAAGAGCCTCGACCCTAAGGAGCCCCAAAGCCTTAAGGCACTAAGCTCCGAAGAGCTCAAAGTGGATCCCAACCTTCCCAGGCGACCGTCATTCTTCCACCTCCAAAAACACCCACCCGCAAACTAACCCTCACAACACCACACATCATCTGCCCTTCTAGCCTCACCTGCTCTTGATACTTCTCATTTTCTGCCCCCACAAAACCCCCCTAGTGATCCGGATTCTCCACCTCGCCACTGGTCAGCCTGAATCCCCTCTAAACCCCCCCTCCTCACCCCCCCCCCCCAAACCGCGCCTACGTCAACTCTGCCCCCTCCCCTCGTCGCCTATATCCCGCCTCCCACCCCATCACTAGATCACCCCAACGAAAGATACTCGCTGGAGCTGGAACCGAACTAACAGCACATGGTATATAGCTGTCTTCGACCCTCCCGCCTGCATCCGCCAGAAGTCATGGCATCCCTGAACCTCTCTGCCAACGGTCCATCGATATCGAAAAGCTACCAGTCGGTAGTCAACGCATCACCTTCCACCGGCAAAGCGGCATCGCCAACCTACGGCTATTGGGCGGTCTTTTCCGTTTCAACCCCGCTGGTCAATGCCTTCCAACAAGATGCTGGGAACAAAGAGAGTGTGCTGAAAGTCCAAAGCACAGGAGGTCAGTTGGTCTTTCTTTCACCCCCCTCTCTTCCTGCAACACCGTCTTCGTCAAATTGCATTGGTGCTGACTATAACTTAAAGACGGTGAATTGGAAGAGCTCATCGAGGAATTCTCCGAAGGCCGAGTGCAATTTGCCTACGTGAAGGTGACAGACCCCAACACGGGGTTGCCTAAGAATGTTCTCATTGCGTGGTGTGGCGAAGGTGTGCCGGAACGGACAAAGGGGTACTTTACCAGCCACCTTTCCAGCGTGTCCAGATTCTTACATGTGAGAAAACCCATTCTTGATATCCTCCATATTGGTGGACCCCGCTGATACGAAGACTGGCTCAGGGGTACCATGTCCAAATCACAGCCCGGGCGGACGGCGACCTCTCTCCCGAGGGCATCGTTCAAAGAGTGGCAGACTCTTCGGGCTCCAAATACTCGATCGAATCCCAGGCACCCGTGGCTTCGACTACATCCACGTCCGCCGGTCCTCGACCCCCGGTCGCCAGTAAGCCGGTATTCACCCCCACCCGATCGAGGGGGATTGCCCCGAATCCGGTCCCTCGCGCCGCGCCTGCTGCCCCCTCCGGTGCCAATGTCGATGACGATGGCTGGGGTCCTGATGCTCCACCAGTGACTCGCACGCAACTCGAGAAAGTGCAACCCGCGTACCAACCTACCCGAGTGAACCTGCAACAACTGAAGTCGGAGAACCAATCCCCGGGCCGCCAAGACGCTCCGGCCTCCAGCGAGGACAAGGGCGGTGTGGTTCGAGGAGGTTACCAGCCCATTGGAAAGGTCGATATTGCAGCGATTCGGAAACAAGCTGCTGAAACCGGCCAGCTCAAGGACGATCGACCCGCCCCGGTGAAAGGAGCGTATGAGCCAATTGGCAAGATCGATATTGCTGCCATTCGTGCCAGGGCACAGAAGCCCAAAGAGGCCGCTGATACGGGATCCTCTGGCGATGCTCACAGCCCCGTGTCTCGCAATGAGCCGACGACGCTGCCCGAGCGGCCGGCTGAAAACCAGAACGCGGAACGCCTCACTAACCTTCCGAAGCCTAAGATTGCCAACAAGTTCGGCTCGGGTCCTTCTTTCCCTGGCACGAAGCCGCCTCTACCTGCGGAACTGGGTGCCTCGTCCGACAACGCCCCCGTACAGGTTGGTAGCGCCAGCCGAACTTTCGCGGATCAAGGAGGCAAGACTCCAGCCCAGCTGTGGGCGGAGCGAAAGGCCAAGGAGCGTGGAGAAGCCCCCCAAGCAGCAGATACGACTTCGCAATCCATTCAAAGCCAGTACAGCGGCCAGGGCGAATGGAAGAGCTCTTACTCTGGCAAGACATGGGCCACGGTCCAAACGGCCCAGAATCCACCTAGCTCGCCCTGGGCTGCTGATGTAACAGCTCCTGAACTTTCAGAGCCCCAGAAGGCAGAGGCGGAGCCGGTATCACACGTCCACGATATCCGCAGCCAATTTGCCCAGGACCCTGCGCCGCCGATTCCCCAAATTAGTCGTCCTGTCCCGCTCCCTGGTCTGCCTAACCGACCAGATGAGTCCGAGCCCGAGCCCGAGCCCGGGCCCGAGCCCGAGCCTGAGATCCAGCAGGTTCTGCCCACGCCGCCGCCGCAGCCACGCTCGCCGACTCCCCCCACCCCTCCGGTCCGAGAGAGCTCGCCTATTCGGGTAGCGATGCCGGTTGGTCGTAGTGTGACAGATGCCCACGAGGAACAGCACGCCCCACCCCCGGCGGTACCCGTCCAGAGCCTTCAAGATGTTGTTCCGGATGAGAAGGACCTGGAGGACGATACTCATCACGATCTTGGTCGGGCTGCCGCCGAAGCTGCCATCGGCGAACAATCTGCCGCTGGGATCCGGGCCATTGTTCAATATGACTACGACAAAGCCGAAGACAACGAGATTGAGCTCCGGGAAGGCGAACAGGTGACCGACATTGAAATGGTCGATAAGGACTGGTGGTTGGGAGTCAATGTTCGCGGCGAACGAGGTCTCTTCCCTGGCAACTACGTCGAAGTTGTCGACAACGACGATGTTGATGCTGCAGCTGGCGCTCACCACGCCCAAGAGCCCGTGGCGGAGCCTGCGCCAGAGCCAGCGCCAGAGCCTGCGGTAGCCCCCGTGCAACCCGCCTCGGCAATCAATGGCGGCTCTAACCACCCGACTGCGACCGCGGTCTATGACTACGAGGCCGCGGAGGACAACGAGATTAGCTTCCCCGAAGGAGTGAAGATTGTGAACGTGGTATGTATCTCTTGATTCTCTCTCTTCCCTTACTCTTTACCACCATTGCGCCATATGCTAATCGAGATGCTAGGAATTCCCCGACGACGATTGGTGGCTTGGAGAATATAACGGAGCCCGAGGACTGTTCCCGGCCAATTATGTCGAGTTGGATAAATGAAAAACCAGCCCGATCTGCATAAATCGACTGCCTCGCCAGATGATTTGCTCGTTTGTGAAAACGAACTCCAAGCACGTGTACATAAGCTTCAAATACCTTCCATACGTTACCAGAAAACTGCCTGGGGGCCTGTGTCTCCCTGCCTCTCTTTCGAATGTTGATAGTGCCTCGAATACTACATTCTACGTCAACAACAGTACCTAGGGCTCCTTGGTAGTATATCCTTAAACGTACCTCTCTCTCCGTGTAAAAGACGTCATAATGTATTATATAAGCACACACCCGACTTCAGTCAACATCACGTGACATGGCACCGCGCCCATAAACAAGTGCAGCCGCGAGGCCGACTCCGTGCTCGGGCCTGCGAGGGATCTTCGTTTGCAACCTCGAGGGCAGTTTCATCCCGCCGATATCCTCCCTTGTAACCCTCTGCCTTCGCAGTTCTCGGATATCGGCCCTACATTTTACCAAAGATGGCGTCGTTGGGCGATGACCTCCTGGTCACCGTGAACAAGCTCCAGGACCTGGTGTTCAACACCATTGGGAATGATTCCCTTGACTTACCCCAGATCGTAAGTGTTGCTCAGTCCTGTGCCCCCTAACCTGCCCAAAGTTAATCCTTCCTCTAGGTTGTGGTCGGTTCCCAATCGTCTGGCAAGTCGTCTGTCCTGGAGAATATCGTGGGCCGAGATTTCTTACCACGCGGCAGCGGCATCGTTACCCGGCGTCCGTTAATCCTTCAACTCATCAATATTCCCAGTGAGCGCAATGACAGGCCCGAAAACGACGAGGTCCATGTCCCCCACACTGCCGCCAGCGTAGCCGGCCAACACGAATGGGCTGAGTTTCACCATCTCCCGAGCCGCAAATTCGATGATTTCTCGCTGGTGAAGCAGGAGATCGAGGCAGAGACGGCGCGCATTGCTGGCAGCAATAAGGGCATCAACCGACAACCGATCAATCTCAAGATCTTCTCTCCGCATGTCCTGAATTTGACCCTGGTGGACTTGCCGGGCCTAACCAAAGTGCCGATTGGCGACCAGCCGTCCGATATTGAGAAGCAGACCCGCACTCTCATCTTGGAATATATTGCCAAGCCTAACAGTATCATTCTCGCCGTGTCTCCTGCCAACGTGGATTTGGTCAACTCGGAGGCTCTCAAGCTGGCCCGGCAGGTGGACCCTATGGGCCGAAGGACGATCGGGGTCTTGTCTAAATTGGATCTGATGGATCATGGCACCAATGCTCTGGACATTTTGTCTGGTCGTGTGTACCCCCTGAAGCTGGGGTTCATCGGTGTGGTCAATCGTTCTCAGCAAGACATCCAGTCTGGCAAAGCGCTGGCGGAGGCCCTGCGAGCCGAGGCGGACTTTTTCCGTCATCACCCGGCATATCGGAACATGGCAAATCGATGCGGGACACAATTTCTGGCCAAGACCCTGAACTCAACTTTGATGTCCCACATTCGGGACCGCCTGCCGGATATCAAGGCTCGCCTCAATACGCTGATGGGTCAGACCCAGCAAGAGTTGGCAAGCTATGGGAATAAGCAGTTCAGCGGAAAAGAACACCGTGGATCTCTAATTCTGCAGCTAATGACTCGCTTTGCTTCCTCCTTCATCTCATCCATTGACGGAACCTCCTCTGAAATTTCAACCAAGGAGCTCTGCGGTGGTGCCCGAATCTATTACATCTTTAACGAGGTCTTTGGAAACTCTTTGGAGACGATTGACCCCACGCACAACTTGACGGTTTCGGATATCAGGACCGCCATCCGCAACTCAACGGGCCCCCGGCCCAGCCTGTTCGTACCCGAGCTGGCCTTTGATCTCCTGGTCAAGCCACAGATCAAACTGCTAGAGGCGCCCGCTCAGCGGTGTGTGGAGTTGGTGTACGAGGAACTCATCAAGATCTGTCACACTTGTGGCTCGCAGGAACTCCTGCGGTTCCCCCGTCTCCAGGGCAAGCTGATTGAAGTTGTGTCCGATCTTCTCCGTGAGCGGTTGGGTCCTTGTGCGGGCTATGTGGAATCCTTGATCTCTATCCAGAGAGCCTACATCAACACCAACCACCCCAACTTCCCCGGTGCCGCAGCGGCCATGTCCTCGATCATCCAAAATAGGCAGGAGGACGAGCGGAAAGCCGTTCTGGCCGAGGAAAAGCGTAAGCGTGAGAGACGGCGGCTGAAGGAGCTTGGAGCGACCAATGGTGTCGCTGGCACGCCAGACGACGAGGACGCACAGTCTGAATCCAAGTCTCACAACCTCCCCATTCGAAGCCAGTCTACTAAAGGCGCGCGAAGCATGTCGCCGCATGTCGGGAGAGCCGCGGAGAATGGCATTGCCGCGACCTTGAATGGCACGCATGCGAACCATCCGGGTGGCTTCGGTGCCTCGCATACCACGCGCGATTCTTTCTTGAACTACTTCTTTGGCAAAGAAGGCGGTGTTCCAAGTTTGGCTGTGCCCTCTCAACCTACATTGAACCGATCGGGCGCCCACGCAAGTGAGCCTAGCATTAGCCAAAGCCTTCGCCGCGCCGAGGTACGGTCACCCGTGATGCCATCTGAGGAATATGCAGCTCCTTCATTTGATTACGGTGGTGATATGTCTGTTTTCGTGAGTGTTCCGCCTTTCCACCCCCCGCCCCCTTCTAGTATAGTACATAGGGTCCGAACTTCGACTAATGTGTTCACCCCTTGAACCAGCCCCATGAAAATGCGGAGCCTACTTTAACTGATCGCGAGGTGCTTGAAACTGAGCTGATCCGCCGTCTTATCTCCTCCTACTTTAACATCGTGCGGGAGACCATTGCCGACCAGGTCCCCAAGGCTATCATGCATCTGCTGGTCAACCACAGCAAGGACGTTGTGCAGAACCGACTGGTCAGCGAGCTCTACAAAGAGGACCTTTTCAGTGAACTGTTGTACGAAGATGATGGTATTAAAGCCGAACGGGAGAAGTGCGAGCGGCTTCTGGAGACTTACAAAGAAGCCGCGAAGATTGTGGGCGAGGTGTTATAGATACGCCGAGGGCGTTTGGACGGTGGGAAGATTTCGCATCTTGTTTGAGTATCGGGATGTGGTCTTCATTTTCAAGTTACGTGGATGTACAATTATTTTGGGGCTATTGATGCACATGCTCTCTTGATATACTCCCGTCTCTCTTCTTCACTTGGAGGATGTTCACTGCTCTTTTTCTTGTTCCTTGGCTTCGTATGTTTAAATATCTAGTCTAGTGTGTATGGTCGACCCAAAGGTGGGCTGTTGTGCTAACAAGGGTAACTCTCCAACATGCCCTTGTCCGAATCCAGGAGGGCCTCATTGGGTTTTCTTCATGCTCGTCTTCCTCAATCGTGCTCCCTCAAACCCATACAAACCACCGCCAACGGTCACCAGAACTGCTCCGGCGAGGACACCAGACGCCAGATCGTTCCCAAACAAATAGATTGAAAGCAGCAAAGAGGCTAGCTTGCGGATGTTCAAAAATACCGTGACGGTCAATGAAGAAGTCTTGGCTGATAGCAAATGAACTCCCCGGATGCACACGTACTGCGTTAGCGCATTCATCATCAGGTAAGCCACTTGAATTGGAACTTTGTCGAGCACAATTTCAACCAGCCCGTGCTTCTGAACAGGCCCCAGTCTAGAGAACACAGTGCTGCCCATGATGCTGAATGAACTCTGACTGGAATTTCCGGCAGAAAATGTGGAAAGCAGCGACGGAGTGGATGCCACCACACGCCACTGTGATAATAGCTGCGGATAGCTGGTCAAGAACAACGGCAGAGACAGGGCGTGCGAGTAGAACAGGGCCTCCTTCCAATGATCGCGGCCATAAGTCGCATATAATCGGTCAGCGTAGATGCCCTGGAACGCGGATAAAACCATGGCCAAGGCAAGAATTATGAGTCCGGTGGCCGTAGTCACCATGGACACGTCGCTGCCGGCCCCAACCTGAATGGACTGGCCTTTAGCCTGCGCGTCGGCAAGCGCAGCGGCCGCCACGCCCGCCGTGAGCATAGCTACAGCGAGAATTTGGCCGCGGGAGTACCGTTTCCCATTATAGACATATCCAACAATAATAGAAGCCACCGGCCCGCCAGAACGAAGGATGATATGAAGCGGGACGGAGATCTTATAAGCGAAGGCCCAATTGTTCAAAAGATTGACGGACACAAAGTACGCGGTATAGATCATCCATGATCGGAGTGGAATCGCTCGAGGGCTCAGGAACAGAGCATGGTGCCCGGCGGAGAAGGAGAGGAAATGTGGAAGGGTGAAGATGGCGCATAGGACGAACTGAGCGAAGGTGATTAAGGGACCTGTGTCAGTGGGTTTGAATTAGGGCGCGTGTGTATCAGTGTGGATCGCTTCATTGGGCCTTACCGGCTGTAGGTTGCTCTCTGGAGGGCAAAAACATGTTAGTAATCGGCGATTTCCATTGCAGTCGTGGATACACTTACTTGATGATAGCTTCGAGGGCAAACACCTGAACTAGATGTCAGCCATTGCGTGCCCCCCGAGACTCAAACGGTTCTGGCCTATGCAATTAACTCACGTTCGTGCAGCATCCTCCGAATATGAGCGAAGCCATCAGGGCCATATTGGCCCAGGAGGGTACCGTCGCATGTGCTACCGCCGCAATCACGCCCCCATTCATCTTCGCGCTGTCGGAGCCTGCGGCGCGGGATTTGAGAGCCGGCTGAAACGTGGAGGACCCATTTGCGTGGCTGTTGGAGCTGTCGGTGGATTGTCTGGTCTGCGGGATCGCGTAGGCGTCCGTTGTTAGTTTCGCGGTGTCACTATCATTGATCATCCTGCATGGAGATGAAGTCAGTCGCGGTGGCCGAGGAGACAGGCCGCTCGCGTGAGGGGGAGACGGACCTGCTCCGAAATGCCCTTCCTGCGCGGCGCGTTGGCAGTCCTCGGTTTCCCTGGGCCAGCGTTCTTGTCGTGTTGCTGGTTGAGATGACTGTCACTGACTTGACTTGTGCATCCGGCGTAGGATACCAAAGGCCCGCGGAAGGTGACGTGGTCAAAAGAGGAGCGAACGGGGAAGGAAGGTGGGATCGGCGGGGCCGTGTTACTTGACTTCCTCTTTGGGCAGCCGTGCTACTAGTCGAACTAAAGATCACTCATGTATCGACTAGCAATTGTCGTAACAAACTACAGCGCTAATTTTTAAGATAATAAATTATGAATTAGATTACCACTGGCAATGGTTGCCGCACGCGGTTTCATCATTATATGTATCATTAGCACACACATGGTGCTCGATGAAACACGAATGATATTCAATTTCCAAAACAAAGTCTTCTTCATATAGAATGACACTGGACACCCTCAATCGTCCACAATATCATCGTCACTGAGAATGAGTTTTTCTTCTTCCAATTTGGGTCCTGGAGACCCAAAGCCCTTGCGGTTAGGTTGTGATCGCGGCGGTGCGGGGACTGGTTCATCTTCGTCGGCTTCGTCGCCTAGACGCCCGCCCTGGATGCTGGTTATTTGATTCAACTGCCAGCCATCAGGCTCTTTGCGACGGATCTGAGCCATGTAAGGCAGCTGGTGAAGCAGCGCGTCAGGTCGCGACATCATCGTCACAGCTGAGTTCAGGGAACCGTCGGTCTCCAGCCCCGAATACCCAACTCGAAGGCTTTTCCAGAACTTCACACCGGTGGACTCGGTAGCAGCGCCCAGGCCACGAGAAAGGAGATGCGTTTGGCCGGAAGGATCGAGCATCTGTGTTAGATACGAGTCGACGAGGCCGTCAATTTCCTCGGTCCTCCTCCATAGTCGCAGCGAAGCCGGGTAGAGCATCTTATAAGCATCGCCCGCGCGACTTCGTCCGTTCCCTGGAGCCATTTTTCTTTTGACGGGGTACGGAAGAGCGAACAAAAGCCCGCGCGCCGCAACCTGAAAGCTGATCTCATCCTGCCGGAGCATATCGACACCGGCATTGAAAGGAGTCGCGCCAACGCCAATGCCTGTCCTTGCACCCTGTGAAGGTCTGCGATCGGGGCTGAGAATATCGCTATCGGATAGCGCTTCGATGCACGCATTGAGATTGTCTGTGAAGAAATCCCCGTCACAGGACGGCGGGTAATTCTCATGAAGGGCACAGATAAATGTGGATATATCAGTACCTGTCTCATCAAGTAGTTCATTGACGGCAACCTGCGAGACTTTGAATCGACGGTGGCGAGCTAAATAACCCGGTGGCGATGGAGGAATTGCAACATCACCAGGCATCAGACTTGGGTCCAGGCGTTTGTTGTAGACAATCTTGCCCACGGCGTGGAACATCCCGAGGCTCGTCTCTCGCTGCGATATCATCTCCAGGGACTCTTGCTCCATAGGGGTCAGGGTAGACTCTCCCCGAGACCTTTTCGCCTTAGCCAGACTTCCACCCCATTTCCCTGCTTGATCGCCTTTCAGGCAGAGAAACTCAAGAGAAGACAGGGCGCTGCGAATATCCCCAGTCTCAGAAATCCTGTCCAAGACTGCCTGACCAGGAACACAAGACCGCTGGGAAGTTCGAGCCTCTTTTTCGAGCACCAATCGCAAAGCTTTCTGCATGAAAGTTGGTGCAATACTATTGAAGTCAATGATTGTTGTACCAGGGTGGTTGTACATCGTGGGACCGAGCAACCGATGCACGGTTAAGTTATCTGAGATAGACGTTGCGGAACTGAGCAGCGTCTCTGATACAATCATCACAACGGGCGGGTGCATCCACCCACCCAAGGAATGCTCAGTGGAGGCGGCGACATAGCGCTGCAAAGAGGAGCGAAAGGCAGCGAGACTGGAAGAATTTCGGCTGAGTATTGTTGGAAACTCTTCAACAAGAAGAACACGGCGGCTCCGAGGACGTGCATCACGGCTCTCCTTCAACTCAACCGCATCCTCAAGATCAAGACCCCCAAACCGGTCTCCACGTCCAAGGAATTCTTCAAAATGGGTGCTCGCGGAAACGTAATCGTGAGCAGCGAATTCAGAGACCGACGGATTTCGCCACTCAATTAGGTCAAAGCCCATAGTCTTGGAAAGAAGCGCGATGGCGGTTGTCTTGCCGCTTCCGGCAGGGCCTCGCAAGACGAGTAATCGCTACTCCATGTTATCAGTTAGTCGAACCAAGCTAGCAGTCTCAAAGGCCCGTGCCAGGCAGTGGACAATGTAGCATAAGCTCACTCACCTCCCTCCGTCTCCCTGAAAATGCATCCTCCAACCAGTTCTGAACATCAGAAACCTTTTTTTTGTGAACCGCTATCTCGTCCAAACTCGACGGCCCAAAACGCTGTGCCCACGGGCGTTGGTCCACCTTTATCGAAGTTGGAACAGGCGACTGTCGACGGGGGCCGCTCTTGGACTCCGGTGGCATCAGAAAGCGCTTGGAAGAATGACTTTTGGGCCGCGACGCGACTGTCTTTTTCGGCGCTGGCCGTCGTGCTTGGCTAGGGCCATGGGAAGCAGGCGAGTCAATCGGCGAATATGATTTCTCTCCCGCCGCCAGGTGTTGTGTAAATATCTCATCGTAGGAATCATAGTCGTCTTCGATCAAATCGGCATCAAGGGTGGTCTCCGCGGCGGCGAGCGGGCGCTTCGACTCGAATTTCTGCGCGGACCATCGCTGCGCCTCCGTTGCGGGCTGGAAAAATGTGTGGAGGGACTTCGATCGCGTTGTCTTGGGGGGTGAGCTCGTTTTCTTCGGCGAAGGGGAGGACGAGGGAGCTCTGGGGAGTTGGGTTTGGCTCGCACGCGCGCGAGGATTGGTCGTCTCGGGGCGCGACGAGAGCGCGACGGGGTTACGGCTCGACGGGTCCAGGGAGGTTGGCCGTGCATCTTGTTCCCCCGGCGGATCTTTCTTTGGACGGGCGGATCGGCGTTGCCTCTTGGGGGAACGACCGTCCATGATGGGCCCGGGCGAGGAGACGAAGGCGAAGGAGGAAATGCTTGCGCGGCCGATAAGCTTATGACGCCAAGCGCCAGGGTCGGCCGCGCATCAGTCACGGATAGATTAATCTACAGAACTATAGAGCTTGCGGTCAAAGGATTTCATATGTCTCTTAGACGGTCATCTTGCAGTAATTTATATTCAACGGCCTGATACTAAGATTCTTTTTTAAGCGTATAGACACAACTCCAGTTCCAAGGTTCATAGTGCATCTTCCGCATCCGGCCACAGTGGGTATAGGTATATCGACAGGATTCCAACATCATGAGACGAGAAATGAAAAGAAAAGAAAAGAAAAGAGAAAAAGAGGTCAAAGAAAATGAAAAGCCGCGGGCCCTGGCTAGGCACCACCAAAGACATCGTAATAGTAATCCTCATCTAGGCCTTCCCGCACGGGCACAGGAGGGGCCTCGCCCGCGAAGGTCGCATCGTCAAACCGAACATTGAGAAGGCGAATCTTGAGCCCATAGTTGCCGACCAGATCAATGAGCTTGGTCGTCTCCGCGGTGATAGGTTGCTGGTTGAGAAGCATGAGGAGGCCATCCAGCCACTCGGACGCTACGCTGTGGCTGGCCGGCCGGAGAGTCAGGAGAACCACTTCCTTCTGGGTGGATTTGCTGCCCGTTCGGGTATGACCGTGACTCTTCGAATGCTCTGACGACGATGGCGCATAGCCGTGAATGGTAATCTTGGTGGAAGCCTGGCGAGGCGCAGTCTTCACAGTGGACGAGGACGAGTGATCGGGACTGGTCGAGATATTGGAGACTACCGAGGAAACGATGGATAGATCGACTGGTAGTCAAATGTTAGCAATAGACTTATGGATAGATATCCACAAACAGAGGTGATGCAGAGAAGCGTGGGGGGGGGCGGGGAAGCAGTGCTGGGTTCTATCTCACTTTTTTCGGGCAGCGCATCCAGCTCTGGGGCTCTGTCGCCCACAGAATCGAAATCGCCAAAATGAAGGTACCGCCGGTTATGCGATAATTGTACATATTGGTGTGAAGCCGTGGACCTGGATGCGGGCCCCGAATCCGACTTGGAATGGGACTCGAGAGAGAACCAGGCACCTTGGAGCAGGCATCGAATGCGCTGTTCCTTGACAAACTGCAGGGCCTCGTGATGGAGTTCCTCGCGCACTTGACGTAAGTGCTGGCCCCAGGCATCCTCATAGGTGAGCTCAAGAAGCTCCATCTGCAGCTCCCGCAGCCGATGGTATTCGAAGCTGGCCAGCTCCTCCTCCACATCCTGGACATCCTTGGTCCGACCGGCACCGCCCACGACGGACTCGATCAGAATGCGAACCAGCTCGACGAGCTTGTCCAGATCCTCTGTCTCCGCAGTAGTCGCTTTCCACAGGCGGAAAAAGGCCTGCAAGCCTGCTACATGCAATCGGGTCCAGTGCAGCAGCAGAGGCTTGAACAATTTATCAAAGTTGGAACGTGACTCCAGCATCATGTAATTCTTGGAATCGTCCATCTCCGATTTGTCCACCTCAAAGTGCTCATATAAGATGGATGTCACGGCCAAGGAGGCTCGGGCAATCGGGCATCGCTGGCGCGCTGGCTTCGTGGACTGCTCGAGGAGTATCTTCTGGAACTCATCCTGGTGGCTGCGGACATAGTCCGCTAGATCCATCATGCCTAGAAATCCCACTTCGCTGAACTCGGCCGCAGGACTCTCCGACTCGAAGCCCAACCGGCGCCACTTGTCCGGATGGTGTCGCTTGGAGCGTCGTGAATCATCGCTGTTTTCTGCAGCCTCATCGACGCCGCCCTTCGCCGGATTGCTAGCCACGTAGATACCCTTTAGCGCTCTTCGGTGCTCGGGCGTCTCTTGATTTAGGGGTATGTCCCGCCATTTGCGAAGGAGCACCTTCGTGAGAGACTGAAACTCGAGGAGCGGGTGTGCCAGATCCTGAAGAGCCGAGTCCTGCATGAGGACATAGACTGCCCGGATGACTCCTAGGTCCTGTAATTTCTGAATAAACTTGGGCCACTCGGCTTCAGAGTCGAAGGTGATGGAATCGCGCATCAGGGAATTGATCAACTGGAGCGCATTGGCACACAAGGCGTGATCGGCCGAGGACAGCCGGCTCACCAGCATCTCCAAGAACTGGGGATAAATCGCAATGGCTGGTTTGAGGGCCCGGAAACCAAAAAGGTCTGCTTCAGAGGCGCGGCTCCCCGCGTGTGGATGTGAGACTATGGAGACGAGTATCGACATGGCACCTCGGAGGATGTTGACGAGGGGATGGGTCACGATCAATTCAACAATCTATTCGCAATAATGACGGTATTCAGCAGGTGACGAGGCAGAGAAACAAGGGAAGAAGGAGGGGGGGGCCGGAAGAGAAGGAGGGCACACGCCACTCCATCGAGTGGAAGGAGGAAGAGAGACTTACTCGTTCGACCAACTCCTGGTCGACGCACTCCCAGCCCTTGTCGACCTCCAGGAGGCGGGCGAAGCTCGTGAGGCTATAAGCCAGGGTATTGCCGCTGGCGTGCAGGGTCAGATATCGCAAGCGAGTCAATCCCCCCTCCGTCATAAAGATGTCGGCAAAGGATGGGTCGCCAATGTTGCTTTGGAGCTTGAAGACGGCCATTTTGCGCACGGCATCCTCATCGCTCCCCAGGCGCTCCACCAATTCGGCGACGTTGACGGTATCCATGATGTCGTAGTTCCCCCCCGGGCGCGTGTTGGGGTGCTGAGAAAGGAAAAAGCGCGGAGAGTCGGGGAGGGTCAGGGGCTGTGGGGCAAGCTGGGCTGGGATCGGAGGTGTGCCGCGAGTCTAATCCTTGGAAGTACGGGACCACGAGAGAACTACAAGTCAGGGTCCGCGGCCAATTGCATCAAATCGATTATATTTTGGAGCTTGGCTTCCAAGCCCATTGAATGAGATACTCGCATATTTTCGTTCATACATGAAGAAATCAACAAAAACGGGAAGAGGGGCCCAGTGTGTTCCTGACCGGCTCCCCCCCTTCCCCCAGGGGGAATCTATACAAAGCAGTTCATCACGTCCGTTTCGTGACTCCGGAAGATGCAGCGCCCAACACCACAGAATTATGCAACCGATTAAGAATCTCTCACAAAAAAAGGGGGGTTTTTCTTCAGGTTCTTATCCAGAGGACCGGCTGGGAGAAACCTGCCAAACCCAATCCGCCGAGAGAAGCCGCGAAGGGTCACCGGCGCCATCCCACGTTCCAAATCACATGGGCGATGTCGCGTGCGGTGTTGACGGTGTCAACGACGCGGCCCAGCAGACCATGGCTGGCAACTTCCCCGTCACCGTCCCCATAAGGCATGAACATGCCCGAGGCGGTTAGTCGCAGCGGGCGGTCGGCGAGCTCAGATTCCTCTTCCGGGACGAACCATGGCTGTGCCGGATGGCGGTACTGACCGGTGAAGTCCAGAGATGGATCTTCATCCTCATCGTCCAGGAGGAAGTTGGCCGATGGTTGGGAGGGTCGAAGCGTCTCCACGGAGGAGGTTGGGGACAAGGTGGAGGAGGATGGGGACGGAGCCCACCGGCCGACGATCGACTCTCGCGGCTCCGGGGTATCGCCGCGATACTTGAGGGTGGTGGAGGGGAGGGGCGCAATGGTCTTGCTGTCGCTACTGAAACTATTGCGAGGCGTGCTTCGGTTGCTGACGGAGGCTTTGCCGGGAATTTGCCGCATCATGACCACGCCTTCATCCGATGAGGACTCCTCTTCGAAGGCGAGGGGCCACGCCTCTTCGTCTGCCTCCTTGGCTTCCACGGCGATGCACTGGACGACTTCGTTGTTGAAGTGGATGTGACGCCGCTCACTTGGGGACGTCAGTCCCGATGAGGACGACGTGGTGAGAGTGCCGCCAAAGGAATAGGTCGAACTCCCGGTCCGATGGTGGAGCTGATCAATGTCGGTGTTGGATCGGGGGAGTGGCGGTCGAGTCCAGCCATTCTCGGCCTCCTGGGCCTTGAGGATAGCGCCCGCATGTTGTAACAGGGTATGTTGGGATAGCGACCGTTGGAGAATGGTCTCGGACATGGTCTTTTTCTTGAGAATCGGTTTTCGTTCTAGGTAGGAGTTGGGGGTATCCAGACGACTGGGGGGTGGAGATGCATCCAATGCCAGGGCATCGCTGGAACTCGATGTCTTGAGGGGTCCGTAGAGCCATGTGACGTCGCAGTCCTTCAACCTACAGGCCACACATTAGTCAATGGGAGACGTCGTGGGGTCGGAGGACCACCATCGGGACCGGAGAACTCACCAATTCAATGTCTCGGGGGATATGGTGCCGAGATTGTGCTTCGCCTTGGCCCACGTTCTCCATGAGGCATTCTCGAGCCGGACTCCGTTGCTGTAGGAGCCCTTCCGCGCGGTGACATAGCGCCAGGATGCCCAGATATCCTCTTCGCGCCACTCATGAGAGAGGTAATCCACATGCCTGGACGGTTCCTCCTCGACCGACGAATCATCCGCGGCCGGGGTGTGGTAACACCACGCGGGGGGGTGGGTGGCGCCATCCGCCGACGCGTCGCTAACCGTATCCGGCTCCAGTTCGGGTCCCTCGGGTCCCTTGGGTCCCGGGAACACCTCGGAGTCGGAGTCATAAGCCGGGAGAATCAAATCGTCGTTGAGGGAGAGGCTGCTCAGGGTGGTCGGGGTGTCGGGGAGCTGATCCTGGGACGGGGTGAAGCTCGGGGAGGGCGGGATGGAGGAGAGCGTCGAGGCTACGGGGCTGGGGCACTCCCGGGCCGAGCACTCATCTTGCATCGGCGACTTGGACAGGATGTGGTCCTCGAGGAAGTAGCGCTGTGTGGTGGGCGACCGTAGGGGATCGGGGGAGAATTGTGGTGGATGCTGTTCGCGGGCGGTCACCAGCACCGCCGTCATTGCCCCGTCGCGATGATGTGCTTCTTTCACTAGGCCGGGGTGAGGAGCGGTGGAAGACTGGGTGTCGGCGAGAGGGGGGGGGAGGGGAGGTGTGAGGAGGCCAGTGTGGAAGAGGATTGCCCTTTAAAGACCAGACATCGAGGCCATAACCAGTGGAGGACAGGTGGGAGAGGAGGAAAGAAAAACTGGAAAGGTGGCGGAGAGCAGGCGGGTCCAGACCCGGGGCAACGGGGACCGGGGGAATTACTAGTGTAGATGCGGGGAGGAAGCGAGAGAGATGAGGAAGGGGGAAAGGAAGCGGATCAGAGGGAGAACCACGGATGGATATAGCAGCGCAGATAGCACAGCAAAAGCGCAGGGGTACCAAAAAGCAGGATAGCCGGCAGATAGCAGATAGCAGATAGCAGGGGAGGGGGAAGAAAAGTCTAAAAAGACCAGCAGAAGGCAGAGGCAGAGGGAGTTGACGGGGGGAAGAAAGGAAGAGGGCCAATGTGGTGACACACAACGGCCGGATATGGCATCCCCATGACATTATATAGTTGGACGACATCGAGACCGCTCCCAGCACTGCATGCCGGCCCTGATAGTTTCATGATGCCCACGCCCATTCAGTTCCATTCCATTTCCCATTACCCCCCCCCTTCCCCCCCCCCATTCTTGTTTTCGTTCGTCAATGCCGGGACCGGTCGCCACCGAGGACCGGCAGGGTCCTGTCCGATCCATGATTTTCATGACTACAAACAGACGCCTCCAAAAGTCTCCCGGGTTCTTCGCCGCGGCCCCGCTAGTGCGTTAGCGACAGGTATATACGAGACTAGACCGGACGATAATCCTCGTGTGGGCTCCACTCCCGACAGCTTCCTGCGCCAGTCGATCCAGTGGAGCTCGGCGCGAGGGGGGGCAAACGGTCGGAGTATTACGGCTGGGTTGGTACTTTGGTCATAGTACTCTCATTCGTAGGCATTGTCTGAACATCGAAATATCGAATAACTATATATAATCGATGATATAATAGCTTATCATCCACGGAAGACACCTTCATCATTATCTTACGTAGGAAAGAAACCCTCTCCGTACCCTCCCGCCGGTGAGGATGGAAGAGCCAAAAAAGGAAAAAAGAACAGTATAAAAAGGACCGGATCCGGTTCCTCCCCCATGGCCGTGCAGCACCTCGGGTCTGAGCCCCTCGCGCGCTGGGGTAGGACATGGCCATTGCCCGGCCTCTCCACCGGCCAGGCTGTCTGTCCCCGACTGACGGAGGGACAAGGGGACGAAGGCGTGCGACGGATTGTGAAGCTCCAGGTCTCACAGCGCGATCCACTTGCCCTTCCTTCCCCTTCGAGTAGTGGGTGTGGGTTAGCTCCCTTAGGTGCGTGAAGAGGCGGCTAGTGGGCGCGTTAGCTCCTTGAGGTCCCTCCTAGGCTCGCGGGAGGCCTAGTGGGATGGGCGAAGCTGCAAGTCAGAGCGACTATCGTAGAAATAAACAAATGAAATAACCCTGGTCATCATCGGATCCTCACCCTAGTTCCTCGAACCCGGTCCTGTCCCGTCCGCCTCTAATATCTAATGTACTGAGCATCGAACCGCAACCGGAAGCAGGCGATTCGCCCCTGGTCGCACGCCTGCTTCTAGAACGATGCAGATTCCCCGCCACGCGGTCATTGACCGTTTGCATCATGATAAGGAAGAGGAGGAGGAAGAGGAGGAAGAGGAGGAAGAGGAGGAGGAGGAGGTGGAGAAATCATGATAATTGGAATTAGTCATGGTATGTTATGCGCCAGAGCACGGGGCACGGGGGTGCACGCCCCAGAGGACCCTGTTGGCCGTAGCATCTCCGTAGCATCGCAATCTCGTCTCGCAATCTCGCCCTTCTGCTGGAGATCCCAACGGCAACACCAACCCCAGCGCCATGGGACCGTGCGGCTGCAGATTCTAAACACAAAATGCTCCGGCCAGCACAGCGCCTACGATCGACCGGTCGATGGGCTCGATGTAGCCGGCGCCCGCCACTAGCGAGCAGCACGGACCGTGGGGAGAAGCGTACCCCGACCCAAGGCCCCACGGTCTGGTCCGGGGACCCGGTCGAGTCGAGCTGACGACGAAAGATAAGCGTATCGACTATCGAGATTCGGTGCGGCACTGCAGCGCACAGCATTTGCTCAGACGGCCAGGTCGATGACTACGCGGCTTGCGGCTAGGCCTGGTGGCGCTCCAGCCCCATGGCTGGGCGCTTTGGCGTCCATCTGGTTTGATCCAGTCATCCAGTCCATGGTATCCCGACCGTGCATCCAGACCGTGCATCCAGACCGTGACCGGCCTCTCGAGATGTTGGGGCACCGGGGAGGGAAATGGGAAGAGCTAAGCTGCCCTGTCATGCTGGCGATCCAAGGCTCCACTATGACCATGACATGACCATGACCATCACCATCACCGTTTCCTATCATCTCGATGGAGAAGAGCGTGATGACTTCCCTGCCCTCCCAGATGTACGCCGGCCATGCAGCTGCACAACGTCGCGATAGGGCCTCCGGGGGGGCAAAACAAGAAGAGCCACAGAAAATGTTGTACACGCAGAATTGCCTTTTGTCTGTGCGCTTGCATGGCCCTGGTCCTTTTGGTGGTTACAGAGAGGCCCAGCGGACCGATGATTGGCGGCCACTTAAAACCCTCCGATCGTCGAGGGCGCAATCCGAGGCCGTTAACCAGTGACATGGTCGCTTCGCTGCATGTTACCGCACAATTTCCCTGGGAGTCCGAGTTTAGGCCCTTTCTCTCCAGTTCCAGTTCCAGCACCAGCACCAGCTGCAGCTACAGCTGCAGCTGCACCAGCCGTCGCCTCTGAAACCGCCCGAGTCTGCCGCCAATTTGGTGCTATCAAAGACCAAGGTGCCAGAGAGCCCGATTCTGGCCCACTGCGGGATCCCGGGGCACTCCTCCAGTCAACCGGATTTCCCTTCGGCCCACCTCCTGCGGGCTCCCCGCGGAGACGTGATGACGCCGGTGCATGGCGAGCAGGACGTGCAATTTAATGCTAACAAAAGCAAAATCAATGACCAAAGCAGCCCAAACAACCAAATTCCTCCCTTCCCCATCCCCTCCCCCCCCACCCCCACGGCTGCTACCGCTAACGTCTGTCACCATCCTTGGTCCCCATTGGCCATTGAGCTCTATAATTTCTCGCACACCTCATCCTGGGCGGCTCTCGCGAAGGGCCAGAGGCTCGGGTAACATGCCCTTGCGACGCGCTCCGATGCAGCCATTGATATCTATCCCGGGCAAGTGGATAGCAAGGCCATACACCTGAGACACTGGAGACAGCCCATTTCTCGACCTGATACTCGGCATCGCCCCTCGTCTCTTGGCCCCAAAGCTATCTGACCGCAGCACCAACCTGCTCGCCAACGGCCGTGCGGATCGATCATCACCCCAGGCACCAATTGGCGTGTGCAGGACGTCCTATCACCCTATCGCCCCATCACCCCCATCGCCCTATCGCCCTGTCCCGCCCAGCCGCCCCCTGCGTGGCCGTCCTGCCTTGGATTTTGCCCTGATGTACCTCAACGGCCCGGCATCGTGTGCAATGCATGGCCCCCGTAGCAAACAGACAGGGCTCCTCGGCAAGCAATGATAACAATATATCCCCACCTCATTCGCCTACAAGCATATTTTGTAGCCATTGCACGCTACCATGAGCGGGGTCAAACGCGCCATTGAAAATGCGCCGACCAGTCTCTTTCCCGATTTCCTGGTTTGATCGGCTGCGATCTTCCGAACTTCGGAGGTATTCGAACTATGTCCTGACCATAATGGCCCGAGCGCGCAGATCCCGTGTCTTTTTCGACCGCGGGACTTTGCGGACATGGGTCACATGACGGTGGCGTATCCCCAAAGAGGCTAGCCTGAAATGCCCCCTCCGTCCCCGCGTAGTCAACGGACGAGCGCAAGCAGGGCTAGACGACGAAGCCGGAAATTTTCACACGCCTTTGCATTGCCCCTAGTGAAACAATGGCTGAGGTGGTAGATTCAGGCCCGGTCGAGCCGCAGGCCCGGCATGTCGTGTATTGTGGAGGTGAGTACCCCCCGTGGTCGGCATTGTGGGCTCTCGAAAATCGGAGCTCTGCAAGGGTGTATTACATGAGTGCAAAAAGAGCTGACGAAACCGATTCGGCAGTGTGTACTCTCCCCCCCGAGGTAAGACTTCGGCCCTTGCGCTTTTCTCCGAATAAGCGGGGCTTGCGCTTCCGCACCGGACGCCATTGACACAAACTGGAATAGTATTGCGAGTTTGGAGGAACGGCCAAGAAATGCGAGGAGTGGCTGAAAGACGAACACGACGACCTGTGGACTCGGCTCTACTCTGACGGTATGACGGGACAAACCGGCCCTAGGGCCGACACAAATACACCGATAAGACAGATTATCTGATATTGTGCTTACCAGATGCGTTGAACGCCAATCTCTCCACCCTCTCCGTCTCCGCCCAAGAGCGTGCCGCAAAGGATGCCGCAAAGAAAGAGGCCAAGGCGGCACAGAACGAAGCCCGCGATGCCGAGCGCAAGGCCGCGTCCAAGATTCAGATCAAGCGCGTGGAGCGGAACAAGCGCAAGCACGTGACGGTCATTTCGGGGCTGGAGATCTTCGGATTCGAGAACAAGAAGCTGGCCAAGGAGCTGGGCAAGAAGTTTGCGACGGGGTCGTCCGTCACTCGATCCGCCGCCGGGACGGAGGAGATCACGGTGCAGGGCGACGTGAGTGAGGATGTGAAGGAGTGGCTGCTGGAAGTCTACGGTAGCAAGGTGCCCGAGGCCAACATCGAGCTCATCGAGGACAAAAAGAAGAAGAAGAGCGAGGCATGAGGGAGCTCTAATGACGACAACGAATCCATAGCGGATAGGGTATTATGACATGACCAAAATACTAAAAGTACATGAGAAACAGACAGCGCCCAGTAGGGATCACATAATACTGCCTGCAGTAAGATGGGGGAAAGACCGTAGCGAATCGCAGTGTCACAGCTGCTTCAGTAGTCCCAGAGGATCGTGATCGGTTGGCGCATCGTCAGAGTCCGTCCGAGCGCTCGCGGTGGCCATGGCACTCGGTGCCGCCTGCGCGTGCTCAAGGCTTTGCCGCCGGTCCGCGAGACTAGACGGGTACCATGACGATGATGCCGGTTCGCTCTCCGGATCATGGACACCCAACACTGATTCCCAAGTATCAGATAGGGGAGCAAGGCCCGTGGAAGACTCATTCACCAGCGTCGCGAGTTCTGTCGGCAGAGATCGAGCTTCATCCTGCGGCGAGCTGATAGCAGGCCAATTCTGAAGGACCAGTGCCAGCACCAAGACCAGGAACGCGCTACCGACAATGCCCCAGACAATGCGCAGCCGCCGACTGATGCGAGACTGCCATTCGGTCTCCCTCTGCTCCCAGCTATCAATCTCCTGCCGCACCGCTGCAAGCCGCTTGCCCAGATCCTCCACCCTCTGTCGGCCCTTCTTCATGCGCTCGTCCAGCGCGTCAGCTTTCTGGATTTGCGGCTCAAATCCCTTGAGCTCGTTAATCTGCTTGCGAATGTCCTGGTCCAGCCCGGCTGTTTCGCGATCGAAATCATTGAGGAGGGTAGATGCCGAGTCAGAGAGCTCCTGGAACGACCCGATAGTCGCGTTGAGCGCCGTGATCTTCTCCAGTAGATTGTAATATGTATAGTCCAGCCGCCGGGTGACGTCCGTCGCCAGCGTTCCTATGGAGGCAAGCGCCGATCGCAGATATCTATAGATCTCGTCAGCACGGAGCCCGGCCGTGATAGTATCGCATCACAGCGCGACTAGTGAGAACCCGTACTCTTCACCTTGTTTTCGTCGCTTTTGGACCTGTTCCAAATCCTCCATCGATTGTATCTCCTGCCGTCGAATCGGGCCCAGCCGCTCATGTTGCTCTGGGGTATCCAAGAGACTGCCTTTGCGACTGCCGGTGCCCAGGCCACTAGCAGAATTCGGACCCCAACGGGATCTGGTCGACTCTTGAGTGATTGGCGCCAGTGAGCCGTCATCGCTCTCGCGCTCCTTGTCCCGGCTGCCCGACCAGGTGGGCAGCAGCCCCCGCGCGCTCGCCGAGGACGCGAGGTGGCTCATGGGGCGTGGCAGACGGAGTTCCCGCGACTTGCTATGCTTGTGACGGTGATGTGACTTCAGCCCACCAGAGCTCCGCAGCGGCTCAACAAGCTGGCGAGCGGACGATTGGGGGTCGGCGTGCGGGAGAGAGTCGTTAGTCGAGGTCGGTCGATCCGGACCATGGGGCAGCCAATGGTGCAAGCGTCGAGAAGAGAGTTGGTCGGTCAGGGACTCGTCGCGGCCTGCAAACGGCTCGTCGGCCGTGGGTTGGTCATTGGGCCGGGGAACGGAGGATCCATGGGTCAACGGGAAGGTGGCGGAGGCCGCTCGGGAGGTCGATAACGGGGATTTGAGGTGGTGCAAGTCCATGTCGGCGCGCAGACATTATATCATTATTATGATCGGTTTCGAAATGCGGACAGCGCCGAGGAACGGGTGTGGAACGAGTTGCGACGGTGGAGTTCGAAGGGGGAGGGGGAAGGATGACGGCAAGTCGGCCGAGCGCTACAGAAGCGCAAAGTGCCAAACAGATCGGCATTGGTTGCCGAGTTGCCTAGCAGAAGAAACCCCGTGGGTACAGGGCCGGGGCCGAGATCTACGTTGATCAGCTGTTATACGAGGAACTAGACCTCAGATGCAGATGCAGAGGGAAAAGTACTATGGAATTGTCTCGTTCGAAATATAGATACTGGAGTGAAACTAGTTGAATCCTTCGGAAACCACTCCCAGAGAACGCCGGTGACCCAACCTCGCACGCCGATGATCCCTTTTTCCAAAGAAGAGTAAGCGGCCTGGATGGTATATGTACATGCAAGTCGATTGTGATAAAACGGATGGCAGCAGTGACAATCGGACACCGTGCTTGCCTTGTCTTTAAGAGCTGAGCAGCTTGTTGCGCTTCTCGCGACGCTTCAAGCGCTCGACGCGCTTGTGGTGCATCTTTTCAGCCATCTTCTCATAGCGAGCCTTCTCCTCCTTGGCTGCTCGTCGGTCCTTGATGCGCTGGATACGGGCCTAGGTGGGGAGGAGGTGTTAGCTACCACATGGAAAGAAAGAGAGACGATTGTGTCGATGAGGCATTAGGACAGCGGGGCGGGAAGATGGTGGGAACGCAGAGAGGGAAGGACCAGCAAAGGCAGTAATATGGTTGAGTAACAAAGTAGAAGTGCGAAACCTCGAGGATAGACCGTACCTGACGCTCGGCCTCCTTCTCCTCCTTCATCTCACGTTCACGGTCCTTGTTGGCTTCATGTTGCTTGCGTACCTCCTGACGCTTAGCGTATGAGGTTAAGCCGGCGCTAGGGCGGAAGGCCTTCTTGGTGGCATGCCAGTTCTTGCCTAGAAAGGGAAAAGAGTCGGGTCAGCGGGGGGGATGAGGACCGACAGCAGTGGGGAACCCCTCGGGTTTGTTTTTGGCAGACTGACCGTTTTTGCGCATGCCCGCGGCCAGCGGGGCTGTTGCAGGCGCGGCAGCAGGCACTTCGGTAGCGGCGGACGACATGGTGGAAGTTTATGCCAGGGACTGGAGACTTGACAGGACCCAGGGCGGACGAGGGTGCGAGGAGAGGGCTAGAAGTGAAGTCGATCGCAATTCTCACCTTGCACGGCGCGCGGGCGAAATTTTCACCGCGAGATTATCTGATCTTGATAACCGGGCTTGGCGTCGGGCGCTAGCATTTTCTGCACTCGGACAGCCAGTCTCGAGTCTCGCCCGCTCCACTCTTCCTACGCACTTCTCTTCCTTTTTCTCCATCTAGCCTGACTTCCGTGCGCTTTTCCCCTGCCAGACGCCCCCGATCCCTGCTTTTCTTTAGGCTCGCTTCTGCAGGCGGGGCTTGGCTACAGCAAAATCGCTCGTTTCACCGCCCCTCCCCCCACCACCCGCCGTGCATCCGAGTCGACTCAGGCAAACCGCTCACTTAAAATCCCCGCGTCTCGCCCTCTGCCCTCTCTGCCCCCTTTCCCTTCGAACCATGCTCCACCGATAACCTGTCTTCTGCGTCTGAGTGATTGTTGGAAGCCTTGATGGCGGCGGCCGAGCATGCGATCACCATCAGCGATGAGTCAATGGCAATGGAGCTGCCATCTCTCCCGCCCAACCAGGGCGTTGAGGCGATGAAAGATATTATCTTCGGATCGGTGAGTGGTGTTTGGCGCATACCTTGGCTGCGCATGCAGGAAACTGACCCTGACTCAACTCCAGACGGCAGGCATGGCTGGGAAACTCATCGAGTATCCCTTCGACACGGTCAAAGTCCGACTCCAATCCCAACCAGAGCACCTCCCCCTTCGATACACCGGACCGCTGGACTGCTTCAAGCAGTCTTTTCAGACAGATGGCGTTCGGGGATTATACCGGGGGATCAGTGCCCCCATGACCGGGGCCGCCGTGGAAACCAGCTGTCTCTTCTTTAGCTACCGCATTATCCAAGACACACTGCGGGCCACCGTCTTCCCGGGGGTGGAGCAGTTGCCCTTCGCGGCTCTGCTTCTCAGTGGCGCCCTGTCCGGCTCCATCACGTCGCTGGCCCTCACGCCCATTGAACTGATCAAATGCAAAATCCAAGTCCCCCTAGAGTCTGCAGGCCACAAGCCCCCTGGGCCACTCGCCATGGTCGTGACCGTTTTCCGCCAGGAGGGATTAGGAGGCTTCTGGCGCGGCCAGCTGGGAACCCTGATTCGAGAGACCGGCGGTAGTGCCGCCTGGTTTGGTGGCTACGAGGGAGTCTCGTCGCTGCTCCGCAGCTACTCCCAATCTGGCGCTCCAGGGTCCGCCGAGGCTCTCCCTGTGTACCAACAGATGATCGCCGGAGCGACGGCAGGAATCAGCTACAACTTCCTGTTCTACCCGGCGGATACCATCAAGTCGCGGATGCAAACCGCTGACATTTCGACCATGGCCGCCAACGGGGAGCGGCAAACCTTTTGGAGCGTCGGACGCGGGCTTTGGAGACAGCAAGGCCTCAAGGGCATGTACCGCGGGTGCGGGATCACCTGTGTGCGCTCGGCGCCCAGCTCGGCCTTTATCTTCTCCGTCTACGAAGGATTGCGAGCTTATTTTGGATGAGTCGACTAGACCACAGACCTCAGACCACAGATTCCAGACCACCATGTCCGACATATAGATTTCTGCGGTTGGATTTTGACGTGCATATGCCTATTCTATCTAACTATTACCTATCTACCTGTACCTGGTCCTTTTATCCCTTGGTCTTTTCGTTTTATACCCTCTGATATGACCCCCGAAAAAGAATTGTCCCGTTTCATCCCCCTTCTCCTCCTTCTCTGACCCTCTACTCCAATCGTACTCGGTGGAGCTTGAAGCTCACGCACTGATCCAGGAAAATGATGTGTGCTGCAAGCCGTTACTGTTGATCTTTGCCAAACTTGGAGTCCAGATCCCCGTGCGTTGGACAATGGATCGATTGTATCAATTGTATCAATTGCATCAGCAGTAGATCATCCTTCATTTCTCCCCGTGGTATCGTGACTACGTAAACTATACTCCCTACGCCAGGCACAAGAGACGGTAGCCCCTACTGCCATGCCAATTCCCCTCGTGGCAGAGCAGCTTCTGGCCCGGCGACTGCCACGATGCTCATCCCTTCGTGTCCACCCTTTTCGGCGGCATCTAAGAAATCCTGAACGGTCATCGCCAGTCCCCGCTCGCTCAGCAGATCCTCGCCGGTCAGAGTTCCTCGCTGAAGAGGACCATTCAACCCTCCATTTAACTCCCACACCTGCCCATCTCTCACAACAAAGGCCACAAAATGGTGGTGATTGTCGTCTTGCGGCGAAGGGGCAATCGACGAACCCCGCGAGGCAGCGTCCATATGGGCCTCCTCGAGGAACTTGGAATCATACAGTAATTGCGCCCTCTCGGCAGGGCCCAGCTCAACGGCTTGTTTGAAGAGGGCGTCCAGTCTCGACCCGGTGGGAACATGCTGACCACCTTCCAGATTCCAGACCGAGTGAAGGAGCGCCATCAGCCCGCAAGCATGCCCGATCGTCTGTCTCATCCACATCACCGGCTCATCCGGGCCCGAGCCATGGTATTCGGGGACGGTGGGCTCGATGGCCGAACGGGCAGCATTGTAGATTGGCCTGTCCGCGAGCAGGATCAAAGCATAGACGGGCCGGGGAACCCAGGCGAGCAGCTCTGGGCATGTGGAGAGAACATCATGAAAGGCAAGATCTCGGGAGATGCCCAGGTTCCGACAAAGATGCGATAGCACTTCTGGGTTGTTCTCTGCAAGAAGTTATCGTCAGGGGCAAGCACCCGCCCGCAGGGGAAGGGAGAAAGTCGTACCGAGAGGGATGAACGTCTTGCGGCCATCGACAATCTGCGCCGCGGGAATACTCGACATGGCCAATTCCTATCTCGTGAGATAGATCCTCGATATCAGAGATCAGAGATTGACGAGCAGCCTCTAGTCCTTATTGGAGATTGGAAGTGAGAGCGGCTGTTTGGACGACGCGAGATGCGGGGAATGGAGCTCCCGTCGCGGCATACACCGTAGGGCTGGAATAGCCCCCCCCGCGCCACCACTGCCACGACTGAGACAGTCGACTGGTCTGTTCACCAGGACGGTATCTCACTCTCCCTTCGTTTGGGTCAACATCTGAGCAACGGGACTCTCGGACCGAGGCAATGATGAGCATCCCAGTGATCCGTTGCGTTAGAGATGCGAGTCTCGCCGACCGACCCCTCAATGCTCTCCAGTGGGCACCGCAACATTGCATGCAATACCAAGTTCCTGATTAAATCTGGTCCAAGCGAATCAATGGCTCCTGGGAAGCCATGACAGACTAGCAGCTCACAGAGTCCGCTGGTTTGGTCTCGTATAAATGGCCCGCTACACCCAAAGGTCCTCGCAGGATCAGACAAGCGAGCGGTTTGCTCCTCTCCACGGACTGTCCGTCTGTCGGAAATTCAGGGCCCTTCAGGGCTGCTCAGGGCTCCACGCTACTGTGGTACAGCTTATAGGGATATTGAGTTGTCTGGAGCAGAGATGCATTGCTAAGAAGACTGCTGCGATGCTGCTATAGCTAGCACATACACCTGGCAATGGCAGAGACGTGAGATCTGCAAGACTCCCCTTCCTGAGAATAGATGAATCCGGGGTTGCTACCAATCATGGCATCCATCAAAGTCATCAAGGGGCGACAAATCCACCAGGCGAGGATTCAGCTACGACTGCGTATCGCGTCGCTCGTCCGTCGATGGGACCTACTCCCCAGGTCCACAGCCCAAGAACATCGTTGTGGTGGGAGCATCCTTTGCAAGATCCCATACGGTCTGCTGTCTGGCGAGGTCAGTGCCATCCGGGTCCCGAGTTGGTCGTGATCGAGAGGAACAGCCATTTTCAGATGACCTAGGCTTTACCACGATTTGGCGTGATGGGCGGCCACTCCTTCATTCCATACTCCCCTACATCAAGGTCCCTCGGAGGGCATACTGCTGGATCAAAAATCCAGTGGAGTGTATAGTTCTCAGTTAGGGTAGCCGCAATGGAGGGAAGGTCTAGGTCACAGTGGGTGAATGGATCGACTATGAATACTTAGTCCTGGCAACCAGTGCCTCTGCAGAGCTTCCGTCGAGAGTCTTCCAGACCGAGAAAAAAGACGGGTTGAATCAATTGAATGCCAGTGTCTGCGACTGTAAGAATCCCAGGATATGGGCGCCATCGGTGGCGGTCCAGCTGGCATCAAACTAGCCGCAAATACTAAAGCACATTTTCCTGAGGCCAACGGCAGATTGAGTACCGGCAGAAGTGGTGGGAGGGCGAAACCAAGCTCACGCTTAGACGAATAAGAGCACCCCATATACTTGGCTCCTGAATTACTAACGTTAGATATAACAAGAGTATCGCGTACATGACTAAAACGGACAAATGGAGCTAGTTTTCTCCTTGGGCAAGTAGAAGATCAAGATAGACAGCCCGCGGGCCTGGAAATTTCTCGGTGCGAAGCCGTGTTGGGACGATTCCGGAAGTGCCAGTTCCAGGAAAATATAATACAAATCTAGGCATTGTGCTATGATTTTGATGTTGGGGGGATGATGCAATGCTATTTGCAAAAGGGCTGGAGTTAAGATTGTTTCCGCACATTTATCTAGGGTCGGTAATACCATCCAGCTTAGAATATAGTAAATAAACACGCTGACCTACGTCGCACTGCCATTGAAAGCGATATCCGCTGGGAGGTCCTGGGTTCCCACATCCGGAAACTGAGCCAGACTGTTAACACCCCAGATCCATGCCTGTTCCTGTGTGATACTGCCTGGCCCGAACAGGTCAGGAAAAAGTGGCTCGGGGGGTGCATCCAAGCCTTGATCAGATAGAACTACGCACAATAAGTTAGAAGATCTTTTACATCAAATACTGACTGGGAGCATACCTCGGTCAAAATCACATAGAGCCTGCGACATAGTAGGGTCTTCAATGTAGTTGAACATTGTCGCATCTGTTGTTGATGCCTCCGCCAGGCCAAATGCTTGATCACCCACGGTCTCGGTCACATTTTGAGACGATTGGAGGTGCCCGATGTCTAAATCCTGAGCTTGAGCGGACACTTCATTCCCCGAGCATGTGAGCATCTCCTTTAACTCTTTTTCCATGACCAGTTTGGTCAGTCGCTCAAGTATGTCGAGTCCCTGCGCCGCGAGAGCGGATTTTGATCTGGCCTTCAAATGTACTTGCATTCTCAGTAATTTCCGTAGCCCCATTTTGGTCTGGTATGAATGAGGGCTAAGCGGCTCGATACTGGCCAAGATGCACAGCATTACGCCAGCGGTGAAGGTATGGATGCCGAGAAAGGCCGCGGCGTACGTATCAGCCGCGAGAGAAAAGATAGAGTTTGCGCCGATTTCAGATGTTCTCAGAGCTGCATCACGACAAGCTTGGAGAGACAGCTGAAGAGGATTTCGAGTTGAGACTTCGCTATCGTCGTCAAGGTCTGGATCTCCTCGGGAAATGGTTTTGAAACTGAGAAGGGGACGGTGAACAAGGATCCTCGCGTTCTCATAGGCAAATTCGAGAGCAAGAGCCTGAAGCCGATAGATATGATTCTCAAATTCAGGTCCTGAAGCACCAATGTCTCGATCCATTCCCTCTGCGGATGTGTACGTCGCAGAGGATGTTCTGGCGTCATCGAGATGCAGTGGGGAGTGAATCTCTTCCTTCCATTTCTGCAGACGTATATCAAGGCCGGATACTTTCCTAATAAGACTGTGTAGACTAGATTTCGAGTCCAGTCTCCCTCTCTGGGTGGTCCCTGGACATGATCCACGGCCGTAGAGGCCGGTCAGGATATCCTTTATGATAACAGAAAGCTTCGACATGAGGCACTTGTAAGACAAAAGGCTGGCGGGACATTGGTTTGCGGCGTCAAAAGATACAGTTGGCTGGCTGGTCGCGAATTTTGCCAGGGGGTCTAATAGTTCCACGTCACAGTCCGCATCTTTGATGCCGTGGGGGTAACCGTAGGACATGGAGCAAAAGGTCTCGATCTCGTAGATGGCCCACCAACACCGTTTCCGTGTTTCGTATTGCCGAGACATTGCAGGAGATATGGGACCTGTGGTATATGACTTGCGGTGTAGATTCAGAGCCTGCGCTATGCGTAGCCCACAGCCACAGACTGGCCATGCCAGGCCCGGGTTCCCGTGGTAGAGATAGTACGTTCCCAACAAGATACAGGTTTGGACTGCCTCTAGTGAACCCAGTGAGACAATATCCAAGAGCTTGGCTCTAATGAAGGACAGAATTTTGTGCCTCTGGGCCGTGGGATCGATATTGTAGGTCTGCAGCAGTTGTTTCCGGTGGTCTCCAGTATATTGCAATGCAATGGCGATAACAACGAGAAACACGCTGGTGAATCCAGGGCCGGGATGAGGCCCTGCGGGCTGTTCATCATAAAGCTGCTGCCAGGTTTGGCGGAAATCGTCTTGATGGAATATAAGCATGAACCAGTGAATCCGGTCAAAGTACGTGTCCACCAGTAAGGCTGCTACTTCACGAGGGGGAAGTAATGCGACAAGCTCCGCCGTTATGGATTGGAATTCTCGTCGCCGCATGCTAGGGGCACTTGTCATCCCGGGATATAGACCTGTTTGAGGCAGATTGTTGGCCGGTTCAACTAAATCTGGCCGGCGCTGTGTTTGACCTCCCGGCAAGGCCGCGGTCATCGATGGATCCGGTGTCGTTGAATTGTGAAAGTGGAAAGCCTCCACTGGAGTCAGTAGCGTGATCATATATCATCGGGACCGGTTACTGACCCCTTCCAATAGGGACATGGTTGAACTAGACCATGGCTGTTCACCAAGACTGGTCCCATTCCTGTTGGATGGCTCGGGTGGTTCACCGAGGTGGTAATTTATCTCGGAGGCACGTCTTCGCCTTGAAACACGGCGCCTTCCAGTTTCACTCTGTGGTGTTTGAAATGCTCGCCATCTATCTGTGGACCCAGTCTGACAGTCTATTCCGGCTCGGACACACAAGGTACAGGGACGTTGTATATCGCACTCATTATCACGTCAGCGAGCGATCCGCCGGAGCTTGAATCTATATTTACCTTGAGTTTCTGGCGACGACAGCGATGGCACGCGCTGCCCACTTTGCTTCGCCGTTCTTGTGCCGCCATCTTCCGCTGATTCTATCATCTGTCGTAGGGTACAATTATTGCATGGCATCGAGGTGGTCCGTAAAGAGCAATGCTTCCGGTGGAACCGATGACAAAGCAACGTCTCGGTCATCCACCAACGAGCAATATTTGCAACGATCACGATAGGTTCTAGACTGGGAAAATATAGATAGATATATATGGAATCGGAACAAGGCACGCCGAGACAATTAAGAAGCCTTTACCCTCAGGTGTTGGGTGTAATGAGAGTCATGTGGGAGATTGATAATAACGCACAAGGGGAACACTTGGAAGTAATGACTGAAGTAAAGTTTTTTGCAATAAAGAAAGAAAGGAAAATATAATCAAAAATGGTACATTCAGTTCTACAGCTTTAAATATACTAAACCTATCCCGAGGACGTCCATCGACGTAGCCCGACCGATATACATCATTCCTCGGAGGGATGATGCTGTTAGCGGATTTTTGATTATCGGGTGCCCCCATATGTTGGTGATGTTGCTCAGATAATGTGCTCTGCTATTATAAATTACAGAATTGGGTGGCTTTTGGGGAATGAAGTTCCCATTGTTTTGGGGTTGACCGTCCGGTGGAGAAATAGACTTGATCCGCAATAGGAAGCCATTCCACCGGACGGGGAAAAAGCAAGTATATAGACGCCCCGTACATAATCCCCGTCAGCTTCAGATACACCCCAGGAAATCAGCATCACTCATCAGATAGGCTACCAATTAATTCGAATACGCAACACTTCCACCATGTCTTCCGAGAACACCATTACTGTGACGCTACCCCAACTAGCCAAGATGATCGACCACTCCCTTTTGCACCCCACCATGACCGACGCCGACATCCTTGCCGGCCTACAGATCGCCAAAGAGCACAATGTGGCAACTGCCTGCATCAAACCCTACTTGATCCCTCTTGCCAGGCAGGTGCTAGCCGACACGGACGTCAACGTATGCCCGGTGATCGGGTTCCCGCACGGCAACAGCACCACAGAGATCAAAGTCCTCGAAGCCAAGGCCGCTGCTGAGGCCGGCGGCACCGAGATTGACATGGTTGTCAATGTCGGCAAAGTCCTCGGTGGGGACTGGGAGTATGTAGCGGAGGAAATCGACGCGGTCAACCAAGCCGTCGTGGGCCACGGGGCGGTGCTCAAGGTCATTTTCGAGAACGACTATTTGCAATCCGCGCATATTGTGCGGTTGTGCGAGATCTGCACCGAGGCGAAGGTTGCCTTTGTCAAAACTTCTACTGGCTATGGGTTTGTCAAGCAGGCCGATGGATCGTACAACTATCACGGCGCGACGGTGTCGGATCTGAAGCTTATGCGGACGCACTCAGGACCCGATGTCCAGATTAAGGCTGCTGGGGGTGTGCGTACGTTGGATGACCTGCTACACGTTATGAGCCTGGGGGTGACCCGGATTGGAGCTACGGCGACGGTAGCTATTCTCAATGATGCGAAGCAGCGGGGCATCGGGGAGGAGCCGGTGGAGGTGACTTTTAAGCCGATGGAGGAGAAGTCTACTGGCGGGCGTTAAGAGGGATTTCGAGGATTGTAATGACTGGCTGTGCCTATTGTTGTTCTGGAAACCGGTGTGAGATGGTCTGGTTGGATGCGACGTAAATAGTGCATTCGACAGATCCGCAGCATTTACATGTCCAAAGCAAGTATATACATACATATCTACCCCGCACACACCACCGCCATTGTCCCAAGCAACCAACTCTCCCAATAAAAACCAGCCCATCATTATTTCACCGTAAATATAAACAAATAGGCCAAGGACGAAGCATAGCATCACCAGCTCAATCAATTCACAACTAGCGCCAGAGAACCGACAATCAGCCCAACCTCGGCATGCCCCACCGATAAACGAGATAAGCAGATCGCGGTCTCCTCCCCCTCACTCGCCGCGACCACTCTTTCTTTCGGTCCCTTCTACAGCTACCCATCAACGACCACCTCCTCCTCTCCACCCTCCCAAATCACAATGTCAGCTGTCCAAGCTCCCGTCACAGCTCAAGAGCTGCAAACGCTCTCCACCAAGGCTATAGACGCCAAAGCCACCGCCTACTGTGCGCATCCACCCCTCGGAGCAGGGGCCAAACACCCCCCCCTCCTCTGTCCCCACCCTCCTTCTGTCCCCCCTCACTAACCTGGGCCCCCGTCTAGGCCCGTACTCGAAGTTCCGCGTCGGCGCATGCATTCTCACCGCGTCGGGGGAATTCGTCCACGGAGCGAATGTGGAGAATGCCGCGTATCCCGTCGGGACGTGCGCCGAGCGCGTTGCGTTTGGCACTGCAATTGTATGTCCTCGACCGGCCTCGTCCTCCGCTTCGCCGATTGGGTGATGTCTAGGATTGAAGTTATCTGGCTGATTGAGATATGCTAGGTGGCGGGCCATAAGGAGTTCCGGGCTATCGCCGTTGCAACGGACATTACGCCAGGCGCGTCGCCATGCGGGATGTGCCGACAGTTGTATGTGTATAACCCTGCGCCTTCTTATTCCTCACGGACAGCGGTATTAACATCCCGAGTAGCATGCGCGAGTTTACAACGGCCTCATTCCCGGTGTACATGTACGACGGGGAGGGGAAGTACACCGTCAAGACCATGGGCGAGGTATGTAGTTTCTATCATTGCCACTAGCTCAGCTACACAGGGTATCGACTAACGCCGAGCGCAGTTGCTGCCGGATTCCTTCGGACCGGACGACTTGCCCAAGTGAAGTGATGGGATTTAAAGGATTGGAGTACTAACCAACAAGTTCGCATAGAGACGAGCAGTGAAGGAGAGGACCTAGGACGGAGAAAATAAGACCCAATTCCCTTTTGAAAGCCAAAATCCCATTCATGGTCATGATCTAAACCAAAGAAAGCAAGCAAACGAAAGCTTTCTCTATATCTTTGCGCCCCAAGGCGTCACACCTGGCTTAGAGAAGCAATTCTCCGGCGCCAGCGAAATATGCACTACGTAGACAGAAATGACGAGATGGAAAGAGAAAAGACAAAACAAGAAAAGAAAGACAAAAAGAAAAGCCAAGATCAAGACATGTCGCGCTCGTAATGTCACATCAAATATTTCAACCCGAACAGATCAGGTCAGATCAGATCAGATCAGATCAGATCAGATTAATCACCTCGAATCGACCCAATTCACACGGCATGGGCTGTAAGGTCTACGACACCTCGCCATCGTCGAGTTCATCCGCACCGAGCAACTCATCCTCGTCATCCACGACATGCGTGTAGTCACCCCGGCGCGCGGCAAAAGAGCCCCTTGTCGCGTACGGCCGCTGGTATCCACGGCTACGGGCGCGCACAAAGCCACTAACACTGCGCCACAGACTCATAACCAGCATGGGCAGTGCCTGGGCCACAGCGACAGCGCCCGCAATGACAGCCACCGGGATGGCGATCAGAGTCGAGTCCCGGGCGAGCCAGCCCTGGCCCGCCGCGCCGGCCTCACCGAGGCGGATCTGGCCGAACTTGCCGTCCCATCGGGTGTAGACAAAGTAGCCGAAGGCAGCGGCGGCGGCAATCGGGATGATAATGGCGAAGAAGAGGCCGACGCCGCTGATGCCGTGTTTCCGCTCGAATTCCTTCTCCTTGTTAGGGCAGGCGTGGGGCTGGAGCTTGTCCAGTTCGGTGCCGCCCTGGCATGTTGTCTGTGGGAGACGGCGGTATCCAGTGGGCTCCCAGTATTCGACTTGTTCAGGGTCGTCCTTGCATGAAAGACTGTGGTCGGGCGGCTGGAAGCCAGGGACAAGGCCGCAGCTACCGTCGCTTTGGATCTCGTAGTTAAAGTCGCTATGAGTATGGTTAGCAAAGAGGATCCATACACCACGGCCAACCGCCTGGGGCGGGCTTACCATTCAAAGTCCGCGCGTGCGCAGGTACAGTTCGAGCTTTCAACACGGTGAACATGCGGCTCACGCCAGTTCACCCAGCATTGCTTATCGGGCCGCTTGCGGTGGTACTGCTCCACATGGCCGAACAGACAGTTATCATCCTGCATCGGGTGCTTTGGAGTCCATAGGTAGTAATCATCGCTGGGCTCGTTGCCATCAGGCGAAGTGCACTCGCGATCCCAGATACCGCTGAAGTCGATGGGGATGGTGGCAAACCGACCGGACTGAGTGGGATCCCGGACCCATAAGACGAAGCTTTTGGAGGTATCCGAGGGGACGGTCGAGATATCCAAGGCAATCACATCGGTCTCGGAGAACTGGAACTCCGCCCAAGACTTACCCTCGTCGAGACTATAGAAGACAGACTTGGTGGGCTCCAGCTCGCGCACGAGCACGATGACAGACCCTGCGTCACCGAACTCAAACATATACCGACCCCTTTTGACATGATTCCAGGTGATGCCGCCGTCATTGCTCAGGAAAGTGCCGACACCGTCATTGTCGCTGCTCGACAAGTACTCGCCAACGTTGCCAACGCCGATCATCACGCCGATAGCCGAGCCGGAATAGAAAGTATCCCGCCAGTCGCGACGTTCCGTGTAGCTGTGTAGATGAAGCGCACACGACTCGGTGCCCTTACCCTCGGTAACGGAGCAGCCGAACTTCTTGCCCTCGACGTCCCGAGTAGGAGGCGGAAGCAGAGCCCACTGACCACCATCGTTGTGGGTAATTACGGACCGCAGCTTCTTGCTTGAGCCCTTGTTCTTCACATCGTCGACATTCGCGACGATATTAGCGAGCGCGACACCCTCGAGGTTAGCCATTTTCTCAAAATCAACATAGCCACGGTCATCCACGTTTACGGCTGACAGACTGGAGACGAAATAGGTGCCGTTGCTGTTACTCTTGACCAGCTGGCCATAGCCGTGGCCTGGCTCGGAGTTGATCTGGACAAACAGGAACAGGGCATCGATGGAACCTGGCATCACTGTGTACTGCTGGACATCAACATTGACAGGGAAATGGGCTTGCGCGAAGACGCGGCCATCCATGCTAGTGCTGACATTCAGGAACTTGTGCTTCTCGGTCGGGAACGTCGCCACGACAATGTAGTCGTTCATGGTCACGAAGTGGGCGATATTCTCGTTTATGACCTTCCGGTCACCGAACCAGTTATCCTTGGAGTCACTGGACACGAGCTGGCGGTTGTTCTTCTTGCTTTCCTTCTCATATTGCTCGCAAATAACAAGGTTCTCACTCTCCTCGCGGCCATTGTGGTAAGCAAAGACGCACTGGCCGACACCACGAAGGTCAGGGCCCTCCCAGTCAGCGCCGCGGTTTTTGGAGAAGTATGCATCGGGAACGCAGTCGCTTCCCTTGCACTCATCATTGCCCATCCAAATCATCCAGTCCATGTACTTCTCATGGAAGGCGAGGGGGTTCGGGCCGTTCTTCGGCCTGTTCTCCAAGGAGGTCGGCAGCTTGAATTTCTTGAATGTATCGCCGCGGTTGATGGTCGAGTAACCTGTGTCGCCGCCAGTCAAGAAGTAAGCGCCGTCGGTGTAGTAAGGATGCTGGATCATGCCCACAATCTGCTCGCCCTCGAGTTCCTTGGGCTGCTCCCAGGTCTTGGCGTGGTCGTGCGTGACATATACCTCTTTCTTGCCAGTGACGAGGAAGATAGTCTCGTCATCTCCCGAGTTACTCGTCTGCCGCTCGAGATAGAAGTAATCCGGATGGGCACCAGCGAATTCGTGCGCCTTGCCCGCATGAACCTTCCCGTCACCACCGCCGCCAGCACTGCCACCGCCAGGCGAGCCAGTGTCTGCACAAGAGCGTTCGATCTCCTCGTCAAAGCTCGCGCCGTCCTTGCGGCGGCACGCGTTGCCAGGTATGAGCCGCCAGCCCGAGGGACCCTTGTATGTGTCGCCTGCATTCTTACACTTGCCCGCAGGCGGAGTCAAAGGCACAGCCGGCACGCACTCGTTATCATCGGTGCGCATGAAGTTGTAGTCGCATTCAAAGTCCGCCTTGGTACATTCGCACTGATCAAAAATGGGCGGGTCCAGTTTGTCTTCCTTGATGAAGCATTCCGCATCGGCCTTACGACGCATGAACTTCTGCTTGTGGCCCATGAGACATTTCGGGTTACGATCTTCATCCAGGAGGGCCCACCAAGGCTCGAGGTCGTCCTTGGTGCATTTGCGCTCGTGAAGACCATCGAAGTCAATGGTGTACATGAGATACCCGTCTTTCTCGCTGGACTCGCCGATAAGCATGAACTTCAGGCTGGTCGCCTCCGGGGTGGTCGTAATATAAATAGGCTTGATTTTGTGCTCGAGTTTGATAGGATCCTCCCAGTCCTTGCCGTGGTTGAGAGAGTATTGGATCTTGTCGGTCTTGCCGTCGTCACTGACGGCCACGATGATGCCGCCCTGATCACCGAACTTAAAGTGATGTGGCCCCTTGAGCGCGCGCCGCCAGGTAAGACCCGCGTCATCGGATACGTAGAGGTCGCAGTCGGAGTACTTTTTGAGGTGGTCGCCAGTATTGCCCACGCCCATCACCAAGCCAGGTGCAGGGCTCGAGAACATTCGGCCGATGGTGGCCAGCTCGTGGAGCGCATCGTAGGTGGTCATCGAGTGAAGATGGAGTTCGTCGCCATCGGCCTTGAGAGGTTGAAACTTCCTTCCGTCATCGAAACTGATGCTGCTGACTAGCTTCTTGTCTGCCTTATCAGACTCCTCAACATCCTTCCAATTCTTGACTGTATTGACAATTACAATGCCCTGGATATCTGCAACCTTCTCGAAGTCGACAAAGCCGTTGCCATCTCGGTTGGTATGTTCAATGTTGGGAGTGAAGTAGGTTCCGTTGGAGTTGGAGGAGAACAGGACGCCCACGCTATTTTTATGCCATGTCGTTTGTACATCCACCTGGATGCTGTAATTAGTACTTTCTAGCACCGTATACGCATCCTGCTCAATGCGGTGTCCGCGGAACTCGGCGCGGTGCCACTCCTTCGAATCATCACTGATGTAAAGCGCTTGTTCAGTGGTGCCTTGAGACTGCAAACCAACCACGATGTATTTTTTCACTGAGCGAGCGATGATCTGCTGGCCGCTGACCGGCCGCCCACGGTCCAGATTCACCTCGGTACCATCAATCCCATCTTTGAAGAAATTTTCTGAAAAAATCAAGCGTTCGGAATGATCGATGCCTCTCAGCCCCGGCACCACGCACAGGACGCGGTCCCCAAACGTCTCGGACAAATCCATGTCTTGTCCGAACTCCGGAGTACCCGCTGCCCACATGCATGAATAGAACATCTCCTGCATCAGATTCCATGTTTTGAAGTCATCGGTGGTATACCAAGCCTTGGGCATGCACCCAATGATGGAAGAGCAATCCAAACCCATGAAGATGACCTTCTCAGGGTCCCAGCCATTGAAGGCGAGGGGAGGGGTGCCGCGCTCCGTCATCATAGGACGGGCCTGAATGTCGAAGGACCTCCAGCTCTCAGCCTGGTCAGTTGTGATCCAGTGCTGGCCCTTCTCGCCGAGCACATACGCGCGCTTCGGGTCATAAGGGTGCGGCCAGATGACGGCGGCAGCGCCCTCCATCTTCCCATCAGGGCCCTTGATGATATCCCATTTCGAGCCTCCATCGAACGAGACGTGTGCTGTGCGCTTCTTCGGGTCGCGGTAAAGAACAGTCTCGGTGCCCTTGAAGTAGAACAAGTCGTAAGGCGCATGGTCGAGGACCTCAGACGAGAGTTTGGGTGTGTCCCCCTTGGCCGTGGCCAGCTGCGCGGACCAAGCCAGCCACAGGCCGACCACAAGCAACAGCCACCGAGGGATCATGGCCGGTGGTACTCAGGCATCTGAAGCGAAGAGGGTGGCCGGTGAGTCGGGATGCAGCAGCCTTAGCTGCACCTGCGGGCCGATCCGGGGAATCGGCGGGTTGGGGGAGGGAGAGACGAAGAGGATGGGTTTGTCGCCGACGGAATCAGGTCTGCCTGCGGTACAGCAAGCGCGGTAGCGGTTAATGTGCAAAAGGGAATGGCGATGGCTCTCGATGACGGCGCTGCGTGGCCTCAGCCTAGGGGAGCTCCCCTGTCACGTGAGAGCAGGGTCTTATCGCGCTATCGTATACTTCCGGTCGGTTGAACCACGGTTTGCACATCCGTCGATCTACATGTATACCAGTCGATAGTGGATAACGGAATGGCATATTATCGAACGATATCAAGAATATACATGAGTCCCAAGCAAGTTGCATTGGCCACTCTGCAGCTAAGGAGCTATATACAGGACGCTGCTGAAGGGATAACACAATAAAATAGATACACGAAAACGGCGGGGCTATGTGCCCGAAATCCGAATCCAGCCAAACTAACCACGCAGGGCCCAAACGCGGAGCGACCCATCTTCAAAGAAAGACGCCATCAAGAATCATACCCCGGATATCAATAAGCGAATGTTCGCGCGCTAAAAGAATGACAGCAATGAGGCCCCGAACATGGGGAAGAAGGAAAAAGAGAGTAAAAAGAAAGGGACGAAAAAAAGAGGGGAATCTCAAAACCACGGAGTATGAAGAATGCCCCAATAATCTCCATCTAAGCCCGTCGTCGGATCCTGCGCCACATCTTTTTCACCACGCCCCGGTCATCCAGGTCCGAGTCCCAGCTCATCTGGCTTCGGTCCGCTGGGGGCAGCGCAGCCAGACGCAGCGGATCCTCCTGCGGAGATGACTGGGACGGGGTGGGGGATTCAGTACGCAGGTCTGGCCGAGTCAGGGTCATTTTGAGGGTCATCTCACGATTCCCTGGGAGTCGTTGCGGGCCCATCTTCGAGCCTGAGAAGAACGATTGACGGCGCTGCAGCAGTGACGGTGTGTCCGTCGATGGCCGCATCGTCTCCCATGGATGGGAGGTGAGGTGCGGAGTTGCGGGCTCTTCAATGGACCCGCCAGGGCTCCCCACCACCGTCCCATCATCATCTTCGAAGAAAGTACCAGTACATTGCCGCGCCACCGGCAGGGGCAGGGGCTTTGGGGAGCTGGACTTGTTGCCCGGGGCGACATTTTCTTTGTCCTGGTCGACAGACGGAAAACCAAACTCGATGGCCTCATCGAATTTTTGTGGCGAGGCGAGATAGACCCGCAACTTGAGACGGGCATCCGGGTCTTGGTAGTACTGTGCGGTGGGATCAATGCTCGAGGTGGAAGACTTGGGGGCATGTTGGATGGGTTCGTGGCGACGAGACGCCGGGCGAGAGGAGCGAAGGCTGGACGCCAGAGGGGAGAGGGGCTGGATAGATACGCTCGAGGGCAGAACTCGAGTGGGCATTGACGGCGAAGGCCGATGCTGTCTCAGAGAATGTGTTGAAAAGGAGAGGGACCGGCGGAAGGAGGTGCGGCGCCGGGACTTGGACCTGGCCGTGGCAGCGTCTGCTACATGGGCATGGTACTCGTCCAGGGACAGGTCCAGATCGCCATCTTCATCGAGCCACCGAAAGCTGTCATAGAGAGACGGATCCATGCTGGCGTCTGACTCGTCGAAATCGGAGTCGGAATCGTAGAAGACAGTATCCGGCTGGGCCACGGGGAGTGTGGCGTCTGAGGGGGAGGCTGTCGGCGGAGGGACGGCGTCGCCGAGAATGGGGGGGACGATAGAAAGCCTCGTCGGCAGCGTCGAGGATGACGCTCTCACGGTACACGTGGCGAAGACGGCGGCGTTCTTCGGCAGAGAAAAGCTTTTGTTGGATCTTAGCGGGGAGGGAGTGAAAGCATTGCGAGTCCGCCTGGGCGACCAGGTAGGCCAGTTGCAGTGAGCCGGGCTTGCGAAGTTTCTTCGGGGAGGAGGCAGAGCGTTTCTCCAGTCCACGGCCCCTGGTCAGCGAGGTTGTGAAAGCGTGGTTCTGCAGCGCATGCGAGTGAGCGTGAGCGTGATGGTGGAGGGGACCAGGCCCCAGACGAGCACTGGGCCGATAGCTCCGGCCATGATGATAGTTTTGGTGCGTGGAGCCTATAGGGGAACTGGGATCGCTCTGAGCTAGCCGGATGCGCAAGCGCTCGACATTCGAGAAGAACTGTTCCGGGTCAGCGAATGGACTCGACTGCACTCGATTGAGGGTGAGTGGAGATGGAAGGTGGGGACCTGAGCACCCCGTGCGCCAATGTCTAATGGGAAGCACCGCGCCATGGGTGATAGTGCGGGTGACGGCCTCCACCAGGCCCGTTCAGCCGTTCAGGGGGGACGAACCCCTCAACAAGGGACATCTGTGTGCGGTGAGGGTGATGGTGGGCTGTGCGCTCCATGTGGAGCCCCAGACAGCAGCATCATTGAAGCCCTCGGAGCCGTCGATGCCAAGGAGGGGAGTGTGGGAGGAACCATGAATCACCCGCGGTCGTGGCAGGCAAAGGATGTGCAGGGTCAACGTGGGGGCAGGTTCAGGAACAAAGCCACAGGCCGGGGAACTCGTATTGAGGTCCAAACGTCCACCAGCAGGACCAGCTGGGCCGGTGCGCAACTATCGAGCAAACTATCGACGGTCCACCGGTAAGGGGAAATGAGGTGGACAAGGGGAAGGGGGTAGGTAAACCCCGGAGAAAAGACTCGGAGACATGCAGGAAAAAAGACGGCCCTTACCTTCCGTCGAACTGCAGGCGGCAGAGACTCGAAGTCCTCCTCGCTGGCCGCAAATTGTCGCATCTTTTTGAGGATTGAATGGACTGAATGGACGAAATGGAGCGCAATGACTCAGCTGGATCAGAGGGATCCGATGGATCAAATGGACAGGATATTGCCAATATCCCGTCCCATAGAGGGACCACTGGAGTAACTGGTTGATTGATCTATTGATCTTGATCTGCCTGAGAAAGCACAGGGCAAGAGGGCCGGTGTGGCATGGAAGGGGCCGTTGAAAGGACGAATATCGTCAATAGTGCAGAGGAGGGTCGTGGATGCATGTACTGCTTGATATCCGGTATATCCCTCCAGGTCGAGGGAAGTATAGCATCCGTATCGGGTTCGTGTGCCTGGGGGAGCTCTGGCAGAGGAGAAACGGTCCATCTAAAAGAACTGGAAAGACAACGGATATATACGCCCTAAGCCCGAAGCCCCAAGCTCAAATCTTCAAGGATGAGCCCCTCCAGGGTTTCCCATGTCTCCATTTCTCTCCGCGAACGGTCTGATGCCCGACATGACGCCAACACATCCCCCACCCAAAGCCCGCGCACAGACCGTGATGGGATCGATCTATTTGGAGACCTGTCACGTCCCCTCTTTGTGATTGACAGAGTACTGTCCCTCGACGGTACTCCGTCCTGCTGCGCTGTGCGCGTGTGGAGCAAGCTTGAAGCAGACAATCCAGACATGCGCCCTATGTGACCAGTCATGAACCCCGCGATGAACCCCTCGATGAACCGGTTTACTTCCCCCCAACGATGTGCACACTGCCCGATCCCCAACATCGCAGGAACCACTCGATCACGGGCACAAGATCTCTCCTACTAGCGCTACGCTCTTCTCTCCCCCTGTACGACACCACACAGCGGCAATTCCAGACCTCGCTGTGCGACCACAGCGAACCCGACCCAAAGCCGCCCTTCGTATTTTGACTGCTCGCACTCAGCCCGAGCGGGAGGCCCAGCAAGGGGGCTACTCTGTACAGCCTAGTTTGTAACTTCCATCGCGAGACCCGCTCTCCCCGTTTCTTGCGACTGGTCGTATTCTTGGGGCCCGTCTATCGACCCGCCATTCAGGAAGCCCAGCCCTACCGGACGCACGGGCTCAGGCAGCTCGACGGGGGAATGCGTGAGACCGGCCTTTCTATTCGGACGCGATAGGCTACTTGGCCCTGACTGCCAAGGCCTGTCAGGACACCCACTTTGGGCCGGCGCGATTTGAAACGCCCAGCTGAAACTGCGCGGCTCGCGCTGGCAGCCTCGGAGATTTCCAGGGTCCAATTGGCCGTTTGTTTCTAAACCCCGACAGGATCCATAGGGTATTACGTGATAATGATCATTAACGATTATGACTGGTTACTATGACTAGCCCTGGACTGACTCGGGTCGAGGAACCAAACCTAGCCCATAGTAGAGTTTGATGATCGCGCAAAGGAAGGGCCACGTCAAAAGTATGGAACTATGCAATGGTGGAACTGCGGATAAAGTTCAATTAAATGAATGATGGACCTGTCATACGGCTATGGTGACGGCGGGGGGATTTACCGAGACTCCACGCGCATCAGTGGGCCAGAAGAATACCCTCGCGTATACACTCCAATACAGTGGGCACCCTGGAGTACTTCCCGGTGTCGGCCGTGCCATCAGATCGATCTCCACACAAACCCCCTCCAGGACGAAGTGAACAGTCTAATGGAGCACATCTGAGCTTCCCAAAGGACGAGTCACAAAACCTAGATTGTTCCACGCGCCTGGCCACGCGAGCTGGACAAAATTCTCCTGCGATGCGCGTCAGGAACTGTCAATGGGGTCCCACGGCGCCGCCCAATCTATACCAGCCCCTCCGAAGTGGAACCCTTATCTTAGTGTGCGTCCGTACAGTAGGAAGAGACCACTAAAGCCGTGCCAACAAAAAAGGCCAACACTACACAAGCTCCACCAGGAACAGGAACGGGAAATCGGAAACAAGAACAGGGTATATGACACGTCCGTGAACGGGTTGGACTCCCATTGCGACGCCAAAAAGTAGCTGTAGCTTACGCCCCGACAAACAAAGAAACCAACAGGCTCTGGCTTCACAAGGCATTCAGAACCTGCTGCATAGCCATGGTATTCGAGTCCTCCCGACGCGAGACATACGCCCGCACTTCTTGGACACTCAGCTTAGCCTCCATCTGGCCGCCCGCACTCCTACCAGGCCCAGCCGAGCCCCCCGTGGCCCCGCTAGCCGCGCCGCCACGGATGCGCTCACGCAGAGCCTCGGCACCAATGACAAACAGGCTGCCAACCTCGAGCAGCACGTCCAGCGCGCCCCCGGGGCCCTTGACCTCGTCGTCAATGTCCCACGACTTGAGCAGGTCGGTGTATTGCGTCATGTCCTTGGTCACCATTAGCCCGCCCGGGCCGCTGACGGCAAACCGCTTGAAGTGCTCCAGCAGCAGCCCGCGCGTCCCAAGAGCAATTTCCGTCAGGACTTGGCGAACGTTGGATCCGCTGGAGGGGAGGGAGGCGCGGGCGATGTTGTGCAGCCGGGTCAGGAACGTGCAGATCGAGGCACAGGTCTGGTGATGCGGTGTCAGGTTTTTTGTTTTTCCTTAGGGGGAATTTGCTTTTCTCGATTGTTTTTGGCTCGTGCGCGGGAGGATTGCTTCGCTCGACCAAGGGGGAAAAAGAAAAGAACAGAAAAGGAAAAGGAAACATACCGGTGTTTGCAACATCTCCAGCCATGCCGCATTGTCACTCTCGCGAGGTCGGAAGTCGTTCTTCCTCTGACCCGACAGCAGGCGACTGACCCATGCCAGAGTGGCATCGATCGTCTTCTGCTCGATCGTGTTGATCTTCTCTTCAATGCGAGAGGTAGTCTGAGACGTACGCTTTTCCATATCGCGACGAGTGGTGATACTCGTCGCAGCTAGGGGAAGTAGCACCGCATTGACGCACATCACCATCAAAGTGGTAATACTGATCGTCGTCCGCACAGACAGGAGGTATCCAAAGTCGGGTTCGGTCTTACCCGATTCCTGCGCGGTGGCTGCCTCCATGGCAGCATCGAGGCAGACGTCGACGTAGCCATCGCCCATGGTAGCCAGGAGCAGAATCAAGAGAGCCGACACGTCTTTGTGGGTATCGGTGTTGACACTCAGCTCCAGCCCACGGCCCACGGCCTCCGCCAGCCACTTGAGCATGCGCTTGGCGTCGCTGAGGTTGGGCTGGCCATCCTCCTCGGCGAGTTTAATTTCCGTCAGCCGCTGGGTCTCGGGGACTTCTCCGATGTTGGCTATTTGAAGCAGCATCCGGCGCTGAATGGGGGACATATCAGGCGAATCGAGCCGACTGATGAACGCATCACGAGTGGTGGACAGCAGCTCTGTGGTGCCGGGGCGGGCCAAGGAAGCCATAAAGGTGGTGGCGGCCTTCTTCCGACGGGCGTGGTAAGAGGTGAATTTGAACAAGATCGCATGAAACAGCTCCTCTAGGGTGCGCTTCTCGCGCTCAATGTAGGAGGACCCGACAAAGTAGGGCACAAAGAGCTCCTCTAATTGCTGGTCGAGGAGCAGGGCTGTCTGGGAAGAAATGGGCTCCGGATGCTCGGTCAGCCCATGCGCCTTCAAGTCATCAACCAGCGCGCTGATGTAGCCTCGCGAGCTCTGCAGACATCGTAGGAACGCCAATGATGAGACCCCACTCGCTTTGTCTAGGACCATTTCAAGGCGCTGCTGAATCGATTGCTGAAAGACTCGCTGCAGGAACTTGCCCAGCACTTGTTCGTAGTAAGGGAACGCGCGTCGAATAATCGCAGACTCTTCTTGCACCACCACCTTGACTTCATCCAACAAGGACTGCAGGCTCGGTTCAACGCCGGGCAGCTCCGCATCTGGATCAGCCATTTTCTCCCAAGATTCCGCATCCCCGCCCACTTCCTCCGTGACCAATTGACTCCTATCAATGAAGAATTGATGCTGATTCACGAACAGCGCAATCGCACTGGACCCGCCATTGAAATCCTGTAATACTGTAGCACAATCCTTCATTCCTTCGAAATTCGCCTTGCGGTAGAAATCGTCAAACTGCTTCAGAAGGTCCTTCTCCAAAGTCTCCGAGAACTTCTCAATTATCTCCCGTGTATTCCGGCGCGGCGGGCTGTGCTCACTCAGGTCCTCAGACGAGGAATTCCCCCCGTAGGCGCCGTTGACTGGCTTAGAGGATTCCTGCCAGCTCTGCGGATCAAGCCGCTGGCTGATGCGCAACAGCTGCCGGGCAATATGCGCGGAGCGGACCTTGGCCTCAGCCGTCCCAGACCGTCGCAGGTTCTCCAGAAGCGAGATCTCGCCGCGATTGCACACGCCGTCCCAGCACTCCAGCAAGAAATGAGCGTCCAAAGCTCGGCGGCGCTGCCGGTCCAGTTCCTCCAGCCTCCTTCCCGTTTCCACTGCCATATTCCCCGTACCGCCGGCATTCTCCAGTCCCGCGCCATTGAGTGACGTGTCCAGCTGCTGGAACGACTCGATCGTCTGTCGAAGTTTGCGGCCGAGGGTAGTCAGGTTCTGCGAATGCTGGGCTTCAGCGCGCCGAACTGCAGCTGACAGCTCATTCTCGCGGATCTCCAGATCACCGGAGAGCTCGCCCAGGCGGCGTTGGGCATGTTCGAAGGTGCGGATGAGGGGTTTCGGATCGAAGGGCTGGTTGGCAGCACCGGCGGTTCCAGCAGTGGAGCGACGGTGGGAGATTGCGGTGTCAGAGAGGGCTTCGATGAACTCCTTGACGATGAAATCCCGGCTGGAGAAGTCTTCGAGCGTAAAGCTAGGGCCCTGGGGGAAGATGGAGCGGGCGAGGTTCGAGGAGACTATGGATGCACTGTCGGGCATCATGGCGACGGCGATTGCGGGGGAGTCATATGGGCTGCCTCGGGACCGGCTCAGTGGATTGAATCGGCCCGCTCAGCTTTGGGGGAAGTTGAAGTCGTGTTTGATCTGAATTAGAGAATCCGGGGAAAGCTGAGACTGGATATTCGATCCCACCAAGGGAGGGCGGCGAGCTATGCTGCGACGATCCGGTATAACACCTTTAGTCAGGGGCCGTAATTTAACTAACCCCAATGGGAATGACGCATAGTAGAATATCGGTATGACACTCTAGTTTATCTGTAATAGAGAAATTTGATTAAACTAAATAGGCTTCTAAATACCTCCAAATCTACCGTCCTGGTTAATATATCCATAAATCTCTGTAAATCAGTACACAGTGTAAATCCACCGGTACCAACGCACAGCACATCATGTGTCGCAGAGATCGAGCAGAAGCTTTCGAATTGGACAGACTGCGCTAGTCAATTGGGAGATGGCGAGGCAGTAGAAATAAGCAAATGGCAAGAGAAAATTTGAGAGAATGTAAAAGCTGAATTATGTGAAGATTGTTGAGAATGAGCAATTGAGCGTACGGACTGTCAATCTGTATTATTGTATTATGATGTAATATAATACAGTAGTACCTTGAATGCTTGAAATTATGTTATATCTATATTCGTAGTTGGATGTTCTACACTAAAGTTGGAATTAGAGGCTTCTTTCTCTCTTTGCTTTTATTTATTATTATCCTGGGCCAACTGACTAACTAGTCAATGAGTTTATAGACCTCACATCTTGATGGAAATTCTACCATGCAAACATCCCAACTAGTGCACAGTTGACGAGGGTTATATTGCAATGTAGCAGCTAATATAGTTCTAACTTAGCCTTTTAGAAACTTGTATAGAGGGTTGAGGGATACTAGGTATATACTCATAATCGTTTTCTCATGGTTGAGAACTTTCCTAGTTCAACCGGCTATAGTCCGCACTAGCCACTGACTGTCGGCTTGAATGAACACCTTGGCCACAAGAGACTACCAAGGACAGGCAGCCACACTGCGATTAGATCTCATGATCTGCTCGGCCGCTATAATCTAGTCGCTAGATTAAATAGCACAAGCATCACCGACCTAGTGCGGACCTAGGAGCAATCAAACCAGGTCCAAGTACTCGCGGAAAGTTATTTGCATGTGGCCGCAGAGGCTCTTACAAGTACGACGGCTTCCCGCCAATCCTCATTTCTCCCAACCCGCACCACCATGGTTTCCCGAGCCGACCGCGAAATCCTGCGCGCGGAAATCCGCTCGCGCGGCGGCAAGCTTAATGCCGCCGATCGTGAGAACCTGTTGAAGCCATATTTGCCTGACCCGGCCGAGCTGGCGAGCTCGAGCTCGAGCTCGAGCCCACCGCGGCGATCCCGCGCCTCAACCTCGTCCTCCCAACGCCGCCAGAAGCCTCGCAAGAAGCCCGTCCGCACGTTCCTAAAATCACAACTGCATCATTTGACCTACGCGATCACCCATATAGTCTTCGGGATTGTGGTGCGCCTGCTCCAGGCCTACCATGCCATCGTGGATCGGGTCTTCGCCATCGTCTACCACCACCACCGCACGCCCGAGCTGATCCGCAAGGATGTCCGGGGTTTGAAGCGGCTGCCACAGCACCTGAGTGTGATCCTGACGCTGCAAAAGGAGGACGATGCACTGTCCGTGTTAATGGACGAAGTGGCCGAGCTGGCTGCCTGGAGTACCTGCGCGGGGATTGCACAGCTTAGTGTATACGAGAAGTCCGGTAAGGTCCTAGATCTCCAGGTCTCGTATTGAGCTCTTGCAACCAACATGCTAATGCACCACTGTCCAGGCGTCCTCAAATCCTGCATCCCGGCCTTGCACGAGATCATCTCCACCAAGCTGGCCTCGTACTTCGGCACGCCCTCTCAACAGCCTTCCCTGCAGCTCTTTGCCCCCCACCACCCCGTCCACGGCAACGCACCAGACCCCAAGTCCGAAAGCCCATCCCTGACCCTCCTCCTCCTGTCTTCGACGGATGGCCGCGAAACCATCGTCGACCTGACCAAGACCCTGGCCGAGATGTCGCAACACGGCAAGTTGGCGCCCGAGGATATCACGCCGGAACTGGTGGACGCGGAGATCAGTGAAATCACCACCCTGCCACTACAAGCGGGTAGTGACGGTCGTGCATCTAACACTCTGAAACCCGAGCCAGATCTTCTGCTGGTGTTCGGTCCCTTCTTGAAGCTGGACGGCTACCCGCCGTGGCAGATTCGGTTGACGGAGATGTACTGCACCGGCGACCGCAGTCACGGCATGACTGGCTATGGGGAGGCGGTCGAGTACCAAGGCTTTATGCGGGGGTTGTGGCACTATGCTGGAGCACAGATGCGGTTTGGTCGCTGAGAAGGGAGGAAAGTTGGGTTTATGGGAGCAATACGAAAATGAGTTGAAATTGCATGGTGGGTTTCCTACTGTTTGTTATACCCTATCAGCATCGACGAAGAGGTGTCTATTACCATTGATATTGTTAGATTTTCATGACTTTTGCAGATGTTAATTTGGAAAGAATCCCGCTGGATGATCATCATTAAATTATATGTTATATGTTATTGGTATCACTATGCCACGTCATAAAAGGAAAAAGAACCACAGGATGATGCCGAGAATCAAATGCTATCGCCGTGCCGAACAACATGGAGAAGAAGGAAGGAGGGAGAGGTAGAAGGTAGAAAGTGCAGGTCCGAGGGCATGTGCATACACTAACTCACTGCCGTCTGGAAACGATGAGTTGGTCAAGAGTTTGCCAAGCCTGGAAGGGGAGTAAAGGTCGTAGGTGTCGTGCGGTCGTTTCTGTTCATGATTTAAATTGCGTGAGGCACGACGGATGTTTATCCACCCATTGTGTGACAATTCGTCCCATCCAGCGTCCACCCAGATGCCATCGAACCCGCTGACCAGGGCGCCGAGTGGCCCCGCACGCAGTCGAGGCATCTCACAATCTCAGTGCCTATTTCCGTGATACCCTCGACAGCACAGCTAGAGCAGATTTTCCGTCTCCGTCCCAAGGCCGCCCCGTGGAGGTCCTCACTCGGCGCCGACCAATCCGGCTCGCCGTCAAAGGTTGCGTTGATCGAGCCGGGGCAATCCCGAGCATCGCACTGGCGAAGACAGATGAAGCAGGCGCGCTCACCACAGAGATCACAATCAGCGTAGGCGTCGAGGACTTGTCGTGTAGTTGGGCGCCGGTGGCAGATGTGGCATGGTCGAAGAGCGGAGGGGGAAGTTGAGGGGTAAGAGAGTGGCACGATCGTCTTGGGCGAGACAGGTGGAGAATAAGGGTCTTGCGCAGGGGCATAGACATTGGGCGAGAGGAGGGAGGATTGCTGGTGTGTTGAGAGGGCGAGATATGGAGGCTGGAGGTGACGGCGTTTGCGAGGGAGACAGCGGGGGCGGAAAGATAGGTCACTTCCTTCTATCGGGAGCCGGGACAGGGGGAGCGAGCAGTTGCTGTCGTAGTCGGTACGCTCTACACGGAGCGGAATGAAGGATGAACTGGATGTGATCAAGGGGAGTCAGTAACGAGTCTTGCCGGGGAGAAACAGGCAAGCTCAGATATGACCGTGCAGGATGGCACTTACGGACGAGTCAAAGTGGTGCTGTCTTCATGGTCCCGCTTGCGTTTCCTCCAGCTCGCGACAACGGAGTCGATGGGTTCTGAGAAGCTTGGCATTGAGAGGCAGAATAGCAGTCCAGACAATGCATTGACCGAGCCAAAAATACCTAGTGGACGGTTGGTCGAGAGGCGGTGTTGATTGAAGTTGGGGCAACGGCGGAACGATGAAAATAAAGCTCGGGCCCGGCCAAGTCACGGTACCTGGGGCCTCACCACTAGTGGCCGAGGCGTCTCTGGTACCCACTTGGACTCCATTGAGATAAACATCTTCGTGTTTCTTGTTATCTCGATGGATTGAGCTGGGAGAGTGGACCATAGCTTCGCCGGCACAATATTGAAGTAATATGTACGGATATATACAGGAAAATGAAATAAGCTTGACATGGATCAAATCAGTATAATCAGCCACCGCTGAATCACCGTGGAGATTGAGCTCAAGATTCGGCGCCATTCAGCAGGGTTCACTCAGAACTCAGCTCAGTAGGGTGCGTAGGTCAATGCTCAGTAGGGCGCCCCCTATGTTCGATTATATAAGCTCGCTGACCGTAACTATGAAATATGTGTTCCGCACCGGGTTCCAGCTGAGCCTGACGGAAAAAGTTGAACAATAACTAACGTAATTCCCGGCCGACCGAGCAACCCGGCCGACCGAGCAACCCCATCCAAAATCATGCTTCTTTACCCACCTACCTAATTCAACCACCTACTATGCCACCACAACGCGTCAAAAACGCGTCAAAATTGGTTGACCAAGAGGGCAAGTTCTTATTGGCTATTGATGATATCAAAAATGGCCGCATTAAGTCTGTCAACGCAGCAGCGAAGCTATATAGAATACCGCGTTTAATACTACAACACCGCGTCGACGGCCGACCCCTACGCGTTGATAAACGCCCATCTAGCTATAAATTAACCTAATTGGAAGAGGATTCGCTTGCTGAGTGGGTTATCTCTATAGATACGCGTAGAGTAGCGCCTAGGCCGTCTACTATGCGAGAAATGGCTAATATTCTATTAGCTACGCGTAGTAAGAACCCTCCGGCTATAGTAGGCAAGAATTAGCTATTAAGCTTCGTTAACCGACGAGATAAGCTTCGTTTAGCCTTCTTACGACGCTACGATTACTAACGTACCTAAAACGAAGACCCAAACTCACTACAAGCCTAGTTTACGACCGTCCGACGTATTATTAATAAGAAAGGTATCCAACCGGGGGATATCTATAACTTTAATAAGACGGGCTTCGCTATAGGTCTTATAGCTACACAAAAAGTGGTTACGAGAGCTAAATATTACGGTCGGCGATCGCTTTTATAACTAGGCAATCGTGAATAGGTTACTGCGGTCGAAGCAGTAAGCGCTGACGGCTATTCGCTGCCGCCCTGCGTGATATTTAAAGGCAAAAACTTCATCGCTTCTTGGTTCGACGAACAGCTTTATCTTCTAAAAGACTAGCGTATCGAGGTATCGCTAAACGGCTAGACAACCGATGAAATTAGCCTTCGTTAGCTACAAAAGCTTTTCATCCCAGCGACGACGACGCGTACGAAAGGGAAATATCGGCTGTTGATTCTTAATAGCCACGGTAGCCATCTTACACCTCAATTCGACCGAATCTGCGCTAAAAATAATGTGATACCACTTTATATACCTCCGCATAGTTTATATCTCTTATAACCGCTTAACGTTGGCTGTTTTACTATATTAAAACGCGTATACGGCCGCTTCGTGAGCGATCTAGCTCGCATATTATATAACCACATCGACAAATTTGATTTCCTCGCTAATTACCCTCGGGCGCGCGCGGAGGCCTTTTAACCAAATATTATTCAAAGCGCCTTCGCAGCCACTGGTCTTGTTCTAATTGACCCAGAACGGGTACTTTCGAAGCTTAATATCTTACTCAAAACACCGTTACTACCGAATAGCCGGCCAGCTACCAGCGATAGCTATTTTAGCCCAAAAATACCTAGAACCGTCGTTCAACTTAAAAAATCAGCTTTATTACTTAAAGATCTATTAAAACAACGGTCAAATAGCCCTCCGAGCCCATCAAAAACCGTTCTAGATCAAATCATCAAAGGCCACTATATATCGCTTCATAACCTTACGATATATACGCAAGAAAACGCTGATCTACGCATAGGGAATAAGAAAATACGCCAAAAACGCACACGATCAAATCGGCAGATAGCTCACGAAGGAGGCCTATCGGTCGAAGAGGGTCAACAGCTAGTTACGCAGCTAAATTAGCCAGTTAAAGCTAATCGGGTCGTTTCGCATAAGCAGGCCGATGAGGCTATTCAACTAGCCCAGCCAGCAACCAGGGCACTACTAAGGTGTAGTGGGTGTAGGGGAATTGGCCATAAGATCAATCAATGTAAAAATCGTCAGATATAGCTAAATTGATGCGTTTTGGTTGATATATTTTGGTTTAAAATTTCTATAGGGGGGTGGGGTTGCTCGGTCGGCCGGGTTGCTCGGTCGGCCGGGAATTACGTTAACTACTCAGAAGGATTATGACTAATCCTGAGTACTGCTCAGCTCCCACACCTAAGCGATACTCAGGATTCTATATTACTACATATAATCCTTTTTAGCGTAAGAAAATCGTTATTTACCACTGTTTAAGGCTTTTGCGAATATTCTTTATTGTCTATGCATTTTATTATAGTGAATTACTTAATTTGTAGGACCTAGAAAATCCTGAGTATCGCTCAGGTATAGGAGCTGAGCGATACTCAGGATTAGTCATAATCCTTCTGAGTAGTTAACGTAATTCCCGCCCGACCGAGCCACCCGGCCGACCGAGCCACCCTACCCCATTAGAAATTTTTGCATCAAAATATATCAACTAAAACGCATTAATTTAGCTATATCTGACGATTTTTACATTGATTGATCTTATAGCTAATTCCCCTATACCCACTACACCTTGGTAGAGCCCTGGTTACTGGCTGAGCTAGTTGAATAGCCTTATCGCCCTGCGGCTGTACTACTACTAGAGTATCTTTAATTAGCTGATTCAGCTGCTGAACTAGCTGTAGGCCCTCTTCGACCGTGAGGCCTCCTTCGTACACTATCTGTTGTTTAGATCGTGTGCGTTTTTAGCGTATTTTCTGATTCGCTGTGTGTAGATCGCTGTTTTCCTGCGCCAATAGCGCGGCCCCGTAAAGCGATATACAAGCGCCTTTGATAATCTGATCTAGTACGGTTTTTGATGGGCTCGGAGGGCTATTTGACCGATATCTTAATAGATCCTTTAATATCGAAGCTGATTTTTGCAATTGCACGACCGTCCTGGGTGTTTTTGGGCTAAATTAGCTGCAGCTAGTGGTTAGCCTACTATTTGGTAGCGATGGCGTTCGGAGTAAGATATTAAGCTTCGAAAGCACTCGATCTGCGTCGACTAGAATAAGACCGGTAGCAGCGAAGCTATTTTGAATAATATAAGGTTAAAAGGCCTCCGTGCGCGCCCGGGCGTACTCTGCGAGGAAATCGAACTTATCGATATAGTTATACGACGTACGAGCAAGATCGCTTACGTAGCGACCGTATACGCGTTTTAATATAGCAAAACACCTAACATCAAGCGGTTATAAAAGATGCGAAGAGTGTAGAGGCATACAAAGTGGTATAACATGATTTTCTGTGCAGATCTGGTCGAATTAAGGTGTAAGATGGCTACCGTGGCCGTTAAGAATTAAGAGTCGATATTTCCCTTTCGTACGTATCGTCGTCGCTGGAATGAATAGCTTCTGTAGCTACCGAAGGCTAATTTCATCGGTAGTCCAGCCGTTTAGCGAGACCTCGATACGCTAATCTTTTAGAAGCTTCTCGTCGAACCACGACGCTATAAAGTTTTTACCTTTAAATATCACGTATAGCGGTAGCGAGTAGCTATCAGCGCTAACTGCTTCGACCGCTGTAACCTATTCACGATTACCCGGTTGTAAAATCGATCGCCGACTATAATATTCCGCCCTTATAACGACCTTCTGTGTAGCTATAATCCCTATAGCGAAGCCGGTCTCGTCAAAGTTATAGATATCCTCCGGTTGGATACTATTCGCGTCGATAACATCTTGTACGGTCGTAAACTAGGCTCGTAGTGAGGTAGGGTCTTCGTTTTAGGCTCTTTGGTAATCGTAGCGTCTAGAGAATGCTGAACGAAGCTTAGGGCGTCGTTACACGAAGCTTGATAGCTAAATTTTTACCTACAGTAGCTAGAGGGTCTTCACTACGCGTAGCTAGTAGAATATTGGCTATTTCTCGCACTATAGAGGGCCTAGGCGCTGTACTACGCGTATCTATAGAGATTATCTACTCAGTAAGCGAATCCTCTTCGTATTGGGTCAATTTATGACTAGATGGGCGCACATCGACGCGTGGGAGGCGGCCGACAGCGCGGTGTTATAGTGTAGTGCGAGGTATTGCGTATAGCTTCGCTGCTGCGCGTATAGACTCGACACGACCATTTTTAATATCGTCAAGGGCTAATAAGATCTTGCCCTCTTGATTGGCTGATTTCTGAGCAGATCCAGAGCGAATTGGTGGCATGGTAGGTGGTTGAATTAGGTGGGTGGGTTAGAAGACGCGTTTTTTGATGGGGTGGCTCGGTCGGCCGGGTGGCTCGGTCGGGCGGGAATTACGTTAGTTATTGTTCAACTTTTTCTGAGTCAGGCTCAGCTAGGTGCCCGTTACGCACCCTACTGAGCTGAGTTCTGAGTGATCGCAGGTCAGTAGGGCCCTCCTGAGACCTTAGTAGGGTGCGTAGGTCAATGCTCAGTAGGGCGCCCCCTTTGTTCGATTATATCAGCTCGCTAACCGTAACTATGAAATATGTGGTATCCTGAGGTTACGCACCCTACTGACCTAGACCCACTTCTTAACTATGATTACCCCCCCGCCCCCTACGGGCGCGACTATATTTAGGATCCAGTGATTGGCCACTATATAATTAGCTACCATAAGCCTATATCAGAACAAAGGATATCGAATCCGTATGCAGATATCCTATTTACAGTCAAAGGCGCATACAATTCGATTAACTGCTAAGGGGGGTTTAGGGGGCTTAGCCCCTTATAAAAGAAAGAAAGCAGATCTGTACGTTGATGATTAATGGTTTACGAACGAATCGGAATCCAGTATAGGCGGCCGCTGAGCGCCGCAGTGTTATTTCCCAAGACCGTCGGGCGCTGGGATACCTTGTATACCATCCGATACACTCATAAAACAGACGAGATCTTCATAAAATCTGTCTATCACGTGGCATTCTATGTTTGTCTTGTTTACAGGACCGCAGGACCGCACCAAACCGAAGTGGTGCGGTCCTCAAAAAGTGGGGTGATCTTTTATCTGCTCTTCTTGATTTCTATCGTCTCGTGGAGCTACAGTACGAGAAGATTCAGGCAGAACTTGCAGATCAGGCAGTCCGCCGACGATTACAAGCACCATTTCTGGTACAGAAGGTCCTCCAGCGAATCTCAGTTTATGCGATTGAGAACGTCATGAAATAATTTGCACTGTATCTACCGGTAGGAGGCCTAGGAAAAGTTCGTATTCCTGGGGGCTGTATATATGAATCGGCGACGACGAGCGGCTTCCCATGTATCCACCTGATGCAGGAGTACTGGACTGCAAAGAGATCTTTCTCTATGCACCATTTTCATCCTCATTGGCACCTTGCTAATTCAGAGCGTGCACAATTTAGCGCTGAAATTGCTCTCGTTCAACAACCCCAGGTTGTAGAGCGGCAACGGCGACGAGATACAGTACGGCGGATAAGATCATCATTTGAGATAGCTGATTCGCAGCAGGATGCAGCATTAGGTAAAATATCCCGTCGGCAGCGCGAGAAGAATCAGCAGCAACAGCAAGATCAGCAAAGTCAGCAAGGTCAGCAAAGTCAGCAACATCAGGAGGGCCAGCAGGGCCAGGAGGGAAGGCGAGGTAAGAAGCGAAGGCGCGGGTTTAATAGGAAGTATGAGGGGATACCAGCGGAGATAACCCATATTTTTGAGATTTAGTGAGATTCGTTGATTTCTGCAATATGATTCGAACAGCCCCTCTTTCCTAATCGAGCTAGTGCATTGGTAGATAGTGAATTAATTGAATATCTTAGAAGAGGGGGGTGGTATTAGGTGATAGGATAGGTTGTTGGAAGATAGGAGGGGTAATTAGAAGGGGGGAGTATTGCGAGATAAAAATAAAGGGGAGTTTTAGTATTCATCCCGAGTAATACACATACTACGCCTTACCGAATAGGGTTAGTCCGTGTATAAATAGCAATTTGGGGGTGTACATTTAGCAATTCTCGTTTTTTACCTGCTCCAACGCCGGGGGATCGCAAACTACCCGGAAATCCTACGCATGTGGCATATCCTGCCCGCCGTGACTAACAGACACATCGTTTTACAATCGTCTTTATAATTAGCTTGAGAACATCGCGCTTCCACCCCGGTAACTAGCCACACCTAGCGTCAGATAAGACAAGGTCCAGGAGATCCTGTGGCAGCATTGTCCGTCGCCTTTAACAAAGCGGCATACCGTGGCAGCATAGATAAATAGGCCATCGGCTCGCTTAATAAGATACTCAATCTTGTTATTTCCAGGCCAGTTCGCAGGAAGATCCTCGAATTCCTCTCTTATTTCACGAATTTGTATCTCTAATAAATATTGCTATGTCATGGTCCACAGCAGCCATGGTTCTTGAGGCATCTTACACTGCTCATCATCTCGTTATCGGCGGTGAAGTCGATGCGGCGCACGATCGGGCTTCCCGGCGGTTTCTTGCATATAGCGTTCGGCGGTTAACCCATCCGTAAGGCGGGGTAGCACTCCGTATTTCATCCTTCAAAACTTCCTCAGCTACCCCACGGCCTCACCCTTTATCATCCTCCATTCGCCAACTCCAACATTTAGGATCTTGGCATCATGCCGCAACCTGGAAGCTAAGCCAGTGAAACGCTCTTAACCGTTTACACCGCCTACCTCATCGGTATGAGATGGGAAGGAAGGCACTAATGTTCTTCCAAGCTTCTGACTCTCGCATGCAGATACAACGCATGCAGATACGACCTTTTGGTCTTGTGAAGTCGGCGATTACATGCTGCCGAACATGCGCGCCCCCGACGTAGCTTGTGCGAGCTTATAAGGATATAAAGGAGCTTGGGAAGCCCACAAAGGATGGTGTCTCGATCTTCACTCAAAAACTTTCAGCCTACCTGTTCAAAATGAGGGCCTCGAACCTTTTCCTCCTCCTCCTCTCCCTCATCGGTATCGCAGCCGCGTGCTGCGCTGCGAAAAGCAGCACCAGCTGTTGTGGAAAGGGCAAATGCAATATCTTTTGCTGCAACTGTGACGGAGGTAAGCTTCCCCCTTCCATAAAAAACAGATAGATCATCGGCTTAGAACGTCCCAGGCTGCAAATCCCGCGAGGAATGCTGCCCATACGTGTGCGGCCATGGCTGCATCCAGGCCGGCGAAATGCCTCGGGTTTGCGCGAGCATGTGCAACAAGAGGTGCAAGGAGCGGTCGCGCGAGCTAAGCGAAGAGAATCCATTTGCTGATGTTGATGCGGCGTGGCTGGCTATGTCCGATGACCAAATGTTCGAGGCTGTCCGGTCCGACGATAAGGATCATTTCACCTATGAGGAGTTCTTGAAGCAGTCGGTTTGGGAGGATAGTTCGGATGTGAGGGAGTTATTTGATAGGTATTTTGTGCCAAAATTGGGGGTTGCGCTGCTAGACTTGTTGACTGACGACTCATTGCTTACAGGTTTGATCGGAATAAGGATGGTGTTATCACCGTGGATGAGATGAGGGAGCCGGAGGAGGAGGGGAATCCGAATCAGAGCGAGAATCCGGCCCAGAGGCCGGTTTCGACGGCAACGGTGACGGCTGAAAGGCGGGACGAACTTTAGGCGATGGGCATGCTTGCATGTCTTGCCCAACTCGGCGACGCTTTCGACTTTTTGTATTGTTCTACTCCAACATTTTATAACGAACCTACCGGCCTGTTTTAGCATCAACCCACTCCCAAATTCCATACGAATGAATGCATTCACAGTCGAGTGTTGATTTGTGGTCTGGACCCCATGCCTTCTCCTTTCCTTGCAGCGCCCGCTGGTACATCTTCTCGGCCTCGTCCAGCTTGCCCTGATCGGCGTAGAGGTTGCCGTGGCAAGGTTGTGGACTGTATTCAGGGTGGATGTGTGGTCAGGACCTAATGCCTTCTCTCGGCCTGCGAGTGCTCGCTCGTACATCTTCTCCGCCTCCTTCAATTTGCCCTGGTCAGAGTAGAGATTCCTCGAACCGTCTATTGCATCCCAGATGGCGATGTCATGAGTCAGCCGATTGCTATCCCACCCCTGATATACATAATTTGCATGGTCTAGCAATCGCTGTTGGACCTCCCAATAATTTTGGATAGTTTCATCGGGTTCCATGTACCCAACGGATACCAATGCAAGTTCGTCCCATCGATGTCAGTACACCAGTCTTGTACAACAGGATGCATGGTGTAGCTTCCCTCTTGGTGTTTGACTGCGACAAGCGAGAACTCAACAAGAGTCTTCATGTTCTCTTTGAAAGCAAGTCGATTTGATACGACACTGTTAAACCACATTGGCCGATTCAAGCTATGAATACCACATGTCACCAATGAACGGCAGACCTCAGCAACATTAGGCAAACAAGATACCCGCCGCCGGTAGACATGCCACCGATTACACCTCACGAAGTTAAGAACGCTGTCAAGCGGCCGAGTGTAGACCGAGCGCTAGGCACGGATACCATCCTAAATAGAGCGCTACAAGCAGCAGCCGACACTCTGGCGCCTTCCCTCACTAAGATATTTAATCAGTGCCTACACTTGGGTTACTGCCTAGCGTACTTCCGGGAAGCCCGTACGATAGCTCTCCGAAAGCCTGGGAAAGATGACTACTTGGAGCCGAAGTTATATCGCCCTATTGCGCTCCTTAATACACTAGGTAAGGCCCTAGAGGGGGTGATTGCCTTACGGCTTAGCTTCCTCGCCGAAAAATACTAGTTACTCCCGAAGAATTACTTTAGAGGGCGGAAGGGACAGGGATGCGATATAGCCCTTTATGCAGTGACAGAGGCCATTCGGAACGTATAGAAAGTAAAGAAGGTAGCGTCGATTCTCTTTCTCGATATCTTAGGGGTATTCAATAACGTTTCCCATCAACGCCTACTATATAACTTAAAGAAATAATGAATACCGCTATAAATCATCGCCTAGGCGGACAGCGGTGGGCGTGCGGCAAGTTCTCGCAATTGATGGGGGGTCATCTCTGTATAGAAAGATAGGAAGAGGCTAAGGCAGCTCACTAGGAGGCTCAAGTTAAACCGCCGATCATCGGCAGTTGGGACTCAAGCGATCCAGGGAAAATGGCAATTGGGCAGGTCGGCAGTGAGACGAGAAATCATAGCAGTAGGGCCAGCCCATCCGCCAGGAGATACGGAGTATAGGGTCTAGGATGTATGTGCTCATACAGAGTACGGGGTACTGTACTGTAGACTTGACAGTGCACATGACCTGACCTGGGGGCTCAATTGCTAGCGTAGACGAAGACAAAGTGTAAGCGATACGGGGGTATACGATGCCCAGGATGCTTGGGATCCTCCAATCGGTGCGATCCAGCCCCTTTTTCCTGCTGGTCTAAAGCTCCCACATCCTAGGCCTCCCACCCGATCGTGGGGACGTGGGGAAACCCGATTCCCCGGCTGGGTCACCACCGTCTCCCGATTTTCTGCTCCGGCCTGATGTCGCTCCTTGCCTCGGGTGCCTCTCTCTGTTCTCGTCTATCGCCCCAAGAAAAAGAGAAGTGGATTCTCTAGAGTCTCGTGGTTGACTAAGCTGCCCTTCTTGGATTGGTTGCCCTCGTTCCCCTCTTCCGTTGCGTAATCCATCTGGTCATTTCCGATTGCGTCTCGGCCTTTCTCGTATCCCGGACATGCGTCGCGACCGTTGATTCTGCGCGACCGAGTGCTGGATCACGCTCCGAATCGAATTGTCTACATCCTCCTTCAAAGCAATTGCCGCAGATCACTCTGCAAGGGGCCTGCAGACCACGAGTGTTGCCCGCGACTGCGCTCTTCTGGATTCTTCCAGCCTGGGGCCCACGGTGCATGGCTTGCGTCACTGTCCTCACTAACCCTCTTTATGGATGAGGGCCCCGATAAGGCCCCTCGGCGGAAGAGGGTGTCCAGGGCCTGTGATCGGTGCCGCAGTAAGAAGGTGAGTGGTATTTCGCGTGTCCCAGCTCGTTTCACAAGTTGACTCGCGTCCGTTCCCCAGGACAAATGTGATGGGATCCGTCCTACTTGCTCCGCATGTCAGGCATCGGGCCAGACATGCTCCTACGACCCCCATGCGAAGAAGCGCGGTCTACCGGAGGGCTATGTGCGTGGGCTGGAGAAATTGTGGGCACTGTCCATCTGTAACATCGATGGCTTCGAGGATACCATGCTGGCCATGCTGGGCACCACCGCGGAAGCAGCGGGCCGTCGGGATAAAATAATGTCGGTGTGGACCGATGACAGCTCGTCGGAGAGCTTGCATGAAACCTGGAAGACGAGCCGTTTGTATAGCGCATTGGAGAAGATGCTATCCAACTCAGAGGCCTCCCTGACGACGGGCAAACGCTCGCGCAACCCACACGATGATCAACCGGAGAGCTCTGGCGGACAATGGGGATATCGTGTGGCGAGAGAGTCGACTCCACTGGGCCCGGAAGCGCCGCGGATTGTCGGGTTAGCCATTGGCTCGCCGAACGCGAAACGAGCCCGCATGTCCCAGGCATCGGATGGTCGGGGCGTTTCGCAGTCGGCCAATGGCTCTCATACCCTACAGCTGCCCCTGCACACATCACAACTACTCGACATCTACTTTGCAACGACGCACTCTTGGCTCCCAATCGTCGCGAAGCATAACATTCTTCGTGCTTCGTACCTCTATGCCAATGCGCCCTTTTCCGTGGCGACCATCTCCCCAGGATCTGGGGACCACGCTGCCTTATGGGCTATTCTCAGCTACACCATCACACAGTCCCCCACCAACACTCGGGTGAACCCCGCCGGGGCCATCTCCCTAGCAAAGGAGTACTATGCCGTATCTCGAAATCTTATACCGTCAGAAAGAGAACGCTATGAACTTGGTCATATCCAAGCATTGTTGCTCCTGAGTTTGGTGAACATGGGTCTTGAAGATTGGACTGCTGCGTGGCTGCTGAGCGGCCAAGCGGTGCGCATGGCCATCGCAATGGGCTTGGGTGCCTTTGCGGACACACGCCGCTCCGACGAATTAAGACAGGGCAAAGCCGTCTTCTTGGGCTGCTTTGTGATTGACTCCTTGCTGTCCTTCCGACTCTCTCGATGCCCGGCGATGTCCTCAAATGATCTATCGAATGTCGGTCTGCTAGAAGAGGACGGATTGGAGGAGTGGAACTCATGGGTGGATGTCCTGCCCCCAATGGGAGTTTCACACGGTAAGAATCCTCCCAGGAGGGGGCCATTGCTGTCCCTAAGCTGCTTCAATCGCTTGGTCGAATTGGCAAGTGTGCTCAACAAGATTTCACGAAATCTGTCCATGGGATACAAACCGGCCAGCTTCGCCCAGCAGCTGGTGATGGATCTCAAGCAGTGGGACGATAACCTGCCGCTAGCATGTCGGTTGATCGGACCAGAGAGTATCTACCCCGAACGACACTCGGCTCTGTTGCCGCACCAGAGCTACCTAGGATTGACCTATGTCGCTACGCTGCTCTGGCTTTACCTACGCATCATCCCTGGGGAGCAGGGGTTACGTCGGTCACAGCGTCCCGCCACGGAAGGGGCAAAGAAGCTCCTCTACCGGGGACTGTCGATGATCTCCCAGCATCTGGAAAACTTCTCCATGTGCGGGCTCCCACCTATCTTCGAGTTTGGATTGCGCACGATTTTCGAGCAAGCGTGCTCGCTGCAGCAAACTGTGGACTCCCCTGATACCTTCCCCTTCCTTCGCTGGGCCGACGAGCTCCGTCAGAAGATAACAACCCTGCTCCCAAGTTGGCCGGTGTATGGCTCCTTGGTCTCTTCGATGGAGCGCTGGCAGCAGCCCCATAATCTCCCTGGAACATCGCAGCCATTCTCTGGGCACGCTGCTCCTTTGCTACCTGGGGTTGTTCCCATGGCTGGCGCCATGCAGCCTCCGGGGAGTGGCCATCATGCCCTGCCCCCGCCTGATCAAGGAAGCTACGCATCATCCATTCTGGCCATTAGCATCCCAGTAGACGGGCAATCCCTGACCCCCAAGGATACAGTTATGGAGAACACCGAAATGGTCATGATGGATCCGTCTGTGCAACCGCCACTTGTCCCCGCAGACCAGGTCACTCCGCGCAGTGGACCAGACCAAATATTCCCGCCGGGCAGTTCTCACCCGCAACCGCCTACCCCTGATTCTTCTGTCTCTAACCCCATGATGGCGGGAAACCCGCCCACAAATGATCGCCCTGTCCCCACGGGTGACCGTATGGCCTTCAACCCCGCTGGCACGGGCGATCTCGACGCGATCTTCAAGGACCTGGCATACCTGGACACCACTGAATGGTCCAACAACCGCGAGGAGGGGCTAAAAGACTTTGGTTTCCTGGATGAGAGTACCTTTCAAGCATTCTGCCACGACCCCGATCGTCTCGTGAGATCTCAGCCCTTGGTACACCCGCCCTCGATCGCAGACATCTGGCCACCTCCTGGATTCTTCCCGGAAACCTTCCAAGAGGTACCTGAGAAAACCATCAACGGCTGATAAGGGCGAGGGACCCTTTCTCGGCTAATTATTCAGTGTGTTGTTCACATCCGGTTTCACATCCCACTGACAAAGCTCCCACCCAGCCCCGCCAGACCCACTGTGGCTGTACCGGTCCGCGGTGGTTTCACCAGCAATGCTCCTCGAAAAAGCGGGCGCTACGAGCTGTCAGACACAAGCCGCACACCGCGGCGGTCGGTGTCACGCAGGGATAAGAATTCTTTCGTCCTTGCAGTGCCAAGAGCCGGGTTCATAGGATTTTACCGCTACAGTATACCCTGTATCAGGAAAAGAGAGACCGTCGTTGTTGGAGCCGTTACACTGGAGCTACAATATCCCCCTCCAATCCCCTAGGCAAGCATCGACAGGGTGAGGCCGTATTTCTCCACGGTCACTTTTCCCCGACCCAGAATTGGCTTTTGATCGTCTAGTGAGTTAGTTATTCAATAGGTCGATCAGACGCAACTCATTTCCCTCTATGATGTACCAATATACCCGCGCCGAGGGGTCAGTTGCCCACTGTGCACGCAGCAAAGTTGTTAGCCACGAGCAATTGGACTCCTCGACGATTAAAAGAGGTTCTCTCCCTGTGACATGCTTGCCCGTAGATTTTTCTGATGCCTCCCACGGGCCAGCGTCGTGTGCGACCTCATGATGTTTGTGCCTAGGCAGTCGGGCAGTCGGGCAGTCGGGCAGTCGAGCTGTCTTGCGATCGGCGATCCGTGGTTCGCTTCCGTCTTTTAAATCCCCCTCACGCTGGCGCAGCCTTGGCTCGTGAGCAGACTTCAAGCTCAAGACTGCCCGCAGGGCCCTAGCCCCCTGGCGATCGAAGGGGGGCCACATTCTCATGAACCCGACCCGGACTTGCCCCCGCCCCCCTTCCACCCCACTCATCGTCACTCCCAGCGGTCGATCCCTTCCTTCCTTTTCACCCAAAAACCCGCAAGCGATGACGCCAACCGTGGGCCCGGTGGGTTCTCTCAACTACCGCCCTACGCTTCGTTGGCTGCTGACCCGCGTGGTCGATGATCTATCCCCAGCAGCCCCGGCGGTTAGCCTATCAACCTTCGCGCTTCGAACGAGTCGACTAAATCATAGGTGCCTGTCCTGCCGGCCCATGGATCGTCGGCGAGGTTATGGGTTCGAACGACCCGTGTGAACTCCTCCCAGGATGATCCATGTCCCTTTCCTGCACGTTTCAGCAAGCGCCGACACTGGCTCTCGTCTTCTTCTACTCCTTCCTCGCTCGTCTCCGACTCATCCATGGCCCCTTCTATCCCTATCTTCATCTCCTTCTCGACATTCCTTTTTTCTCAGTAGTTGTATACAGTCTTTCTTTTATATCCGGCATATCCCATCGATATTGAAACACCTGGGTGGCCACCATGTTCACCTCCCCGCGGCGATGGACCCTCATCGCCTCTCCATTCCTTGCCCTGGTCCTGGTGTACTACCTTTTTGTCACGCCAGACACGAACCCGATCGCCTTGAACTCCCAAGGCCAACGGATGCAGTCGGAACCAGAGCTTCTGATTCTCGAAGGAACCCACCATCTTTCAGAAGACGAGAATGCGAAACAAAAAGTTTCGGATGCTTCGTTCGAGGAGGATCGATGTGGGAAACTGCGCAAGGACATGGAAAGTGTTTTTGTGGTCTTGAAGACCGGTGCAACTGAAGCCCGCGAGAAGGTCCCCGTGCAGCTGCGCACCACTCTCCAGTGTGTCCCCAACTACGCCGTATTCTCCGACTACGAGGAGACCATCCACGGCGTGCGCACCTATGATGTCTTGCAGAATGTGACTGAATTCACCATGAACAACGAACCCGAGTTCCAAGTCTACCACCGTTTACAGGACGTTGGCCCCGAGGGCCTCACAGACGAAGAGCTGGGGGATGACTCGAATGGCCCCTTTGGTAAGACCAACAACCCAGGCTGGAAGCTGGACAAGTGGAAGTTTCTCCCCATGATTGATGGGGCGCTGGAGGTGCAACCTGATGCCAAGTGGTACATCTTCATCGAGGCCGACACGTACATGGTGTGGCCGAACTTGGTGAACTGGCTGGCACACCTCGACCACACTCGGGACTACTACCTCGGCAGCCCAATGCAGATCGGCAACATCCTCTTCGGATATGGCGGTGCAGGCATCATTCTGTCCAGCCAGACGATGTACCACCTACACGACTACCGTGTCAAGCACCAATCGGAGCTTGAACACATGACGAGCCAGGAATGGGCCGGAGACTGTGCCCTTGCGCAAGCCCTCAAGGACATCCACATCGACCTGACCTGGGCGTGGCCGATGATGATGACCTCGCGGCCGCACGAGATTGACCATTTCTCCGAGGCATATGGCCGGCAGCCGTGGTGCTACCCAGCCGTTTCATATCATCATTTGAGCCCGCACGAGATCGAGGAGATGTGGCGGTTTGACCGCGGGTGGTTCAAGAGCGGCAAGAACGCGCTCCTATTGCACGGCGACGTCTACCGCGAGATGGTCCACAATCGGTCTCTCGCCGAGCGCCCCGACTGGGATAACCTGTCACCGGCCATCATTGACTTTGACCCTCCCACCGAACCCTCTACTGAGGCATGCGCCGACGCCTGCTCGCAGAACTCGGACTGTCTGCAATTCTCGTTCAACCACGAGCTGCAGTCATGCAAGCATGCCTCAACAACATTTGGCGGAGTCGCGACCAACGGCACTGACTCTGGCTGGATGACCCACCGCGTCCAGCGACTCCTGAACAACTTCCAATCGTCATGCCCGGAAGTGCAATACATTTTTAACTGATCCCGGCTCCAATCTCTGAGATGCACGCTTTCTTTCTGGGGGCCTTTTGATCTTCATTTTTGCCCCACTGCATATATCCCATTCTCGCACATATTTTTTCCTACCCTTTTCTTTGTTTTTTTTTTCTTTTGGCGTGATTGAGATCATTGGCGAGGCGTTCTGATATCTTGGGGCGCTATTCTTTCGTTACATTCTATTCATCCCCGTTCCGCTGCGCGGACCCCCCCCCCATCATCTATCTCTATCTCGGTCTTTGCACCCGACCTTGCATTCGCTTGCATCTATTTATCATATAGCTTCAGCTACTTCACTACTGCGTGGAGATAACCTACCCGAGTCTCTTACACTCCGGCCAATACCACGAAATTCAAGAAGAATACAACATCCCACTCGTACTCCTCATTCTCCAACATTGTGGAAAGAATGTACTGTATTGGCTGCATTGGATCAGTAGATCAGTACAGCTGTCGCTGACGCGATGTAAATACAAAGAAGAAATTAAAAAGAAAGAAAGAGAATTATCTAACACCCCAGCCTTACAATTTGCTGCACTACAACCGGCACCTTCCCAAAGCCATAAAACCAAAAGAATGCTGATTTTGCGTCCCCTCACGCAGCACCCACACTGCTCTTCCGCCGCTGCGTAATCAACACTGGCACAATGCACAGCACGACCGAGACGCTGACGATGATCGCCTGGATGCCGAAGACCAGACCCAACCCGTTGCGGGCGATCCAGGCGGGCTGGAAATAGCCGACGGCAAAGCCGCCGCAGGTGCGCCACATGTTCAGGATGGCGGAGACGACGGTGGATTGCTCGGGATATTTCTCGAGCGCGTAGGCCGTTACAGCGCTGATATCGGGCGTCAGTGGGAAGTGGGACGGGATGGGTGATAGTCACTTTCGGGGGAGGGGGGGGGGGGGGGGGGCGGAACGAGGGGGGTTTATATAGTGTGGTAGGTAATAGGGGTAGTGTGGCGTGGGGTGGTACTTACACAATAATTGCCACCATGCCGATATTCACCATGATCCAGCCAAAGGCAATGCCGATCCAGTGCTTGCCGAAGTTCATGGTCAGGCCGTAGGTGAGCAGGCCAAAGGTCAAGCTGCCGAGGGGGACCCACACGCCGTGCAGGCGATATTCGGTCCACCAGTTGGCGTGGTAGCGCTTGTAGACCCAGCCGTTGAAAAGGTAGCCGACGAGCCAGCCTACCGGGAAGGACGTGGGTTAGCATCTGCATCAGGGACATGTACATTGACGAGCGATGACGACGGTGGGGTTAAGAGAGAGGCAGCCACGGCCAGGCTCGGTAGGCTCGAGATAGGGGCAAGGCTTACCGCAGAGCGCACCGATCACGCCGGCGAAACGCATCGACGACGCCTCGATCGTATCAAAGTTATACGGCGGGCTGTGCAGGAAGCTATCGATGGTGGTGGTGATGCCTATCGTAATCATTAGTTCCAATACACCCACTGCACGGCCATCTCCCACTCATAAATCAATTATCAGACATACCAATAGGCCAAGTGAACGTGATCAGAATCCCAAGGCCCGTCATCAGCAGCGGGAACTTGAAGACATAGAGGACCATAACCTTGCACCAGTACCACAGCGTCGAGCCCTTGGGCAGCTTCGTGTTCCCGACACCAAAGTATGCGCCGACCCGCGAGGTGGGCGCCTTGCCGGGGTTATAGTACGTCTCAGCACCAAAGGCCAGCACGGCGAATGTGGACAGGCCGTACAGGGCCGTCAGCACGCCGAAGGAGTCACGCCAGTTTGTGCCGGCGCCGATGTAGCCGGCGATGGCAGGGCCGAGGAAGGGGCCGACCATGAAGGTTGTGCCCCAGATGTTGACCATGCGGGGCCATTCTGGAGAGGTGTTAGTTGTGAGCTGAGAGCAGAGAGCTGAGAGCTGCGTCTCCTGTATAGAGTGTGATGTGGGTGATATCCATACCCTCGGGGCTATACATGTCGTGGATAATCGGTAGGCCGATGACCTGCGGCACGGTGCCGAAAAGGCCCTGCAGCGAGCGGAACACCGTGAAGGTGGACCAGTCGTGGGAGAGGGTGGCGCCCAGCACCATAAACATCGTGATGACCTGCGGCCAGATCCAGACGGGGTAGCTGTGGGTTGTTTTTGTTAGCCGGCCTGATACTCCTTTCCGATCCGATCCTTCTTCCCCGTCTACCTACCGACCATACGCCTCGATCAGCGGGACCGCAAACATGCCGCCAAAGCCCTGCAGCAGGATGCCGTAGTTCATACTCGTGGCCGAGTGCGCGACGCTAACGCCCCATTCCATTGCCTGCGGCGTCACCAGCGTACCACCCCAGACCATCGCGCTGTGTCAATCATCTCGTCAGCCCACGATCTAGCCCTATATAGTCCATGCTCCCGCCTCTTGTCGAGGCTGGTTGGGGGGTTTCAACACACCCATCCGCGAGCAGCGAACTGCCCATGAGCGCCAGGAACAGCAGGTTCTTGCGGGTGCGACTCCAATTCTGCGGATTATTCATATCCGTCGGATCGGCATTTTTCAATTCGGGGTCTGGCAGGTGGGGACTCATCGCCGCGGGTGAGGAGTTGACCGTCTCATCCATCTCGCGCATCTCGTCGACGAGCGTGGGTTTCTCCATGGTGCGCAATCCGCAATCCGCGAACTCCCCAATATAGTATGCACCGTACACGGGAAAGTCTTTGCGCAGGAGTCAATGGTTTTTTATTGACTGCGGCAAGGGGGCAGGATGACCGAAGGGGCCTGGGAAAGAAAAGAAAAAAAAAAGGAATAGGGCTAAGGAGGGTAGTATAACGACAGTAGGGCGGGCAGTGGGCAGGACAGAAGGTTTTATGCAGGCCGACTTTAGATCGGACCGGGACATTTTGGGACACATGGCCTGCGTGTTTCACGTGGCTTTCTGTCGCGCAGAGTCGACTTCGGACGGGTCACAGCAAAACAACGGCGTAATTGGCAGGTCGGAGGGAAGAGACCTGGAACAGCATCCCCAGTGGCCGGTGGGAGCTGGGCTATCCGGGCCATTGGCCGTACCCTAGTCTCGGATGATCCATCATTTCCGCCACTAAGCAAGCAGCAAGCGCCAGAAACTAAGACTAAGGCATGCGGAGGAAAAGCTACAAAAGTCTCGAGACTACGAGACGAAGACAGGAGGACTGGACAAGGACTGGATAAGGACTGGACAGGGGCCGATGCAGATACCTATTTTCCATCGGTTGGCTCGGGGAACCCGAGTGTGGAACGCGAACCTCCTTGGTGAGTTGAGGTAACTGAAGCTGGTTAGGTTGATGAGCTAGTTTCCCGAGGACTTCGGACCACCCAAGGATATACTTCCACACGGCGCCCCACTTTGCCTAGCCACTTGGCCTAGCCAGTCACGGATCCACTGCACCCAGCGATCCAACGAGATCGAATTCATCTGATTTCCCCCCCTCTCCGGCCCCCCGAGATATAGCGCACATCTTGAACGCCCCCGGCCTCCATCTGCAGTAACGCCCTTCCGACACCCTGCCGAGCAGGATTCGTGATGCGTCGGTGCAGGATTGCCACTACTGCACGCTAAGAGGCAATTTGGCTCGAAGTACGACTGACTCCGTAGGGTACTCCTAGGGTTACTCCGTAGGGTACTCCGTACAAGGGGTGGTCCTCCGTCCACCGTTTCCGAAGGGATTTTTTGCTTCATATATTTATACTTTGCAGTCCTGGGCATTGTGGCTCGGGGCTACTGAGTTCGGCCCCAGGGCCCCTTGCGCATCAGGCCTGTCTGATTCGCGTGCGTTTGTGGGGCGGGAATAGATTCCTGGTTCTTCTTTTCTTTTTCCTGGCTTTCCGGTGCTCCCCCTAGTAACAAGTAAACAAGTATCATACCCCGGCCTCATGCGACACATGGATTATTGCTCCAGCCCAGGCCACGCAAGGCCAAGCCGCCCTAAGTCGAACGCACCCCCATGGCCCAGCTCGGATGATTGTTGTGGTAAAAAATTAACCGGGACGAGTTGGTTTGATTTGATTGGGGGGTTATTTATTTTATTCTGTTTTATTTTAGTGTTCCTTTTAATTTATTCTATTTCATTGTGCTGGACAATTCTCATCAACCTGTCATTCGGCCGCGTACCCCCTCACCTTTGCGGCCAGCCATACTCCGTACTCGCATACTCGCATACTTCGCTTCTACTGGAGTATAGTTCGACTCCCCCATCTGTGTACTTCTGCCCCACCCAAGCCAATCTACATAAGACGTCCCAGGCGCGGTACACAAGCATATCTCCGGGCCGCCTTCCACTCTGCACAAACGGTCACGACCATCCCCTTTGGGTTCTACGCCAATTCCCCCCCTCAATCTAAACCATGTCCTTACTCAGCCGTCTGGCCAGCCTCACGCCCGCCATGCCACCAGGCGCCGCCCTGGCAGGCACCGTGACGACAGTGAGTACGCAGCTACTCCTTTGCCTCCCTGACTGATGACCCAACTAGCCCGCATCGCTGGGCTTTGTCCCTGTCGCCGTGCACTTCGATCTCTTCGGGGCGTTGGTTCGTCATGGGGGCACAGCGAGTGCCGAGGATATTGCCCGCGCTGTCAACGGGGATATCGAACTGCGCGGGGGAAACGAGCCGCAGATCTGTATGTTATTGCCTACTTGCCGATTTCTTGTCTGTGCTTTTTACCCAATCCCCGTCATGATTTCCACGTATCTCTTTCCCCGTTCCTGGTCGGATCCTGCAGCTAACGCCCCCCCGCCTACCAGCCGTTCTTTTAGCCGGTATGTCTCAACTCCCACCCCTGGTCTGGTGTGGCCCATGTGGCGCCTTGTCTATGGGCCAGCCGACCCTGGGCGGATTCTCCATCGCTTGCTGTGCATGGTCAACTGGAAACTGATTCTTGGGGGGGCATGGCAATCGCAGCGGACACGCTCTACATCATGGCTGGTCTCGGGCTAGTCGAGCGCGTGCATGAGGGCTTTTTCACGGCCAACGCTATTACACGCCACATGGTCGACATGCCGTCGGCACAGCATGGCGCTGTGCACTTGTATGTGGCTCTGCCGATCGCGTTTCCTCCTCCCCTCCCACGGCGACTGCCTTGACTGTTTTTCATTCGGCCCAGGCCCGGCCAGGCCTCGTCTCCGTCTGCTCTCCTCCTCCGTTTCCTGCGCCTTGCCTGTTGCGGACTAACCCGACTTCTCTCGCACTTCTAGCTGCACCGAAGGAATGATGGCGGGGGCCTTCCTCATGAAAAAGCTCCAGGACACCGACTTCGCCTACCCCTTTGCCGAATGCGAGGGTCCCTTCCAGTACGCCTATCAGCTCATGGGCCAGACCGAGCTGGCCCAGCAGCACACGTACTCCATCATGGGGACGCAGGGCCGCATGGACAGCTTCAATCGGTTCATGGTCGGTAAGTTTCTCAAATTCGGGACGTTTCCCGAGCGCATGGGACGCGCGGGCTATGAGCTGGGCGCCGCGCTTGGCGTCGACTCCCCGTCCCACACCCGCGCCCACCCCGAAGTTACCATGGTCGACATCGGTGGCGGTCGCGGCGAACTGCTCCTCGAAGTGCGCGCGCACTACCCCCAGCTCCAAGCGTCGCAGCTCGTCGTGCAAGAATTCAACGCCGCCATCGACGACGTGCCGGGCATCACCCTGATGGAGTGGAACTACAAGACCAGCGCCGCGCAGCCCATCCGCGGCGCCCGCGTCTACAGCCTCCAGCACATCCTGCATAACCTGCCGGACTTGGACGCCGTGGCCCTGGTGCAGAAGCTGGCGGCGGCGATGGGGCCGGAATCGCGGCTGCTGATTATCGAGTATGCGAAGAACTTGACGTATAGCAATTTGCATGCCAGCATGATCGCGTTGTATGGGGGGCGCGAGCGCAGTTCGGCCGAGTGGCGGCTGCTGGCGCAGGTGTGTGGGTTGGAGGTGAGCTGGGAGCAGTATGAGATGGCGGGGGAGTCGCTGGTGGAGATGCGCCGGGCGTAGAGTGTTTCGAATAGGTAGGAGTCGATGAACCAGTGGATAGAGTTCCGGGGTTGTCGCCGGAGTAGAATGAGCGGATGTCTAATCGCGGATCGTCCGAGTGGGGCCGAGACAGGAACCAGCCACGGAGCAGCGCTGTTGCGGATCGACCGAGGATGATTGTGATTGTGATTGTGAGTGGTGAATGTGAATGTGAATGTGAATGTGAATGTGAATGTGAATGTGAATGTGAATGTGAATGTGAATGTGAAATGTGAAATGTGAATGTCATTGTCGTGCGTGTGCGTGTGATTGTTGTGCGCAAACTAGAGTTTCACCCAATAGAGTTATCGATGTGTTCGCGGACGTGATCGGTCCCACAGACGAGTCGCGTCTGATCTGGTCCGGTCTGAGCGGCGATCGCGGATCGATCATATTTGCGCGCCCCTGGCTCTCGTCACGGGAGCTCCCCAATGGCTCGGGGGCCGGCGCCGGTGCCGGCGCCAGCGCGCCCCGAATCTTATTTTGTGTCGGTGGATCTCTTTCTCTTCTGCGCGGCTCTCTCCGGATTGTTGCCACATACGTCCTCCTCCAGATGTTCTTCGGGCTTCCTGATCGGACCTGCTTCCAAGCTCGGGCCTCATCACGACCCCGACCTGTGGATCTATGTCCGCGGAATAACGGGGGGTTCGCTCTCCCCTGTTCGCTTATGTGGCTCGGATTCGTACCAGTCTATCGGGCCTAACTATTGAATGCAATCGCGCAGAAGCAACCGGCGTTTCAATGTTCGCCGTCACATCCCTTGCGCCGCGACGCATGGCCATTGGCCATGGCAAGCCCTTCGCCGTCCCCACCGGGGCTGGCGGAATGCTGCCTGGGAGCCACTCTGCTGCTTCGCAGCAGAGTTCGCAGCAGAGTACCGTGGGAGACGAAGAATGGACCGGCTGATTGGACCTGGCACCGTCCATGGGATGTGCGAGGGTGTCGAACACATCTGGTGCATAGTGACTCGTTCGCACCGTCGCCCCCGACACGACCCCTACCTCTCCCCACGCGGTGCAGGTCTCGTTGCCCGTGGCCGTTGCCATCTGCCATCTGCCATCTGGACATGCAACCGAATCTTCTGGGCGGACCGCGGAGGATGGAAGGATTCATTTACCGGACCAGGTCCACCGTCATTATGCCGAATGATGATTAGTCCGGTGCTGCATGAGACCAGCAGGGATGCGCACCACTGATTCAGCGACTGGCTTGCGCGGATTCGACGCCCCCGGCCCATTGCACTCTCATAGGCCACAGAGTCGTCAAGGTCGTAGTCGTGTAATATCGCGCAAATCGGATTTGCTTTTTTGTTTTTCCTACCACCGTACTCCCCCGGGGGCGGATCTGGATCCAGGTCGTCCGGAAGACTATTGTCTTCATCTCCGGCTTTAGCCTCTAGCTGTTAGTCTTTGGCGTTTCCTGTGGCTTCGGGCCATCCTGGTGATTATTATTCTGTATGATTCGCCCTCACGAGCTTGCCCTGCGCACAGCAACCTATCCCTTGTTCGGCCCCGTACGCCGTCAGGATCCTCCAACACCGACACCGAGCGACGCCCAAAAGGCCCTCAAAAAGGTAAAAGGCACGCTTTTTCTCCCCTGGACTTGACCTGTACTGCGCCAAAGGATATCTGGCTGGATCTCCATTTCGAACGGGTCCAGTTCCACCGGTTCGCACCACTGGCAATCGGGAGCACAGGGCAGGGCGATCAGATCTTCTGGCTTTTGGATTCATCCACCCCGTGCACTGCACGTACACTTGCCTTTGCAAATCAACGCGACTGAACTCCATTGCTTGTGCTTGTGCTTATCTGCAAGCCTTCATCGCCAACAATCATCTTCTAGGGCCCGCGCCCAATGTGATGAACGTATTTGAATTGCACTCCTCCGCTGTGCTGCACCTTGATTGAGATCGACATCAAGATTGTGTCGCCGCTCTTCCCCTCCCCCTCCCCATTGCCGCCGCCCTCACTCTCTTTCCTATCCTCTTTCTTTTATTTACCTCTTTTCTTGTGTTGTGGTGAATCGGTTCATTCCTGCGCAGCCTCTCCGTTTCTTTTCTTTGCGCCTGGTTCAGTATGAGTAGTATTCCGCGGCCGGAGGAAGGAGATGTTAATATTGGTAAGTTGCCCTGCAGGATAGCCCATGCAGATCCCGCATGCCCGATTGGAGATGCACATGGAACTGACGGGCTGGCATAGGAACGGGCACGTTTGCTGCGTGTTGGGTGGGTGATAGACCGTGACGCCCACATGATATACATGATATAGGACTGACTCTTCGCAACCAGGTCCTCACGGGCATCGTGGGCCTCGCCCTACTATTCCGCTATGCTATCAAGGCCTGGGTACGCTTTGCGCTGCCCCAAGTCACGGCCCCCGAGCGGGTGTGGGGGCTCGAGGATGGGTTTTTCCTGATCGCATACGGCTTTGATCTCGCTCATATGAGCGTCATCCAGGTTAGGTGAGTCGTCCTCCTCGTCTCCCCAGCAGGCGACGAGAACCCAAACCGATGGCGTCGGATCGCTGAATCGTTGGCTGACTGCTTCTTCGGCATCATCAGCGCGAACTGGGGCCTGGGCCGACATTTCTACTACTTAAGCAACGAGGAGCGCATGTATTCCATGAAGTTCGACTTTATCTCGCAGCCGCTCGCCGTGGCAGCCGCCATGATCTCGCGGACGGGAATGATGTGGTTCCTGCTCACCTGTTTCTCGGCGAGTGACAAGAAGCTGCGCCTTTCGATTCTGGGGTGTGCCGTGGTGCAGATTCTCGTCAATATGGTGACCATTGTGCAAATTATTGTGCAGTGCGGGCCGAATCCTTACCATGCGGTTCGTGTTCCTACCCTAGATGTCTCGTTCCCAAGGGCATTTCAGCTAACCCTCTGCTAGTCGAACCGAGTGCAATATTTCAAGTATATGTGGACTCCGGCTCCCGCTGATGGGTCGGTCGTATGCCAGTCGCCCAGTGTACAGACGATGATCGGCTTCGTGCAAGGCGGTAGGTTCATTCGATGGTTTCCGCATACTCGGCATCTCACAGGCCCAGAACTAACCCGAGATCAGGCTTCAACACGGTCATCGACTTCTCGCTGGCCGTGATCGCCGGCGTGCAACTGTGGCAATTCTTCCTCCGCACGCTCCGTCGCGAAAACCTCTCCTTCTGGGCGCAGTTTCAGAGAATCAGCAGCACCGTCCGATCCCGTCGCCTTTGGCAGACGGTCACTCTCTGCGGGCCCCTGGTCCTCTCGGGTGCGGCCTCGATTGTCAAAACATACGTAGGTGGACCGATGGTGACTCTGGGAGATACACGCCGACTCACATGCACTCTAGAAACTCAATGCCCTTGGCGAGCGACTGGATTTCACCTACAACATCGTATCTTTCGTCCTCTGGGTCAAGTACGTTCAAGCCCCCCAAATGCGAGGGCAAACCCTGAACCCACCCGCTAACCAACCCCCCCCCAGAATTGAAAACTACAGTATCCTCCTTGCCTCTTGCGCCCCCGTCGCCCGCCTCTTCCTTCGCACGGTCGTCGATGCGCGCCGCAACGGCCAATTCGGCTACTGGTCCAAGTCGCACTCGAACACCAACTACGGCCGCCAAGACACAGAGCTGAAGAACCAGAGCCAGAGCCAGAGCCAAAGCCAGAGCCAGAGCCAGAGCCAGAGCCGCAGCCGGCCGGAGTGGCCGGACGCGGCTACGGCGACGGGAACCCAATGGCAAGACGAAGAGGGCCAGCAGACGAACTGGCATATTCAGCCGGAGCGCTCGCTTGGCCGTCTGTCCAAGGGGTATGGGCTGGGGCACGACGGCGACAATATGGAAGGGATGGATGAGGGAGGTGTCACGGTGAAGACGGATATTGTCGTCCAGGTGGATGATGGGCAGTCGACATCGAGTGGGGATGCGAGACTTTTGCCGGGAGGTGGGGAAGTGCCCATTAAGAGGGACGAGTATGCGTATCACGCAAGGTGAGGCGGAGGTTAATGATGATGATGATGCGTCCATTGGGGGAACGGTTGTGCTTCGTATCTAATTAATGTACAGGAATAGTGAATCTTGGAGCGGGGCCCTATAAAAGCTGTCTTTTATGGAGAGTTGCTTAATGAATATTCATATACACCTTCTTGGATGGGCAGTACTACCATTGCTCCTAAGTTGCTGTAGTTAATTTATACAGCGCATGAGTAACACGAGCCCCCGGAAATGGGGCGATGGAGCTTGACTATGCTGAAGAAATTCGAAATTTGAATGGAGAAAATATCTTCTCGGTATGTATTACTTGGGAGGCTGTGAAGTGAAGCAGCGTAGTCATATTGCTCGCATAAATGGTATCGTAGAAGACAAGGACCTCACCCAGCATTGATGGAAGGGTAGGTATATAGGTATTTAGGTATATATAATATCATTCACAACCCGCAAATCACGACTCCAGAAATGCAACAGGAACCACCAATGGATCCCCAATAGATCCCTCACGTATACCCCATCCCGCGCCTCCACCAATTCCACACCCCCCGCCTCGCCATACAACCGCCAAACTCCTTCACACTGTCCACCTCCACCAACCCGCGATCCAGATCCAGATCCAGATCCAAATCCGCATCCAAATCCCACTCTTTCCCCTCCGTTTTCTCCCTCACCACATCACCGCGCTCCGGCGCCACCGCACCCGGCCGCGTGACCAGCTGAAAATCCTTGTACTGCAGCTTACGCACGACCCCCACCCACGCCTCGACATGCCCCTTGTCCTGGCCCTCAACGTACATAATGCCCGGACAGCCGCCGGAGCGCAGGAGCACGTAGCATTGGTGGGCGTCGGCCGCGCGTTTGAGGGCGGCAACCTTCTTGCGCGAGGTGATGTGGTGGGTGCGAATTAAGGCATTGTAGAGCATTCTCATTCTCTAGGCGTGAGGCGAGGTCCGGGGGTCATCGCTTCTTGCCTGGGCCGTGGGAGATGAGGTGGTACAGCAGGATGCTGTGCCAAAGGGTGATTTCTACGTAGGTGGTTTGCGGGTTGACTGGTCGTCTTTACGTAAGCGATGCTGATTCGTCGTAACTTACAATGAACTACTCCGCAACTTGTAAACAAATTCTACGGAGTCAAGCCGCCCCACCCAGCACCTTCATCACACAACGAGTCATGCAGCAGCACAATTTAGTTGAAGAGAACATTCCCGCTGTCATTTCCCAACTGCGCACCGATCATCAAGTGCCGGTATTGAGCAAGTGTTTTGACGGTGGTCAGTGCCGAGTCTTCAAGGTAGATTTCGCGGACGGCGACAGCTGGGCTGTTCGGGTGCCCCTTTTTGTCCGTAATTCTTCGCGAGAAACCATTCTCTATCTGGTTGAATCCGAGGCCTCTATAATCCAAGCGCTCGAGACGAAAGGGTTTCAGTGGGCTGCGAAACTCCGCGGCTGCAGTCGCACATTCGACAACCTCGTCGGATACCCCTTCCTTGCCCTAACCTGGATTCCAGGTAGTCCGCTTCTGTGGTCTGACAACTTCCCGGCGCGACCTCTTCGGGACAAAGTCCTGAACCAAGTCGCGGGAATACACGCATCACTGATCGAATGTACTCAGGAGACGAGTAGGTGGAATGCAATATTTGCTCAGTCCACCTCGCTTACTATGTAGGGGCCGCTGCCATAGACCATTATACGAGGATCATCCACAATAAAATCCGTCGAGTCTGCAGTGGACAACTTCCCGAGATCACAGAACAGGAGTGCTCCGACCAGCTGGCCCTTCTCCCTGGTGTTCTGATGCCGGAACTGGAGAGCGCGCCCTTCGCCATGGACCACGGCGATCTTTCATCCCAGAATATCATGATAGATGCACAACACAATGTGACAGGGTAAGTGAAGATCGGATGGGAACCACGGCCCGTGACGGGTTTTCCATAATGGCCACGCCAGTTGCACATATAGCTAGGTTGCACCTGTAGCTAGATAGCGCCCCTTCCCACTCTCACAGTTTCGTCAGAATCTTATGGGCTACGACCACATATCTAACTCCGTATCAAGTATCATCGATTGGGGGTTCTCTGCACCGGTGCCCGTTCAACAGGCAGCTTGTTTCCCTCAATTCCTTCGCATCCAGCATCTTCCACCGAGTCCCGTGCTCCAGAGAGACCGAGAAACGTACCTTGCATCGCTTCAAACTCAACCGTCGCAAGTAATGGAATGGATGGCTCTCGTTCTATCCTCGGAAAACGCCGACTGGGCTGCCTGTTTTCTAGAATCAATTACTAGCAAAGGGATGCATCAATGGCTGGCACGTAGAGGATGGAGACTTCCATCTTGTGAGAACACGTAATAAGGAAAGGAGCAATAAGCAAGGAAAGCAAGGGATTGTTCCGGGTCGACAGAGACCTGAATGAGGTTGTCGCGCATTCTCACCGCGTCTCTGCGGGCTGCTGTCCTTCTGGATCGTCTGATCTGCAGCACGCTCGAGGCAGGACGAGCCAGTTGATCCATGTTGATGCTGTCGCAAGTGACGAAGACGGCGGATACTGTATTATCATTTTTTGTCCTCTACTTCCTCCCCAAAGCTTTCGTGTTGTTTTATCTTCTCGGCATCGGAATAGAGACCACCCAGGTCTTCACTATCTTCGTCAAGTGTTACACCTGTTGGAGATACTAAGTTTGCTACTAAATTGGGAGAACTAGCCGTATAACTCACTTTGAATTTCCCAGTTATCGGCATTGCGTGGTCGCCATGCAAACTAACCGTGCATATAATCGTTATGTACATCACGCCAGTAGATTGGATTGAAATCCCGAGCCAAATAGATCAAAACCTTCTGCCAGCCCGTCTCCTTCTGCCTCTGCTTCTACGTAGCCCGGAGCTAGTTCAATCAACGCGTCCTCTACTTCGTCATCGTCCACCTCTTGCTCCTCTGACTCAGTTAATAGAATCTCCAAAAGCGCTTTTTTCATGTCAAGCCTATTAAAGAACATATTGTTAATTCTATCGCTTATAGCCTTCCGGGCTTTTAAACTTACGCTTTATCGGCAAAATAGATCCTCTCGTCAATCGGGTCCTGCTCCTGACCATATGCCCCTATAAGGTTTTCCAATCGCTTTCCCGTCCCTATTATGGGCAACGATAAAGAAAAGAAATTCAAGGCACGAATACGGTAGCCCCGATAAGGCATACCATTAGTGTAGGAAAGAATAAGGAGTACTAGGCCGGTATTTAGCGCATAATCATCCACAATAATTGGAGGGGGATGATAAGAATCATAGAGTGCCTCTCCGCTATTGGTAAACGCTAATATTCCGAAATCAGCAGTCTCTAGAGCCTGGTACCGCTTGATATTATCAAGAGTAACAGAATCATTCTCCTTCGGCGTGATTGTAAATGTTTCTTGTGCGATATGACCCCACATCCTATTGTAATCATAGAACATCAACTGAATCTTCAACCAAAGTGCCCAGTTGGTTGATAATCTTAGGGCGTCTGTAGTAAGATATAAGTCCCAAGGGACAAGCTTACTGTGATAGTAACAGCCGTATTTAGAGATTTCCTACAACAGGTCAGAAAACGGATACTCGTAGCGGACCGACTGTCAAAGAACAAAAAGAAAAAGACACCCTTCTTTTTTTCCTTACCTCACGCGAGAATCGTTCCTCTGAGTCTAGGGCCTTGTTTGTATATGACTGTCCTATATTAGGCTCTATGCCCACAAACGTATGTAGTCATGGACGTATTTATAGGGAATCATAGAACGTACATCTCGGAAATCTTGCTGAGCCGTGACCCAGGTTTCGATCAGGGATCGACGTTTCTGAGCCTTGGAGTCATCCGTTTCATCGTCGCTCGAGACCCAGTTTTCCCGAACAAAGCGATGCCAGCCCTTCACAATCGGAGGGAAATCGTAGGGCTCGACATTAAAGTTCTCCGTTGGGGACTTGATGAAAGAGGGAATGCCACCTGGCCAGAACTTCGCTTCTGTCGTCAAGGTCGGTTCGTCAAGACGGCGCTGCAGAATTCCAGGAATAGCCATCGTAGCGAAGGGAGAAGGGAGAACAGAGAATATATTGATACTGTCACGAAGGAGCCAGCTGTAGAGGAAACAGGTGCATTCAACGAAACAACGAAAGTGAAGAAGGAAGAAACTATAGGGGAGGCTGTCAACTAGCTGTAGTGAGCGCTCGCGCTAGATCACATGACTATCACATGACCCTCAGAGCCTTAGCTCCACCAGTCCTCCGCTCTACCAATCCCTTATATAAGCTATACGTCACATAGTCCTCCTCTTTAAAGAGTCTCGCCCCGAGACTCTGGAAAATTATTATCTAGATGATCACTTACGAACTTATCAACCTCTGCTGCAGCCAGCTAGGCCTATAAGTTCTTCGGAGGCCTAGGGGAATCGGGATATCGCCGGTGAAAGTTAAGCAATTTGAGTAGCGTATTCTTAAAATCAGCAGCGTAATACTAGGTATTATCTTTATTATAGCCTAACTACTTTACTTTGTACTAAAGCTTCCGGTAGTGTAGTCGTAACCGAAGGATCTCTTTAACTTCCTATTCTTGTTAATTATTAACTGTTATTGGCGGTAGCGGGTCCTCGATCTATCCCGGTAATAGTTTTCTTTTCGATGTAAGGTATAGCTTACTCGGTGTAAATACTAGGTAGACCTTTATAGATAGGGGTAGTTCGAGTCTAAACGTATTCCCTTCTTTCTTTAAGATCTTATATAGTCTACTAGACTAATCGGATAGCTTACGGCTTAGGCGATCTAATCCCTAATAATAGGTCGTAATATAAACTATATCTTCCTTATCGAAATTAATCTCCCGGCGATGCTTATTAGCCTAAGTTCGTTAGCGTTCCTGTATACGTCTAACCGCTTCGGCGGTCTCTTTCTAGATACGTTCGATTCGCTTTACGAATTTCTACGCTTCTTCGGTTAATTCTAGCGAAAGGGACGCCTCGGTCGGTAGATTCTAATTAAAAGATATCCTTAGCTCGTATCCTCGTTTAATAAAGAAAGGAGATCTCTTTATTAAATCTTAGCGTAGAGCTAATGTAGCGAAATTAATTATTAGTAACTATTCTAACTAATTATCTTAATATTTATTCACTATTACCCGTAAATACTAGGCTATCTATTAGTTAGTAATCTTACTTTAACTATTAGTCTATAGGTAATAGGCCGTAGATAGTTTTCGCTTAATACTAAGTATTCGGCAGAATTTAGTCTAGAATATAGATATAAACTATCCTCTACGGTCCGATATAATCGAATTAGGTATACCTACCTATCGATAGAGATATATTATAAATAAAGTAGCTATCTCTTCTACTATAGTAATTTTATAGTATAGAATCGACGCCTAGCGCTTACTAAAGCGATAGTATACTATAAATACTATATTATAACTATACTTATCCTTCGGGAACGAACGGAAATCTATCGTAATATATTACTATAGCCGTTACGGGGTAGGTAGTAGTTATAATAATCCTAGGGGCTTATCTCGCTATATCTTCGTCCGCTTATATATTCGATAGTTCTCTATATATCGTTCGATATCGGTTACCTAGCTAGGCTACTAATAGCGGCTCGAGAGAAAGGCTTTTAGTTTAGTCTCTCTAGGGTACGCCGTAGATAGTTACCGGTAAATCTTATCGAGTAAGCGAGCTCTTAGATCCCCGTTATCCGGCACTACTAGCTTTCTATTATAGAGTAAGAGGCTATCTCTTATTTCCTATTATCCGTCCTTACTTATTCTTACCTAGTTTTAATTTACTTCGAGTAAGGTATAGGTCAGATTCGCTTAGAGGTCTCGCTTAACTATCCTAGTCGTAGTAGAGATAATTAAGGGTTAATCGTCGAGGGTCATCTTAACTAGGGCGATTTCGGCGGTCGACTAATTAGGATTATTATTATTAGGGTATATGCCCTACTCGAGGTATTTGCGAGGTAGAAAGATCTACTCCTAGCCGTCGGAGGTACCCGAGTCTTTCCGTAAGAGTATATTAGCGATAATATTCCGCTTTCCTATAAAATAACGTATTAAGAAGTAAAATCTTAATAAGAATTTACCCTAACGAGCCTACCGGGCGTTTAGTCTTTTTATCGTTATAAAATATTATAATAACTAATAATCTAAGAAGATACTAAATCGGTTATCTCGTTATAATCCCTCGAGCTCCGCTCTCTAGATATCGAGGCCTTTAATAATCGTAAATATCTCGTAGTTATAGGTATCCTACCGCTATTCCGTAGCGGTTAGCTTCGACGAATAGAAGTAAACGGGGTACTAGTAGCTATCCGACTAAAGTTATAATAGAACGCCTCCGATATATCCTTCCGATACGTCCGTTTCGATCTTAGTAGGGGCTAATAGGTCGTAGTAAGCTAGTACCGGCGTAGTTATTATTATATATTTTATCTCTCGGAAGGCTTATTTATATTTAGAGGTCTACTTAAATAGTATCTTATCCTCGGTAAGGCGGTTTAGCGGTTTAGTAATTCGGCTATAATTCTTTACGAATTATCGATAGAATCTATAGAAACCTAAGAAGGACCGTATACCGTAAACTATCGTAGGCTATTACTAGTCGATAATTACTATAATCTTCTTAGGATCTATCTTAATACTATCGGTACCGATAATAAAGCCTAGGAAACGAGTAGTTATAGTATAGAACTCGTATTTACCTAAGCTTACTTAGAGTTCCGCCTCCCGAAGCCTCTATAGTATCTTCTTAATATATTTAATATATTTCTCTATCGTTTCGCTATAAATTAGGATATCGTCGATAAAGATAGTTATAAAATCGTCGAGATATTTACTAAGCGTTATATTAATAAAACGCTAGAACGAGGCGGGTCTATTCGTAAGCCTAAAAGGTATTACTTTAAATTTATAAGACCTATAATACGTCCGGAAGGTAGTAAGGTCTTCTAAATTAGGATCTATACGAATCCGGTAGAATCCCTGCCGGATATCTAATTTTATAAAGATTTTCGCTTTTCCTAACTATTAGAAGATCTTATTAATTAAGGGGATTAGATAACGGTCCTTTTTTATAATCGAATTTAGCTTACGGTAGTCGATATAAAACTAGAGCCCTCCGCTAGGTTTTCGTACTATTAGGATAGGTAAATTAAAAGGGGCTTTACTTTCTTTAATAAACCCTTATATTAGGTTTTTCGTAATATAAGCTTTAGCTACCTTAAGCTCTTTTTCTGACTATTTATATAATAGGTAGTATCCCGGAACTAGGCCTTCCTCGAGAATAATTCGATAATCGATAAATTCTCGATACAGTAGTAGGGTATCGGAGTCTTATTCTAAGAATATATTAGGGAACTTATAATAATATTCCGGGATCGTACGCTTAATCTCCTACTCTTCCGATAGACGCTTACGTCTCTTATTCTCTAGGATTCGGTCGATCTCTTTAAGTAAAATTAGGAAGACCTTATTACCTTCTTTCTATAAGTATCGATAAAATCCTATAGCTCTAATTATTATAATAGTATTAGAGGGATAAATATATATTTAAGGAGTCCGGGTCTATTATTCTTTCTATATAGAAGGAAGGGGCTATACGCCTTATAACGCTTACTCTATCTTTATAAGTACCTACTTCCGGTCTCCGGCCGTAGTCCTTAGTAGCTTATAACGTAGCGGGCGGTCGACCTTCTTAAAGAGCTAGTCGCGTCGGTCTATATCTCTCTAGTACTCTAAGTTCGGATCGGGCCGTCGTAAGATAGTACAGGGAAGGGTAATAGAGAGCTAACTAGCTACTTTATCTTATAGACTAGATTCCTCGGGCTAGATTAAACGTCGTTTCGTATAGTTAGGAAGGACTTTATATTCTATAAACTATTTACGTCTAAGGATTAGATTATACTTACTAAGGTCTGTAATTAATATTAGTAGGTAGCGTTATACGTAGCCGTTAATTATTAATATTAACTCGATTATATACGTAATTAGCTTTCCCGGGTAGTTATCGAATCCCTAGGTAGGTACTTCCTTTTCTAATCGTATTACTAGCTATCTAAAGGCCTTCGCGGCTTATAGCGCTAGCTACGTATCGATATATATAAATCTATCTACTCTAGTATCACTAAGAGCATAAATTAAGAAAGAATATCTATTATAAGCTATTTAGGTATTAAAAGATAAACTACTTCCTCTTCCTAATAACTTCTATAGATTTAATACGAAAAGTAACATAATTACCCTACCTAGGAAGGAGACTTTCCCTAGGCTTAGGTATTTCCCGACTTAGGAGTAGCACTAGCAGCAGGAGCTTCGTAAGTAATAAGCTTAGTAGTAGTATTAATCGTAGTAACGGTCGATAGCTTCTTTAGGCAGTCGTACGAGGTATATCCTTACTTATAGTATTTAAAACATCGGCCTTCTTTTAGGTAGGTAGCG